TCTACAGCTTACTATTCCTAAACTGTGTCGGCTCGATTCAATGGCAGCGGGATGGTTCGTGCAGCTTCGTTACTACCGAACCCTCGTCCACAAAGGGTAAACTCGACAGCCACCGTGGAGTACCTTGGTAGCGCGAACAAAGGTGCACACTGACACGTTGCTTACCCTGCAGATTTCGGGAGCAAGGGTGAAGTTGCACGAAGCCCGGTCGAGAGACCCTAGCGTGCGCATGCTCGAGATCTGCGGGACTATAGAGCAAACCCAGACGGCACAGGGGCTGCTGCAGACAATCCTTCAAGATGCTACTCTGAACGGAGAAGGGGAGCGACCACGACGTTAGCCAGGTCTATCAGTTTGCAGGAGCTGACTGGTCATGGGGGCCCTAGGTGAGTAGGAGAGGATAAACCTAGCAAAGCAATACGTAGGCTCCGCCCTGGACGAGCCACCGACTTTCACTGGGGATTGAAAGCCACTGGGTGCATCGCAAGTTTGCTGGTAAAGCATCGGATATTGCAGGGACTCGGAGACTGGGAAATGTTTAAGATCCGGGTAGATGATAAATGAAATTGGTGCATGTAGGAAGCAACCTGCGGCCGGTTGATCCGGCCGATTGAAGTTGTCGCAAAGAAAGCAGAGCGGCCTTGAAGATCCCGGAGCACAATGGTTGTGATTGAATGAGGTCTTGCTGCCCGGCATAGGAGTACGGCCATGAGATACTGGCAACTTGCGCGGGCGGCAACGGTCACTCTTGCGTCGGACTCACGGATTACTCAGGTGCCGCCTGGATTGATGGTCTCAGAGGATTCGATACTGCAATAAGCTTGAAGCCGCGCCTACCGTCCCAGCATGTATACTGTGCTGAATTTGGCACAATGCATGTATGAGCCCGCCGCGCAGCCGGGGTCAGGCCAGTCTTCGGACTAGCGGCGGTCGGAGGCCGCGGCGGGATATGGCAAGGGATGTTGGTGGCATGATGCATGATCTTACTACTGAGCTCTTTCCACCTTACTTAAACTACCATGAGTCCGGATCCATTATAGCTAGAGTCAACGCCGAACTTCGGAAATGCACGGCACAGGCGGCCGCGTACATGTACGTGCTATATAGTAGGTGGCCGCCTGCACATACTGCGGCCGCTAGGGCGCATTGATCACTGTACTATAGTACGTCTACAATCGGATTGCTAGCACTGACCGCGTGAGCCGCCATGAGATCGAATCAAGATGCAAGATCGAATCACATGGGCCGGCGGCTCGGATGCTACGTACGTACGCGCACGTGTATAGCGCTAGCCTGCTAGAGTTCCTAGCTCGAAAGCTATATAGTGAGTCGTGCACATGTGTTTAATGGTACCGGCCGGACATACCGCGTTGTTACGTACAGTATTAATTCGCATTCGGCGGCTGCTGCCACTGGGCAATGATGGCCGACAATTTAGTAGCCTAGTGCATTCGCAACAAAAGTCACTCCGATCAGTTTTTCAAAGGCCGGATGAAATCAGCCTGGCCCGGGCGCCGCACCCCACTTACATTGTGCCACAATGGAGTTGCAAATTGCCTGGCAAGCCGTCCAAACGTCGGATCTCAGTGCGCGACCACGTTTAATTCAACGTTGGTCACTTACGAACTCAAGACTGAGAAGCTGGGGGGCCGATGATGTTCGTATTCGATGTTCTAATTGCTCAACCTTACCAACATCATGGAAGTCAATTCCAAGATTTTCTACATCTATGCGCACCCGAGCAAGCCCTAGTTCCAGTCCGTCCAACCCGTCTGACTCTTGAGTGAGTCCGTTCTCATTCCTTCTGCTAATCTGCTGTTGAGGCCGACCCGTTGCGATGATGCTTAGGAGCGCCTCATACGTGCCTAAGCACGGTGGTTCGTTCAGAAAGTTCAACCTTGGGAGTTTTAGGTGGGCGTAGCTTGCTATATTGACAGAAGAACCTGCAATGAGATGGAGAGTCTGGTTGTCAAATCACCGCACCTGGAAGCTCAGTCGCGCAATTCATGCCCAAGGCCTTCTGATAGCAGATCATGCACGAGCCTCCCTCTATCGTCCTGCCGACCGGTGAGTCCTCATCGGAGCCGTCAAGGCTGCACATTATAATCAGTACGCTTCCATTGATAGTTCCTCAGCGAACGTCGAAGAGGCTTGAGCAAGTAATGCGGCCTTGGCTATCCCACCATCTCAGAAGGTTCCCAGTGGATGCTGGCAACTCAACTCGTTCTCTCGAACCTGGACACCAGCATCTTTAGACCTTACATCGTCCCTTTCGAAAGATCAGATGCCCTTGCGCAATCAGCAACTTCCATAACCTCACGGAGGTCGCCACGAAACCAACCATCACAAGCGAGGCACCTTTCGAGAACTGCCGACTCGCCTCAGAACAAAGTTTACGCTGATTCCCCACCTGGAAGGCCCACGGCCAGCTGGTGGCGCCGCCCCAGCAGCTGCTCCACGCACTGCAGGTCGCCCCTCTGCAGCGCTTCTCGCACGCGCGTGGACGAGATCTTGCGGTCCGCAAGGGGGATCCCCCCGGGCGCGCAGGCCGGCCCGCAGTCCTGCACGCTGCCCACGATGGCCACCGCCAAGCCGCGCGCTGCGCCCAGTGACTGCAGCTGCGCCGCGTCACCCGCAGCCTTGTAGCCAAAGCGGTAGTTGTCGCCTGAAGGGGGCAGACAAGTGTCATCGGACGCCATGATACGCGTTCAAGTGTGCTACTTCGAGCAATCTGACTTCGCTGAGAATCACAAGATCCAAAAAGCCCCAAAGCAGAGATGTTGGTTGTACAGGTCCTCTCTTCAACACTTTGGCCCGGACAGGCAATGAGAGGAGAATCGTTCGCGTTCGCTCGCGCCCCTGGGTGCGCGTGCGCCCACCTGCGACGATCCCCTTGACGGCCAGCTGGTCTGCGAGCAGGTCCACGAACGCGGCAGGGGACAGGCTGCGCACACTGCGAAAGTCGAGGAGCACCTCCCGGGGGGCGATGCCGCCACACACGGACGCCCACTGGCGCAGTACAGCGGGGCGGTGGCAGGAGGCCACCAGGGGCAGCCTGGGGCACAGACAAAGGGCGCAGAAGGAATGTTAAAGTGAGACGGGAGATGTAACCAGTCTTGATGTGCCCTGGAGTCTGCCTTTGAAGCCTTTGCCCTAGTGAAAGAGAGCGGGCAGAGTGAACGTGACAGGCAAGGAACATGACTTCAACAGACAACTTGACCTTTGGAGTTGGTCTAGAGTCTAGAATATAGAGATTAGAGTCCAAGTTCACGCAGTCCGGGAGTGTGACGATGCATCAATCAGGCCAAGGTGAGATTTCCCAACCTGGCATTATGTGGCATCACCATGAGTAAAGTAAACTTCCTTTTTTCTTCCCCAATCACCTGGGTTCCCACCCAAGTACGGCCGCCATGTTGCTGAAGGACAGCATGAACATGTGCCCAATTGTGGCTGCACGCTCCGCTAACGCGCGGTGGCCCAGGTGCAACGCATCGAACTTGCCCAAGCACACCACACCGCCTGTACCACCGAGCGATCCATGCCAGTTGTGAGTTCCAAAAGTAGGATCCTTGGTCATACAACATTCCGTTACGAAAAAGGCATGAAAGCGCATCAGTATCAGCAAAGCGCACATTGTGGCGCCACCAACCTCTCATCGCAAGTGGGCGCTCACCTGCAACCTCCTGAAGGGGCACGGTGTCTCTCGCATCAACTTCCTTCCTCAGATCGTCGAGAAGGCCTTTTGCGCTGGGGGAACTGTCCGCTTTGCTTGCTGAGCTTCTGACCACCCCTCGTCCGCCAACAGCATGAACTCTGTGGTGCCCCGTAAGTGACGCAGTGTTTGACAGGTGTCGCAGGGGCAATGGACACCTGCCCAGCTTGAGAGCATGTCCGGATTCAGATTCGCAAGTGGGCTTGTTTTTGCAAAAGGCTACGGCGGCACAATTGAGTGCTTTATTGGGTCCTTTTTGGTGGGCGCTTGGTTGCCCCCACCTATGCAGCCTCGCTGTTCTACAGCAACAGATGTGATGGCTGAGGGACTTCGATGCTTGCGACAGGGCACGAAAAGCGCCCCGAACTGCGGCGCTGCTGTCATGCTGCTTGAGCAAACGCGGCTGCATCAAGGCAGGCATTTCTATCAAGAAGAGATCGACAAGATAAATATCTCCAGGAGCAAAACAAGTTGGTAAAATGTGGAGTCCGCCTGAGTAGTCTGGGGGATTGCAATGACGCTGTAGTGTTTTACGGGCTTATGTTGTGGTCAACCAGATCCTACCACCACGGTCCCACTTTGTTGATGCTTGCAGCCGCTGTACACAGTTCTCTTCCCCGCATCCGACTTTTGTCTGAGCAAGCCATCAGACAGCACAAGTAGGTATATCGCCCATGTCCTTCCTCTCCCTGTTTTGCTTCATTGACATTGTCAATCCTGAGTCTTGGCACGAATTGATCAAGCATACCTATAGGCTATATGATATTGCTTTGCCCCTCTCGACAGCTTTGACAGAATCTGCTTGTTCAAGCTCTGCGCAATATCTGATGACTTATATGAGCGTATTTTACTAATATACTCTATTGAGCGGTTATAGACTTGATTCACTCCCGCTTTCAGTCGCAGAGGGATTTACCTACCCACCTCGTATGCGGAGACTTGTCAAGTCTGTGTGCTTATCTATCTATAAATCCGACAATTTTATTGGTACTGGTAAATAGAGGTGGGATGATAAACACAATCTGCTGATAGTGATAGATTGCATTCATCTCTGACAGATTGAATTTCCTCTGGCGCCTTTGGCACTGAAGGAGAGATGCTACCTTGGGCCCAGTGTGCAAGCGGGTGGCCTCTTATTATAGACTCGAACAGCAGCCTTTCTCACCACGTGCCCATGGCGTCGCTGCCGAGCTGCTGATTCTGCGCTTCTATGGACCTGATTGCTTTGGGTGCATTGTGAGCGAGAGGTTGTGCGTGCTGGCCGCTATGGAGGCTGTGCTTCAAGAAAGGGTGGCTGCATCTCTGCAGCAGTATATGCTCCCAAATGCAACCTTCCTGTGCGAGCGCCTCTGCGCAGGCTTTCCAACCGAGGTGAGAACCGACTGTGAGAAACGCTAAATTTTCGGCATCCATCGGAGCTTACAAGCAAAGCTCAAAGTTGTTGAACTGCAGCACAGAACGGCTTGGTTGTTGCTGAAGTGCCCACTACTTACATATTGGTTCCAGAAGCGAACCACAGACTGGCCCGGAACGGAGACGTAGTCTGAATTGCTCTGCTTCTGCATCACTAATTTGGCTGCCCGCTAAGGCTGGCGCTCCTTTTAGAGTGCCCTCGTGCTCCCTCAGGGACCATTTGCTGGCCAACTTCAGAGAGGCAGTCAAAGAAGAAGGACCCGGTAGCTGCCTGAATTCTGTTGATGCGTCAATTGCCTGTCACACCATATCTAAAGTCTCAATAGGTGGCTTTGTCACTTGAGGTCTCAGCTGTGGTCGCTAGAAGGTCCACTTCCGTTTTGAAGGCCCCTATTCCCAGCACCTGACCCTTTTGCAATCAGGGACAACGAACGGGGCTGCGTTTGTCCGTGGAAAGGCTTTTTATAGCAGCTTCATGTTGTCCCTTTCAGAATGCCCCTTTGTTGCCATGTTGCAGGCCAACAAGCAGCTCCTTGCTTCGTGCTACTTTCGGGCCAACCAAGCATTCCGGGCATTCTATGTGCTGCAAGGTAAAGCGGCTTCCCTGCTTGTCCAGGCCCACCAAAAGACAGACCCGAATGCCACCTTGCTTTGCACCCCCAGTTCTTCTCTCAACAGACGGAGACCTCACCGAAAAGGTTGCAGTGGCGTGCACACCTTCGTCCTGGCTACTCATTGCATGGGCGCTCATCGCATGGGCGCAGCAAGCGAACTCTAAACGTGCATGGCTGCAAATAGTTCTGCAGTATCTGGTGAATTATGTGGAACAGTCGCCCTAGCTGGGGCCGTCTCCAAGCGCACCGTTAGCTAGCTGGTGGCAAGCCTTTGTGATGAACAAACTTGAGTCTTACCTTCATTTGCAGGGCTCAAATCCCCCGAGTCGCGCTACCTATACGCGCTGTGTTGTTTCCAGCTCGGCAAGCTGCCGGAGGCGGAGGCGGCGCTTACGGGAGACCATTACTCCGCAGGACAGGTCAGGGCTGAAGCAAGCATGCATCTCCCAACACACACCTGCCCACCGTAGGTTCAAAAAATGCAAGAGCAAATGAACAAAGAGCCCTTTTGTCGCTTTAGAGACGCGTCCGCTCTGTCTCCTTGCGTTCATCAGGTTTACCTGGCTTTGAGCATTCAAGCTAGCGTATTGCGAGGTTGCAAGTGGAGCCAACGGAGCTCACAGGCTTACTGCCGCTGTTGTCCCCCTGCAGGTGGTCAATGGCGCAGCTGGGCACTACCTGCTCGGCCTCATCTGCAAGTGAGAACTTCACCATCTTCCCCAATTGCCTGATAGCGTCAACTGTCCCCCACGATGCCCAGGCCCTTGTTGCTTTATGGATGCATTTGAGGAGCTCTCATACGACCTGAAAGAAGTTGTGGCTTCTTTCGCGGGTTTGACTTGTGAGTCCGACTCGGATATGCTTTGGTTCTACAAGCCATGTCTGAGCTGCTAAGTGCGCTTTGCTGATGCTGCAGGCGCTCTGATCGACGAGAGACAGCGGTACGGCATTTCAGCCGTGCGCTAGCTCTAGACCCCCTGCTGTGGTCCGCGTTTGAGGAGTTGTGCAACCTGGGTAAGTCGAATCAACTTATTAGGGGCACTGGGGGCTTCGTATTTCTGACCGCTGTCATCCAGGTGACAGCCCTTTTCCTTTGAGGCAGGCTGTCGATGCTTCCGAAGCAATTAAGAAAGTCGGATGACTGGACCAATTGGATGAGGAGATCAGAGGCACTCTGAGGAGCCGTGTGCTTGCCACTAGATCATGCAACTCACTGAATGGTGAACATCTGCAAACGAGCAGGGGCTCATGAAGCTGCCGGGGCTCTGTTTGGCGATTCTGCGGTGGCGGCCCTCTCTCAGATATACGCCCAGCGGCTCTCCGAGGCTGGGCCCAGGCCTGCGACCGACAGCGCAGCGTTCCAGTTTCCGGACCTTGCACGCATGGACGCCGCAGCCACAGCCACGCCAGGTGCGCCTCCTTCTCCACAGCTGTAGCATTGAGATCCCGTTTAACATATGAAGTCTCGCTGCCGTTGTTTCAAATGTAAGATGTTGAAGTTCCCACCCGGAACATTCTTCTTCCGATTGGCAGTAGACCCACCGGCGTGACAAGAAGATAGTGTGCACCTTCTAGCATAGACATCACCGTGCAGCCTTGCTTGTCTCCATCAGTGGAGCGGGTTCTTCACAAGCGCAACTGATCGCTTGCAAGTCATTTTAACCCTTTCTTTGCCTGCAGGCTTCGTGACCCCTGCTGCCAACGGCCCCTCTCTGGTTACCCCCTCTGTTGACACCGCCACTCCGTCTTCGTTCACTACTCCGGTCATGCCCGGAGCGCACGCCCCCGCAGCAGGCCGGGCCGGCCCTTCCAGTACGGACGCCGCGCCAGAAAGCACCCCCGCGCGAGGGGCCGCTGTTCCGCCGCCCGTGCCGGGGCAAAGGAGAAAGTTCGTGGACGAGGGCAAGCTCAGAAAGGTGAGGAGATGGGGCCGGGGCCACACAGCAGGTTTCTCGCGCAAATGTCCTCTTTTCAGAGTCAGAGCGTCCGCCGAAGCAGCGTGGCTCCTGAAAGTTCACTCGTCGAAGTGCCGAATCTCTTGACACGAATGCCACTCCGTTGTTAAGACGGATGTGTTCAGCATCTTTCCGAGCCTGCACGGACTGCAGAGTGAGCCGCCCTGTCAAAGGAAACTTATCCCGGATCCATTCGCCCGCGTAACCTGCCACGGAAAGAGTGCTTTTGTAGAATTTCGCAGATCCGCCGTGAAATCGAGACATGGCATGCATTGATTGCTTAGATCCCTTCCCAGGTGTCGGGCCGCCTCTTTTCCGAGCCGCCCCTCTCCTCCGTGCGGCGGAGCTCCCGAATATCCGCCCACCAAAACGCGTCAGACGCTTCGCATAGTAACGGGTCGGGCGGGGAGGCACTTCCGGGGGGCAGCCGGCAAGACGGGGGCCACCACCGAGGGCAGAGGCAGTCGGGCAGCCAAAACGGCGATCGGGGTAGGGAGCAGCACGAGGACGACGAGCAGGGGGCAACGAGCGCGCGGCGGGGCAGGAGGAGTGAAAGCCGTGAGTGGGGCCGGGGTTTCTCCTTTCTGGTGATCTGAGAAGGCTCCCTTCGCAGCAGGCAAATGAACGTTCGTTCCTTTCTAGCCGGGCACTCGCTTGCTCAAGCTAGCATTTTGACGCTCGTTGTGCGCCCCCTGGTCGATCACCACCCTTTGATACCATATTAGATTGCGATCGTGCATGCCCAGTCCTTGGCCAGAACGACTTGCTGCCGGTCCCTGCTGCTTTCCGTGCGCCCTCGAAAGCTGGCATTGACGGTTGTGGATTCATCAAGAACAGCCCAATGACGAAAACGGTGTGCCACCCTTTGTTCGGTACTGCGACGATCCTTCTCTGCAGCAAGAACGGAAAGGAAATGTCTGCAAAAAGGGTGACGTAACGATCAATCACAGACCGCCCAAGGCCACTGCTGACCTTTTCTTGTGAATGTGCAGGCGAGGACGAGGCCGGCGCGGGCCCCAGCAGCGAGCACAGCAACGGTGACGTCAGCCGGGCTGCGGTGTGGCTGGAGGGCGCGCGGCAGCTGTTGGCGCTGCTGCGGCAGCTGGGGGAGGCGTACCGCCTGCTGGCCATGTACCGCTGCAAAGAAGCCGCCGCCGCGTTCGGCCGCCTGCCGCAGCAGCACTACGCCACGGCATGGGTGCTCTGCCAGGTGCGCGCAGGGGGGCAAAGATTGTCCGCTACGGGCGTCCTACTCGTTTGGCAGGGGGAACCAATACCGAAAACCGTGCAATCTCAGCTGTTTTTTATGCATAGACCTGAGTCTTAACCAACCCGGTCATCCTTCAGTGGTAGGTCCAGCAAAGGCGCACGCCACATCCGCTGGGCGTGTAACATGCTCTTTCTGGATTGACAAGTCCACACAAGAGGGCCCTCTGTTTTCAACAAGGAAACAGCACCTTATCTAGTGGATGTGGCGCCCCGAAAATGGTAAGTACTTTGAATGCCGTATTTGTTTTGCTTGGCCTGACGGTTGCGCGGTGCTGCTGCAGGTGGGCCGCGCGCACTTCGAGATGGTGGACTACAAGGAGGCGGAGCGCGCCTTCAGCTGGGCCCGCCGCCTCTGCCCCCACCGCCTCGAGGGCCTCGACGTCTACTCCACCCTCCTCTGGGTGAGGCGCCTCGGCACATTGCGCTGCCAAGTTTCATGAGCCGTCCCTCTCAGTGCGTGATTGAAGTTTGAATGTGTCCTAGCGGTCGAGTACCACTGACTGATGCCCTCGATGGTCGAAGATTCCAGTCGACGAAGTTCTTTTCAAGAGCAGCGGCCTACGGGGATCGAATGTCCTATGGCGTTCAGCATTCGCCCGGCAGCTATCGAGTTCAGGAGCAGAGACGTTTATAGGAAAAATCAGATCCTGAGTAAGGTGTCGAGCTTGCGCCCAGCAGACGGCGATCCATTCGATGTCGACTTGCAGGGAAGCGGGTATCCGTATCTAGCTTTGTGCTGCGAGAAGCCTGACGCGCGCTTGTTTCTGATTGCAGCACATGAAGAAGGAGGTGGAGCTTAGCTACCTCGCGCAGGAGGCCATCGCCCTCGACCGAATGTCGCCCTACGCCTGGTAAGCCCCGGGTCTCTACTGGACGCCCTGGAACGGCCTGGAAGGAACGGCCGGCCTGCCCGACACGTCTGTCTGCGCCGGCAGTTCAAATGCGCTTCTTGGGCGGCAACTGAAGGGCGCACCCTTTCTGTTTACTTGCGTGAGCGCTCTTTGTTGTTACATGTACTATCGTTTCAAAACTTGCAACTTCACAAGAAAGGTAAACCAGTCCTTAAACGGGCAACCCACGGCCAGCTCTGTATAGGACGCGTTCTTCACCACCAGTTTTGATTGTCGCAAAACCTGTTCTCATTTCCTGACACCGCTGCTCTTTCCGCGCAGGTGCGTGCTGGGCAACTGCTTCAGCCTGCAGCGCGAGCACGAGGCGGCGGTGCGCTTCTTCCAGCGCGCGCTGCAGCTGGACCCGCACCACGCGTACGCGCACACGCTCGCGGGCCACGAGCACCTCTCCATCGAGGACTGGGACGAGGCGCTCACCGCCTTCCGGGCGGCCATCCGGCTGGACGCGCGCCACTACAACGCGTGGTGAGACAGCACGCACACTGCTTTGCAGGGCTACGTACTTCAGTTTGCACGGAGCGCGCTTCACATCGTGCGTCGCGAAGTCGACTTTGAGTCTGATTTTCCCGGAGATACGAACCCATCCGAACGTATGTAAAGCCCGAGACTTTGCGACTTCCTTCGGCCCCAAGCTTCCAGGATCGTCGATTTGGTCTGGCAAGAGCAAATATGAGATGTGTGAATTGTAAATCCGATGTACAGATTCCTTCGCTCGGACGAACGCATGAGGCTCATGCTCTTGCTCAGGCATATTCCGAAGGACGTCCGTCTCTTGTCTGACTGTGCATAACGCTTTGCGGGCCGCACAGGTACGGGCTGGGCACGATCTACTACCAGCAAGAAAAGTTCGAGCTGGCGGAGTACCACTTCCGGCGCGCGCTGTCCATCCACCCCGGCTCCTCCGTGCTGCACTGCTACCTGGGCATGAGCCTGCACGCGCTCAAGCGCGACCGCGAGGCGCTGCAACTGCTGGACGCCGCCATCGCTAAGGACGCCAGGAACCCCCTCCCCAAGGTACGCCCCAGGACATCCAAGATTTGTGGTTTTCGACGTTTGGTTTTACTTCCGAAGTGTGGCCATCGCTAAGACGCCAGGAAATCCAGTTCGCAAGGTACGCCCCAGAACTTTCAAGAACCTTGCTCCAGGTCATACAAATGGCCATCGCTGCACATACCACGATTCCCCTTCCCAGGGTTTGCTCTTTAGGTTTCAATCTCGAGGTTGTAGGTTTTGAATTCTGTTCTGAACCGTGGCCAACGGCAAAAGGCCGGTAGCGCTTTCCAAGGTGGGCTTAGAGTTTTGAAGGTCTCCTTAGTGGGCCGGTGATCCTCTCTGTTTGTTGTCCATCGCCACAGAACCGCACGCCCCTCCTCAAGGCGGGCATAAGAATCAAAGGTCGGGCTTGTAAGGTCTTCGTCAGGAACGTCAGGTGATCTTTCGCCCGTGCCCATCGCGTTGCTGCACTTGCCCCTCGCCTTGGCCGAATCTTGCCAGGAAAGCGCCACGATGCAAAGGACAGCCGATCAAACAGCTTTTGACAAGAATACAGCGTCGCTGACTCTGACCGATGTGATCCGCGTATTTGCAGTCCACGCCCTCCAAAATACCAATTGCTTGCAGCTTCTCATTGACGCTTCGCCTCCTTGGCTCGAGGTTTTCGGTCGGCCGGTTGTACACGTGTGATGCAATTTTGGTCCGGTGGTTCTCCATGGTGGCCTTCTGACTTACTCAGCTCCTTTGCCTTGTGGGTTGCAGTTCGAGAAGGCGGCGGTGCTGTTCAGCCAGGACTTGTATGAGGAGGCGCTTGCGGAGCTGGAGGCGCTCAAAGAGGTTGCGCCAAAAGAGGCCAGCCTCTACTTCCTCATGGGCAAAGTACGAGCCCGCCAAACTTTTTCTGCTTGGGTTCGGCTTGAAAATCTTGTTTTGGGGTCCATCAAGGCGCCCAGAAGGGGGGGGAGTCTGTCTCACTCGGGGCGGTGATTTAGTCGGCTGCCGGTAATACTGGGGTTTGTCCAGATTGCAGGTGCCTTGTTTCGCACCTAGAAAAGAACTCTGTTTTGGTTGCCCAGATTCGGAATGGTTGACTCCGCTTAGGGCACGAGTTGTCAAGGGCCAGCAGACCTTCCTACGATGACGAGTTTACAGCAGCACAGCCAAAACTTGGGTTATTTGTTGCTTGAGAAGCTCTTACCTGAAGTAGTATTTGACTTGGAACGTAGGCTGTTGCGGTGGAGGTGGAGGTCTGACGGGTGTCGGGTGCGGTGCAGATTTTCAAGAAGCTGGACAACCCGGACAAGGCCATGCTCAACTTCAGCACCGCTCTTGACCTCAAGCCTTCCAACGCCGACGTCAACCAAATCAAGGTGAGCATGCGGCGGGAGAAAAACTTTCCGCTTATATGGCTTCGGTCAGCCTTGCGTCAAAGCTGATGGAATTCTCACATACAGGAAACTTGCGCCAAAAATGCTCGCAGAACTTTGTATTTCCCCTCCGCAGGCTGCAATCGAGAAGCTCAGTGTTCCAGACGACGGTGAGGGTGAGGAGCTGTAGGCATGCTCTCCTCCTGGGCGTTGAGCGAGTTTGTCTCCTAGGTCCGGCCTGACCAGCCTACGTTGAGACACTGGTCGTTTAACAACGTCCTTGCGGCTTAGGCCGTACTGTTCCTCAGATTTTGAAGTGCACTTCTGGAATTGAAGAAGCCCGATCATGTCGTCCTGTCAATCAGGAATTTCATATGTGGCCAGGCTATCATTCTGGCCGCGCATGGCACTGCCAGAATCTGCTGATTATTATAGTGGTCGGATATGCAGTATGCATGACCATCATTGAATCGATTGCGAATTTGAATGTGGTGCAAGATCCAATTCCACTGGCACAGTTTGAGTGTGCAAATTAGAAGTAGTATGAAGTTAATTACCCGTCCGTCTGTATATAATCATGCGACGGTTATAGAAATAACAAATTTTCTTGATTTCGCTTGCATGAAAGCTAGAGTCGCTCGTCGGAAAGCTATAAGCAGACATACATGCATCTCGATCATACTAGCTGCATTCGATCAATCAATCATATGACTACGTACTTCCATGTTCGATCTTGAGTTAAATTATATAAGCTTGCATAGATGACATGGCGGCCAGTGGCATGCGACGGTCGCATACAGTGACTACAATAGTTTGGCGGTTGCAACGACCGAACGGTGCATCCATTGAATCTTGTTCTTGCGTACGGTATATGCTGCCCTCAGATCGGACCGTGTATAGCTAGCTCATCCAGGCAATCGTAATTCAAATGCAAAAGAGGGTCATATACTACGCAGTGCAGCTAGCTGCCAATGGGCGGCCTGGCGGCTGCGAATTGAACCTCGATTACAATGCAATTCAATGATTGCAATCAATTCCATGGCATGAATGACTCACAATTGATAAGTTGGCAGGCCGGCTTGCTTGAGTGAGGCTTTGCTCACATATAGTAGCCCTGACGTCGGAGCTACAGAACAGGCCAGGAGCGGTCCGAGATTAGTTTAAAAAGACGAGTCCTTTAGCAGGTCATCAGGATTGCGCTGGGCAATGCGTGTTACTGATCGTGCTGTCCACTGCAGTCGGACAATTCTTTTCACTACCTTTCGATTTTCAACGTCGGGTCCAAGTTGAGCTGCTGGCCTTGGGGTGACTGTCCTGTCCGAGCGCATGCAACACGCTGAAAACGATCGTGCATGGTTAGAATCCCTCCCGTCAAGGAATCTAGCACGCAGCGTCTTTTCATGGCAGTTTCTGGTTGAGCTTGAGAGATGCTCCGCAGCGTCCTGGCCGCTATGCACTTCCCTCGATTGCACTTATCGTGGTGGAAGTCCGTCTCAAGCGTTTGGGAGCTTTGAGTTCAGATGCTCGATCCATTTCAAGAGGCGCACGTGAGCTTGCACAGCCACGCTCACTCGCCCTTTGCCCTGCGCAAGAAGGTGGATGACGAAGTTCGTTTGAGACGTGACCGATGTTTTCAACTTGATGAGTTGCAGGACCCTTAGCGCAGTACGCTAAGAAGTAGCCAACGTCGCTTCGGCACAGCTCGCCAATCTATGGAGCCTCACAAAAAAGCACAACATCGTTCAAACGACAGGACAACCACGAAGATATCCATCCTGTTTAGCTACAAGGTTTTCAATGGACCAAAAGTCGGTTAAGTGCAAGCACCGACTCTGGAGCGCCTCAAGGAACAAGAAAGAAAGCCCACTCCAAAACCGCAAAATCTAGCGCCTGAGTCCGTCTATCCCCTTTCCCCTCAAGAACCACTTCCTAGATTACCTACTCCTTAAGGTCCGGATTCCGGCAAGTATCTGGCATCTGCCCCTCACCTCGCCACGAATGTAATGTCGGCCGTCTTGACCAGCACCTCCTCGCCCTCCTCAATGAAGCCTGGAACCTGGATGCGCACGCCCGTGTCCAGCGTAACCATCTTGGTCGACGCCGTCTTGCGCTCCGTCTTGAACGCAGGTGCCGCTTCCACCACGCGACACCGCACTTGTGGTGGCAGAGTGGCCGTGACGGGGGTCTCCCCATGGAAGGCCACCTTCACCGGCATACCGTCCTGGGTAAAGAGAAAGGCGGGCCTATGGTTACCAAAGGTGACAAAGAGAGAGTGGTAAAGAGTAAAGAGACTCTTAAAGAGTAAAGAGTAAAGAGTAAAGAGACTACTTTCCGGCCAAGCGGCAGGATCGAATGTCATTCTTGGGACCCCCTTTGGACCGTACCTGTTGAACACGATCTTTACAATCCCAAACAGACGGAGCCAGTGACATGGCATCGGGCCAAACAATGTCCCCTTTCGATCCAATCAGAAAACGGCACTCAACGAATGCACGCTGAAACCTCAGCTGAGATCGTCAACACCTGCCGTTGGCCCACCTTAAGGAAGCCGCGCGCCTCTCCGAACAGCGCCTTGTCCACCGCGGCCTGGTCAAACGTCTTTGGGTCCATGAGCACTGCAGACGCTCCGTCATCGTAGAGGAAGGTGAACTCGCGGTCCTCCAAAATCACGCGCTCGAGGGCGGTCTCGGGCCGCCACTTGTCCACGTTCTTGCTACCGCTGTTGATGTCCCGCAGCTCCACCTGGATGCTGGAGCTTCCGCGGCCCTGATTATGAAAATATTGGTGTTTCAGGAGATGCGTGCTAGAAAATTGCGGGCGTGTTAGGAGGATACAACATGTCGCTAGCCAATAAAAGCGGGCTGGGCCAGGGGGAGCGATTGGGATTTAGGGAGCCATGACAGGGTCCGATGGCATTACAGGAACTGATTGGGTGGATGCTCATTGCATCTGGTGGGCTAAGGTAGCAAGCAGTCTAATGTGGTTCTTCCTACACAAACTTGTCGGAAGCTTATTTCCATGGGCCCGCTACTTTGTGGCACTGATCGAACCACTGTCGTCTTCGTGAATACCCTAGCAAGCACACTCAAAGTGCAAGCACCCCCGAATGTTACGAATTGCTTGCTTCCAATGCGCACCTGCATGGTCCAGACAGTCTTGACGACCTCTTGCAGCTTCCCTTTGAGCTCCACCACATTCCCAGGCTTGATATCGGCCGCTAGCGTACGAACGCCGCGCGCGAACACGCCGAGGGAGGATGTCGCATGGTTGCACAAAGTAGAACGGAATTGGAACACAGGAAAGGGTTCCAAGCCAAGACTACTCGAAGAAGAAGGTCTTACGTGCATGACGCCAGAAGAGGGTTGAAAAATGTGTGACAGTATTTGTGGTTCTTCAAACAAACCATTACCACCTCTTGAGTTGGCGCCCTCACTCAGCGATGCTGCAGCGATGCACACACTCTCGATCTGGTTTGGATAATCCTTTCTGCAACAATGCTCTCCATATTCTGCACCATTTTTGCTACCGCGTGGATCGTCAGCTGCCGCTGTGCCATCCCCAGAAGTCACCCCACTGGTGTTATGCAGACAGCGAGCTACCCCTTCCAGGCTGAAGCCATATCTTGAGGCGAACTGTCTGCTCAGGGAGTACATGACAGGGAGCTTGGAGGGCGCCATTACGACCACACGTCTCTGAGAAATCAGGGTTGAACTTGAACTTTGAAGGTGCCCAGGCCTTTGCAGTGCAAGTCCGGCACTGCCGGCGGCAGTCCAAGTCTCTTGCTTTTTCGTCAGCTGGTGACACTTGTCAGTTGCACATGCTCTTTGAGAACACGTGGGCTCGCCACGGTGTCAAAAGCGTGGCGTAGGGATCCCCCTCGCCTGACTCGAGTCAAAGACAATTTCGAACAGCTCGGCGCAGCCGCGCAGGTTCATTCGCCCTGGCCCGCGCGTTCTGGATTTTGGAAGGAAGAAATTCAAGGAGAAGATACAGCGCCCCTGGCAAGCGCTTCTCCTGCACCGCCGAGATGGTTCTGCCAAGGTACACGCACTTCGGGCCTCAAGGGCGGGGCACAGGAAGGCAACAAGGGGGTGCACTTGCATGGTACTCTAGGAAATGGCCCTTTGAGGTGGGGCCAGGAGGGCAGGGTGACAGGTATCTGGCCGACCAAGGGAGACCACCTGACTAGGACCAAGCAACGGGTTGGTGCTCAATTGGTGGTAGTTCTTGCCGATGGCTTTCTTGCTGCCTCATATACTGAGCTTTAACTTCCAAGGATGAAGGTTTATCTGCAGTGGCTTTGCTAGTCTTCAAGAATCAACGCCCGACGTTACTCGATGCAATTTAGAGCTATCCACGTCCTGCATTCAGCATCCAAAATGGTGGAAGACTCTAGCCATCATCCTCATCACTCGCCTGCGCTCTCCCTTTCTCAAGCATTTTGAAGCGGTATATATACGGTCTTCTTTTACCAAGCACTCGAAGAAAGGTGTGACGTCAGATCGGCTATCTTTGCAATAGTGCAAGAGCTTCCCTTAGGTTAAGGTTGCAGCAGAAGACGCGAGGAGCGGTGCAAACCATCCCCAAACTGCACGCCAGCGCATTTATGCCCATTCCTCCCCTATGGCCCTTCCATCGCAAGCAACTCAAATGTCGTGCTCCTGTCAAGCGCCCTCTGTCGTTCTCTCCTGCGGTCCCCTCTGTCACTCTGCCTGTCGGGGCTGGTTTTCTTGTTCACTGGGACTCTAACACTGGCGGTAGTCTGTCCGTAACTCACGTCGAAGAACCAGACCGCGTTCTGTGGAGCACCATTCCGGGAGAGTGCTTCCTCTCTGCTGCAGCTGGGGAGGAGAGAATCCGCGACAAGAGGGGCAGCATCAACGTAGCTGATCGGATCATCTATGGGTGTGGAAACCAGACTGTGGAGCGGATCTATGCGGCTGGCAGGGGGGACCGCCGCGGTGTCGTTGTGTCCGGGACGCTCTTTTCAGAGCCGCAGTGTGCAGCGCAGTCTGTGAAGGCAGCACCTACAGGTGAGGCGCCCCAAAGTGTAGGGAATGACCAGGGGTTTTGAATTCTTTCACTCGCCGATTGACAATGTGTGGTTAAAAGTCTGACGCAAGGAGCAGGCAGGTCTTAAACAAGCATGAGAAGAAGCTTGTGACCGACGAGGAGCTTCAAATGCCTCACGTCAAACCAAAGACGAGCAGCTTCTCCATACTTATTGCATCTAGGCTTCTTGTTCATTGCATCCTGGCTGGCAGAAACTTGAATGCTAGTGGGCCCTCTCCTTTCCATCATTGTCCTATTCTTCGCTCCAGAAGGTGCTGCCAACCCTAGCGTCTCCTGACTTGACGATCCCTGTTCAGGTACAGCAGGTCTGCATGGCGACACTCCTTTGCGCACAACCTGCACTGGGGGCTGCGTCATCCGCGTCCCATACCGCCTCACCTTCTCCGAGAAGCGCGCACACCACCTTGGCTTTGAAGTCTCCGTCGGGGCCGCCACCTTCACTGCTCCGCCCCTCTCTAGTTCTCCAAGCACTGCTTCGGAACATGCGCCGGAAGGCCTTGTTGGCGAGGACGATGCACTTTTGGGGCAGCTCAGAAAGGCTGAGTATGTGGCTGATTGGCTGGCCGGAAGTCAGCTCAACTCAGGGGGGATTCAAGACGAGGCTTGTGACGTCACCGTTCCTGAATCGAGCGATGAAAGCTCCGCGCTGCAACAGGAGAGCGATGGAGAGATTCCTGCACTTTCGATGCTTAGTCGGTCTGAGCCTAGCACTGGAGATCTTGCGTCTAGTTACAGCCAATGGTCGGCTGCCAGCGGGGCCTCAGATGCGCTCAGTGCAAAGTGGTGGTCTCTGGCAACCTCTGCTACTGACGAGGGGGTCGATGAGAGCAGGCAAGTAAGGGTCAGGGGGTGTGAGGGGGGGAGGCGGCTGCCACTGGCAATTAACAGGTAAGGAAAGGCCAAAAATGCTTGTTGCATCGGAGTTGGCGGTTTCAATTTTGGCTCCTTATCAGCTGTCTGTAGAACACTTTCATCTTTATTCCTGCATGTACGAGTGAGTATAAAGTTGTCGGCTGATGCCATGCCACATGACCTTAAGGGAGCCCCCCCTCTATGACCGTGCAGGGTGCAGCTGACGTACACGTCTGATCCTGAGGAGCGCTTCTTTGGGTTCGGGGAGCAATTCTCGCACTTCGATCTCAAGGGCAAGAAGGTGCCCATTCTCGTGCAAGAACAGGTAATTCGCCCCAGTCACAATCTACTCGTTGTTTGGGTCTTAGCAAACCCATACTGGCCTATCGCTCAATTACATCTTCTATCACAACGATCGTTCTTACTGCAAGTCTGCTGGTGACTATAACTGCTGGTTCTGTGCATCAGATCCAACGGACACTTTCGCAAGAGCGCTTGTGGCTTGATTTGCTCTATCCTGCTGCTGCATGTGTCTGCTCTCTATGCCATATCCGCGTGACTCTCACTCGATTTGTTCTCGATTCACCTCAATAAAGGTCACAAAAGGCGAAGATCCAATCAAGCCCTCACTAATTCGACGAATCTGAACCTGGAATCGCCTCCCCACTTTCAGGGCATTGGGCGTGGCGACCAGCCCATCACGTTCTTGGCCAACTTGGCCTCTCCCGGTTCGGGGGGGTCCGACACGAGCAGCTATGCCGCCGTCCCTCACTACATCACCAGCCGCATGCGCAGCCTCTACCTTGAGTCGTACGAGTATGCGCTCTTCGATCTGACCGAGCCGCACGCTGTCCAGATTCGGGTGAGCCGCTTTTGAAAAGCGCAGGTCCCTAATAGCGTCAATTTTTTCGATTGCGACTTGAGTACTGCTCTCTTCCCCGTGACACGAGAAATCCTGCCAAGATGGTCTGTCCGTTCCAACTCTTTCCATCTCGTGTCTTCGCTCAGCCGCTGTTTGGAATCTGCCTGTGCTTAGGATGATGCTTTCAACGACACGCACACAGCCTGCGTCATTAAAAGGTATAGCTAGACATGAATTTTCGCTCTTCTTGCAGGTGCACGCCTCGTCCGTGCATGGTCGCATTCTCCACGGCACCACCCCCGCGCAGCTCATCGAGCGCTACACGGCGGCCATCGGGCGGATGCGCCCCCTGCCCCGCTGGCTTACGCGAGGCGCTGTTCTGGGCCTGCAGGTAAGAGGGTACTCAGCTTTTTGCAGCTCCTTCTTGCGGCCTATTTTAATAGTGAAGTCCGTATTGTCATCCAGACTCGCGGGTGGAGAGAGATAGCGAATGCTCACTCCTTTTCAAGCCCACTGACATTCTTCGCAGGAGATTTTGAACACAAAATCGTCCACGCTCTACTGATGATTTTCAAATTCTACCGCCTTAGTCCATCTTGTCGTTTATCTTCAAAACTTTTCATTTTATGTATAGTATTTGGGTCTAAGTTCGGAAAAAACATTTCTTGAGATGTCTAATGCTGTAACAGCCGCCCGCCTGGGGTCTTCAGGGCGGCACGTCTGCCTTCTAAACGACGCTTCTTGCAATCCTGGCAAGATATCCTTGTTGTCGCCACTTTTCTGAACCAGCCCGTCTGTCTCCAGGGCGGCACCGCGCGCGTGCGCGAGATCTTGGCACAGCTGCGCGCGCACAGAGTCCCGTTGGCGGGCGTCTGGCTGCAGGACTGGGTCGGCCAGCGGCGCACGGCGATCGGGTGGCAGCTCTGGTGGAACTGGCAACTAGACCGGGAGCATTACCCCGATTGGGAGGCGCTCGTGGACGAGATCCGGGCGGGGGGGGCGCGTGTCATGGGCTACGTTAATCCATTCTTGGCGAAGGTGAGCGGCTTGAAGGGGGCGGCAAGTTCGAGCATCTGCAGACTGGTGTGGGTAGCTTGAGGTTGTTGTTTAGCTTGAGGTTCTGGTGCTCAGATGCAGATACGAAGGGAAGGAAGCCACCAATCCCCCGTTAAAGATTGTGGCAGTCCGCAACTTGGAACCAAGCCTTCAAAGTCAGCCATTGTTCAACAAAGAAAATTGCGAAGAAAGACTCAGTTTTCTAGAGGAAATGCTCACTTCGTCGCACCGAATTACAAGCGTCCCAACCTTTATTTACAGCGTCAAACTGACACAAACTTGATCTAAGGCTCGAAACTGACCTAGACTCGATCCACCGCTCGAATATGACCGTAACCTTAATCTACGGCTTGGAAGTACACGCGGAACGCCCGATTGCAAAAACATCCATCTGTATCCCGCTTCCGTCCGATCTTGCATCGTTCACCTCAAATCAAGTTTCGACCGCCGATATTATTAAAAGTGCCCGGTACTCGTAGCCGGTACAGTTCGATTGTTGTGGGACCTAATCTGAGGCCGACTGGAAGCAGTCCGTAAACTTCAGCCAATGCGGGATATAGCTCACACGTGCTCTGCCAATTTGAAGATCCGGCTTTCCGCGTGGTAACCCCGATTGATCTTCCTCAGGTGGGCGGTCCGCAGGCGGCACACTACGGGCGGGACTTGTTCCAGGAGGCGTCTGCCCGGGGCCTCCTGGTGCGCGCGCGCGGAGGCGGGCCGTATATGGTGGAGAACACCAGCTTCAGCGCCGGCCTGCTCGACCTGACGAACGCTGACGCCAGGCACTGGCTCAAGGACGTCATGAAAACGGTGAGCGTTTCCTTTGGTTTAATACTGGCCACCCTGCCTAGCGAGGTTCGTTGACGGTTTGCCATCGTTATCAAGCGTTGATTGAATGAACGGCTGTCGGGATTCCAGTCACGAGCTACGCAAATGAGATACTCAAAATGGAATTCGTTGAATGTGCAGGCAGCCAGCTAATTTGCGGACGTTTTGAAGTCATTTAGGACACTCTGTGATGAACAAGTTTTTTTGTAGCTTCAGTCCTCTTTCTAATGGCATTTTCGCTCTTCTCGATGTGAAGATTGCATTGACTTCCGAGCGCATTCATTGGCTGTTGCTCCTCTGCTCTTCCAAACTCTTGCGGAACAATCTTTACTCATACGCGCATGATAAACATCATTCGTTTGTTGCTTCAATCCTTTTCCTAGTTGCTATTTCCTCTTTTGGATTCAAAGATCGCATTGACTTTGGATTGATTCCACAATTGGCTGCTTCTCCTCTGCTCTTCTATTCTGTTACGAATAATTTTCAATGAGAAGCTCCCTTGGCAGGAGATGGTGCGCCTCGGCATCGACGGCTGGATGGCCGACTTCGGCGAGTCGCTGCCCTTCGACTCCGTCCTTCACTCAGGCGAAAATCCCGCCGTCGTTCACAACAGGTACGCTACTTGTTCAAAATCTGGCTTGCCCACATTCGGCTGACATACACCTGACATAGTTGGCGCTTGAACAGGTTATCAGCTGCTCAAAGCTCAGCCAATCTCTCTTCTCAATCTGCACAATCATGAAAGAACAAACCAACGTAGCTTAAGGCCCTCGTAGCGTAGGTCTCCCTTCAGAAGAACTCTTTCTTTGTCCAGCCCTCCAGCAAGCTGCCTTAAGACCAGTGTCACAAGCAGTTTCCTCCAAAAGCTTCCATTGAGTAGATTTCGCATACTTCGCCTTGAACTTTACGTTACCGGATGTCATTCTTTGCCAAGTTCCACGTTCTTTCTGCTCGTCTGCTTTTCGTACTGCAGAGCGGACAGCCCCTCTCCACGTTCTTCTGGATTAATCATCGCCTTTATTAGTACGACGAATCCCCTGAGCTCGGTTTGCGGAGTAACGGAGTAACGGCTGGTTTTCCGACACCTGCTTGGGCCTTCTCTCTTCAGGTACCCCGAGATGTGGGCCCGGCTCAACCAAGAAGTCGCGGACGAGGTCGAGGCCGAGCGTTCTTACGCCCGGTTATCACTCCCCCGGACACTTTCACCCGCTCATTCCGCTGCCTTGAAGAAGCTCCTCCTTCCCGACCCGGAGCAACCAACCGGGACGCCTCTGAGGGGATCCCCCCGGCAGAGCTTGTCGTCCTTCTGCGGCGCTGCCAGCTGCAGCAGTAGTTGGGCGAGTCTGCCGAGCGACGACTGCGGCGACCAGCTCGAGGAGGGAGGTGCTGATTGGTCGCCCTCCCAAAGCCCCGGCGCGTTTGCTTTGCTCGATACGCCGGATGCGGAAGAGACCGTCGAGCCGTTTTTATTGGAAGACGTGTTTGAGGCAGAAAGCCCGCAGGTTCCTGCTTTTGTCGCGCAGTCCAGTCAAAGTTCTGAGGCGGGTCTGCTGGAGTCGGTGAACGATGTTCGGGTAGGAATTACTTCGACAAAACATATCGAGAAGGAGAGTCGTTTGTCGGAATCAGACGGAGAATTAGTAGCAGACGAAGAAGGCTTTGAAACCGAGACTGAGAGTCCTTTGCCAGCAACAGACGGAGAACTAGACGCGGACGCATTGGAGCGAGACAACGAGGAACTAGACGCTGCGCGGCCGGTCTTTTTCATGCGCGCGGGGTACCGGGGCAGCCCGGGCGCGGCGTCCCTGTTTTGGCTGGGGGACCAGATGACCAGCTGGCAGCGACACGACGGCATCAAGAGCGCCGTCACGGGACTGCTCTCCGGAGGTGAGAGAAAGCAGCAGTGCTTTTTTGGAGTTCATTTGTCCATTAGCTGGTACTTCCACTTTCGCTCGATGCTTGCAAGCTCGACCCTTTGACTTTTGAAGAGGGGAACCTGAAAAATCTAAGCGAACTTGTTGCAGTTTTAAAAGCGAGCGCTGTGATTGTTACGGTGACATTTGTGGAAGAGTTTGCTAAGAAAAGATCGTGCACGCGTTGCTCAGCTGCCCCCGCGCTAATCGCTTTTCGAACAAGCCTCTTTGCTGCTCAGCCAGACTGCCCTTGCTTCTCCAAATGAAGGCCCTCAAACACGCTAGAAAGTGCAAATCTCACCCTTATCACTCCGAGGTTAAGTGACAATAAGAGCCAAGCTGACACTGAATATTGAATTCAAACATGAACACGCCAAGAACCCGTGCCCACCTTAAACCTCCTTAAAAACATTTCAGGTCTGTCCGGGTTCAGCCTGAACCACGGCGATATCGGTGGCTACTGCTCGGTAGCCCTCCCCGGGCCGCTGGGCGTAACTAGGAGCGAGGAACTTCTGCTGCGGTGGATGGAGCTGGCGGCTTTTACTACGGTCTTCCGCACGCACGAGGGCAATTTGCCGCACGCCGGCGCGCAGGCCTACTCCAACGCGCGCGCGCTCGCGCACTTTGGGCGGATGGCGCGCGTGTACGCCGCGTGGGACTTTTACCGCCAGGACCTTATGCAGGTAAGTTTGCGATACCTTTCTTATGGACAGGGATTCTGCTTTGCGCAGTGGGTTGTCTACAGTAGTTCCTATCTTCTTTGAAAGGGCGAGCGCCTCTTGCGGTCGTGATACAGCTTATCCACGCTGTCCGTGCTTTAAGAGCGGATTACAGGCTTGATTGAAGTGCTTGATCATCCGGTTTGATTTATCCTAGTCCTCAGGCAAAGCATTGACATGCTCGAGGAAAGCCCACCCTGCGTAGATTTGTTACAAACCCAGTCAAGTCGGATGCCTTAAGCTCGTTTCGCCGTCTCTCAGTTTGTCCCACCTTTCCGCTGCAGTATCCATGCCTTCGCTGGCATAGAACCATAACCAATTTTGAAATCGTCACCATTTCTATCGCAGGAGGCCGCTTCGACAGGCCTGCCCGTTGTGCGCCATCTGTTTCTGCACTACCCGCACGACCCGACCGTTCACCGGCTGACTTACGAGCAATTCTTGGTCGGGGACCAGATCCTTTTTGCCCCGGTTCTAGACCCCGGGACTGCCCGGGTCAAAGTGTACCTGCCCGGGGGAGAGGTTTGGCAGCACGTCTGGTCGGGGAAACGGCACCAGTCGACTTTGTCGGAGGGGAAAGGGGATTTTGTAGAAGTAGAAGCGCCGATGGGCTTTCCCGCTGCGTTTGTGCGGGAGGGCTCCCGAGTTGGACGTCGCTTCTGCGACAATCTGCGTGAGCAAGGCCTGTTGCAGTAGTCACGAAATGTTTCTGCCAGCTTTGTGTTTGATTTTTGTGCAATGACACTCAGGAGCTAATCAGAGGGCAAGGTTCAAGTTAAGGTCCTTCAAACACGCATTGCTTCAGGTGGCGGTAATCTTTGGATGTATGAAGTGGCTGTATGAAGTGGCTAACTCTAGCCTTGTTTTGGAAGAGGGTATTCAACGTGAGTCATAGGATTCTTTGCAAACGATCTTGATTCAACCGAAAGGCTTGCAGACTCCCGTCGGAAGGAATCGGCCGTCCATGCATACATGTCACTGTACCTCGATGTTGCGCAGCGTCGTGCACAGCGCAGCGCTACGCAGCGCCCGTTCACTCCATCTAGTACGTGATCAGTGAGCTCAAATAAGGCCCGGGCCGGCTACCGTCTAGGCTACTAGGCTACTAGAGCCTAGGCCAGCTTTGAACTCCTGAGAAGCTGCATTTCGATCAAGTCATGAAATTGGCGCTGTGTTCGTTGATCTGCATGCAATCATTCTTCAGTACTGACGCGGTGCGCAAGAAATATGATCTTTCTTAATACAATATGAGTCCAGACACTATGCATGTGCTGTGTACGTTGGTGCATGAATACCTTAGATTGAACGGTTAGTATACGCAGAAAATACTAAAATATAGCTTGATCATGATATAACATTCAGGTTGAAAGTACGTGCACATAAAAGGCGCCGCGGCGGCGGCCCATGCGATGAAATCGAAGCCTGGTGCAAATTCGATCGGATCGCAAGTGTGCATGTGCAATTGCATTAATTACATTAATGCCATCTGCTCCGGCGGCAACAACGTGTAGCATCGGCACTGTTGCATGCTAGTCATATCGGACTTGTCAGTTATTCAACCAACGAAGTTCGAAACGGCAGGCGCTGCGCGCGGCGGGCCGCCCGGCCCTTTAATGGGCTGGCACGCGTACTTGCACTAAAGCTTCATCGGCATGACTCAATCACACAGCTTATTACTAAGTTCGGATATATAGCAAACTCAGATTGCGCGCCGCGTTCGGCCGCAGATCTGGATTAGACGATCGTCGAATGACTCCTGGCAGGCAGCCAACAGTTCCGATGATAACCGGGCCTCTCAAAAAACTCATTAAGCTGCAGTGCCGCAACAAAAACAAGAAATCAGGAACGGATTCCAGATAAGTGCGCTCAATGGACGCAAATTGACCGTGATTATGCTACTTGGTCCGAACAGGCACTTAAAACAGCCTGTCCAGTCGAGTCCGTTTGCTGTGTAATCTTGCCCTTGTACCCACTCTATGTCCCTACACCAACTGCCTGTCGCCTCGTCCTTGATTACTCTTTCCTTGGTCCTCGACCTCGTGCCCTCTTACCGTTTTGGAGAAACATGACGACCACGTGGTTTGGCACGTGTCTTCAGATCACCCCAAACGGTGGTGGACAATTCGTGCCCACTTAATGGTGTCACGCCGGGCCGCCTTCGCTTGCGAGTCCAAGTACCGCTAGGATAGACCTGCACGGAAGCTTGCCACAGGTTCTGCTTCTGATAGACCCGGCTTTTGAAGGTTAGCAGAATTTGATTTGGAGTGACAAAATGCCGTTTATGCCTGTTCGTTTTTTTGTGAAGAGGACAACCGTTTGGAGGTATTTGCCTAGCATGTACGCTAACGGCAGTTGGAATGTCGGGCTCTTTTCTAACGTCACATGAAGATTATTGGGGCCCCGCAAAAGTTCAAAAGTGGTGGGAAGTTTAAGCCGTCAGACACGGGGATTTAGCCGGCCCTCGGCTGCAAACGGTGAATGACACTCGATGCGAAGACGAGCACGATTAAAATGTGAGTAAGCGGTGTTCGTCAGCTGGGAAAGACTTGTTGTAAAACCGACGAAACAAAACAACGTGCAGCAAAACTGGATGTCCAAGCCGCAAGGCGTAGCGCCTCACCTGGGCAAGGCGGTCCTTGCTGACGTATGCGTGACGTGAGCCGCCAGCAGCGGCTTCAGGTCCGGATTCTTCGCCACCACTTCCGCAACTTGGCGGGCCGGTAGCTGTAGCAAGGATTGAAAGCGGGTATAAATTCACCGTATGGACGTGACACGATCCGGTATTCTAGCCGTCTGTTTCGCAAGTATGAGCAGAGAAGAAAGCGTCAGGCTAAAGTGAGAGCGTGGTCAGTGGTCTGGCCCAGAGTTTGTTCGCTGGTACACAGGCGATACTTAGCAGGAGAGAGGATTGTTATGTCCTTCGTGCGACAGATCCATACTGGTCGGCAATGGCGGTAATGCTCCCCGCCAATCAACCCTAAAGCTCCCCGACAGCATTCGAAGACGACGCGCCTCGCCGTGGTACCGCCAACAGAAAGTCGCTTCAACAACACCCTGGAGACCAAGTCCATGAATGATTCGACACTCAGCGGCTTCCGCCCGTAAACCTGACACCTTTGAACTCGAGACGCCCCTTATGCAAACGAAGCGTGTAACGAGACACTTCTCAGTCATTATAGCGGGCGGTACGGCATTTCCCGGGACCATTTCCAAGTCAACCTCTTCAAACCCTCAAGCCCTGAAACTGATTGAAACCTGAAGCCCCACAATTGTTCGAAACGAGAGCCCGTGGCGCACCTGAAGAAGGACCGGGAGGGAGTCGGGGACGGTGTGGTGCGCCGCTTTCAGAAAGCCCACCCACAGCTGCGGCATGTTCCAGATTTCTCGCCGCACTAGTCGGCCCAGCAGCTCAACTACGAAGGGGCGCAGCGAGGGAGACGCGCCGACGCTTTGAAGGACGGTTCGCATGAAGAGCAGCGGGATAGGGCTGCGCTCGACCTGGAGAAAGGGCGGATGAAAGATCACAGAATGGCTGAGGGACAACCAAGAACCGCCGTCTAAGTTTCGACCAGCCAGCAGTGTACGCTTTGGATAAGTTGTATATCGGTGGTTTGAAACCGTTCGAAACCGTCCTGCCAGAACCGGCGATTATCAAAGGGTAAATCTTGCGAACGGAAGTCGCTATGTTAAAATGGACGGTAACACTGCAACTTTGAGCGTCGCAATCGTCTGCAATCGATCCTTGCGGAATAAGAGGCGGAGTGAGTCGGTATGACCGCGTTGCGGAGGGTACACTCTTTACAGTCTGAACAAGTAAGTTAAGGGAACACACGCTGGCCAATGTTCAATTTCTCAATGGCAGTGCACCAACGGGCGGGTACGTTGCAATGCTAGGGTCCGTAAGACAACCCGTCATCAGTAAGCATCTAAAGATAAGTGCTGTTCTCAAAGGATGGGAAGGAAGCAGCAGATTGTCGAACAAGAGAACAAGTCTTTGAGCCCCTTCAGGAAAGATCGCTTTCGGCGACGCAATTAGCAGACGACTCCAGCATTTCTCAAATTTCTTTCTTGGATTAAGGGCTTTCACCGGAAAACTTCTCGACTGCTGAATGCTCCCGAGTAGCTCGACAACGGTTTCTTTGAACAATCGACAACAGCGAAACGACTTGTCTCACCAGTTGGTTGAGCGTCGTTGCCAGCACCTGCGGCGTGAAAATGGTCCGCTGCGCCATGCACGCGGTGCAAGCGTCGGTCACCTGCGAGGCAGCGCGTGATGTCAGAAGAAACTCCAGGGAGTCAGGAGAAACTCGCTTTCAGTGACACAGCCGCATAATCGAGCAAAGAAGCATCATGATTTCCATCAAAACGAGTTCTGTCATGTGATTTCTGCTCCGAAGTTGGGGGCTCAAAAGTTCCTAGCAATTCTAGGCTCCTCTTTCCTAACCTCAGTCACAAGTTCAGAAATTTCGAAACCTGACACGTAGCCGTTTACAGCGGCAGAAGGAATCCGGCAAAAGAACCGCACCTTTTTGAGCGGCACGCCGTCCCGTTTCGGGTCCACCTCGTGGAGGGCCACAAGCACCTCCGGGGGCGTTAGCGCTGGGCCCGTGGCAGCGGATCCCTGCACACGTACGGAGCACAACTCTATGACGATTGCGAAACTCAAGTCTGATGGCCCTACTTTAGAGATTGGGACTAGATCAAGCGCGGGATCGCTTGGTATCGCTTCGGGATAGCCAGTGAAAGACAAGGGAGATCGAGACGTCGACGAAAGTGTCTTCCGCGGCAACCAGTCTGCCTTCTTTTGCGCTCCAAAACCCTTTTCAACGGAGGCAAGAAACAACATTACAGAGAATGGAATCGAAGGGTCTCTACAGGCTTTCACAAGTAAGCCCGGATCTGAGAACCATAGCTTTGGCAGACAATCTTCCATGTGACACCAGCACGTTTGCAACTCCCAACATGAAAGTGCAAGAAACGGCGCACTGGAACAATTTGTCGAGGCCATGAACGAATGTCTACTTCAGCTGCCGCGACGTACCAAGGTCACCGTGCTACATTGAACTAGAGCGGTGGGTGCAACATGGGGAAAGGTGTGTTCAATCACCTGGAGGAGGCGGTTGAGGGCCAGCTTGAATTGCGGGAGGGGTAGTGTTACGAGGGCAGGGAACACGGATCGCGCCTGCGGATAAAATTTGAGCATCATAGGACTTCCGCAAGTATAATCCGCAATCTTCGCAATCATAATGTGCACCGTCATCGTAATCGGTAGGAAGAGAGAGGCCCCGCGAGTAACGAACTTGATGCGCCTGAATTACAGAAATCAAAGGTGGGCGGACAACAGCATAGAAGACTTTAGTCGGATTTAGTCGCAGATCAAAAAGGAAAAAGAGCTCTTGTATCCCACCTCAAAGAGGACAAGAGCTTTGTTAACGCGAACAAGTCGCACGTCGGGAGTTGAAAAGAGCGACGCATCAGCGTAAGCCGTTTTAATCCAGCGCAATCAGTCTCGGAAGCGAACTGAGCTTACCTCGTCCTTGGTCATGAAGGAGAGGATTGGAATCAGCAAGCGAGCATCCTGCACAGAAAGACGCGGTACGACTTTGTGTGACGACGACACAGCTTGGGTTACGCGCTTGCTCGCACGAAAGTTTTGATTGCGCCCACAACCTTCATTCGAGACAAATATCAAAAGGCGGGCAGAGAATCTGGGCAAGTCTTCAGCTGAAAAAGCGTTGCGCAAAGATACCAACATCGCCTCAGGTTCAAGAAAGATCGAGGCAAGGCATACCTGGGGCGTCTTACCATTGCACTTTTGAGTGACTCAGAAATGAGCATAGAAACCGTTCAACGTCAAGCAATTTTGTCAGTGATCTTCCGAGACGAAAGGGGTGAGTAAAGCCGCACCTTGAGCTTGGTTTGGTACAGCGTCTTGACGCGCTGGGTGAGCTCCTCGGGCGGAGCCGCGCCCTCCGTCAGCACGTTCAGAATCTGCACGCAGCGCACGCAATCAAATCATTTAAGGCGGAGAGAAGAGCAAAACAGTTCTCAAGGGCTAGCTTGCTTGTGCTAAGCCCGCGAATACATTGCTCATGCACGTGGGCGGTTCAAACTTTTCCAGGCACTACCTTTGATTTCCTAGTGCTCCAACCTACTGTTTGACTACTTCTCCCATATCAGTGGGCGGTACAGCAATCAGGTCTCACCGTCACATACTTCCAAAAGCAAGTTTCTGGGCAGAGCTGAAAGAGATGGAAGGTCGCGTGGAAAGATCGAAACGGAAAGCATCGAGTGTCGAAGCGCCAAGTTTGGAAATTAGAACTTTTGCAAGGCGCTCTTTTATTACCTGGAGAAGCAGCGGTTCCACACCGGCGGGGGGGTCCTCCAGGATCGCCAGAACCGGGGGGGAGGCAGGGCCTACTGACTTGAGCAAGAGCGGAATCTGCCGCAGGATTGCCTGCATACACCCCATGACGTCAGCACTTGCGCGGCCAGATTGCTGCTGATTCTCTTTAATCAGCAGAAAGGGGATCAAGATTGGCTTACGCGTGAAGAACGACCGGATGTTGGCGGGGATTGACGGTGCAAAACTGGACAGGAAAGCCACAGCGGCGCACACGACAGCAGCAGCAACAAGCTACAAACGCAATGTGCATCAAAACCATGACAAGCATCAAGCGATCCCAGTGATCTGACGGGCGGTTTACAGGATCACGGTAAGAAGCATCCAACGCACAGGGATGAGAACAGACAAATGAACCTCGGACTGTCGTGTTTACCTGCTTCGCTCCCTTGCCGGCTTTCCCGTAGCGAGCCACCAGCTGGGGCAACAACTCGGGGCTCTGCAAAAGGGACGCACGGCCGTTGCAGTTACAGCTGTCCTTCGATACAGTCCGCGACAGTCCCTTTTAGGTTTGCCAAGCTAGACACGCCCAAGCCAGGTACTTCCAGATGTGTTCACAGTTCAACGCCAGAGTATTTGAAGACCTTGAGAATCCAAAGAGTACAGCTGAGCGTTTCAAATAGCGTGAATTAGAAAGTTGCAATGGCCGGTCCCGATCTTCCGCTTCTTTGAATGGTTTTGATACCAGTGCCTCGAAAGAAAAGCAACGTGCCCTGTCCGTTGGAAGGGAATGGAACTTGGTTGTGATTCTGAACGCAAAGGCAAAAAGCTTCGACCCACCTTGTAACAGAGCCCGAAGAAGAGGCTCATCTTCTGCTTGGCCGCATCCGCCGACGTCCCCGCCTCCCGCCCGCTTTCCGTGCGCTCTAAACGCGCGCGCCCTTCTTCGTCGTCCTTTTCCGCCGCTTGCGAAACCCCCTCGAGAGCGGCTTCTTCTTGCGTCGCTTCTTCCAGCTGTTCGCGGGCCGTTGCCTGGATAGCGTCTCGGCAGTATGGCAGCGGGTATAGCTTATTGGCCACCTGGAACAAGGGTTCCGATAACTTGGGCTCGAGACTCCATTTAGTCCAGTGACGCAAATACGGAACGGAACGTTCAAAGATGGAAGCGCAATTCGATGTCGAATGGGCGCGTTGTGACGATGTGCGTCCTTAAACCGCTTCCTGCGGTTCCTTGTGTCAAAGTGAAACGACTCGACGCCAAGCTGGTGGAGCGACACTAGTGGAACCACAGGCAAGCGGGCCGTGTGAGCGGATGTGTGCGACAAGGGTCCGCATTTTCTTTAGCTCAATGGCTCGTAACACACGGGCCGTGTCGCTTGAGCTACTCGACGACAATCTGCTCCGTCAACCAAAAGGGTGAACAGCCGTTAAGGTTAACAACGCTTACCAAGCGGATGGCTTTGTTTCGCACCTCCTCATTCGGATGCTCGTACGTGCACTGCAAAAGGCAATTGCTGTGATTGATTACTGATCGGAGAACAGAGCTTGGCTGAAGTACAAGGCATCAACTCGACGTCAGCACAAGATATGCGCATCAGATGCTGGTTGTTGACTTGGCGGAATGCAGGCAGAGTTGGATGTCAAGGGCGAGGCACTTGGCCGCAGTCCAGTGAATTTAACACTATCTTCCAGTATCTTCCAGTAACGGAGTGCCTCTGTGCAATCCACACGAGATGTGCCTTGACCTCTTGTAGAAAGCCCGATTGCCTGAACCAACTGAAGAGTCCCTTCTTCACTGATAACTGCCGCTCTACGATTAGAACTGACACTGCGCCAGCAATCGGGAGGGAAACAGAACATACGTGTACCAGTTTTGCTGAGCCCCTCACCTTCAGAGCGATCTCCAAGCACTCATGCCGCAGCATCGGCCGCTGCAAAATGAGCGCCCACAGCGCGCTGAGACTCTGGGTGACGCGTTCCAGGTACCCGGCAGCCCCCCCTTCACGTAGCCCACTTTCCGGGGGGGTCCCGTCCTCTGCTTCCGGAGGGGGGGGTAACAGCATGGACTGCAGAAGTGCCAGGATGGAGGGGGGGAGAGCGGGCGCGTCGCAGAGCAGTCGCTGGAAAGAGCGGTCGGAGGAGGGGAGGCGGGAAGCAGCCGCCCGGGCCTGGAAAAGGAAGGGCGACAGCTTAGGTCTTAAGGGTCTAAGGCGGATGCGTCGTGGATCGTTGAGGTCTTTCAGGGCCAAAGCACATTCAAGATGCTGGGCCAAATTTCACGGGAAATATTTCGAAAAGACGTGCCAAAAATTTGAAAGGGGCCCTGAGAATTCACAGGTCCTCTACTGGAACGACACTTGATGTTGCGAATGAATAGAGCGCGAGGTCAGCAGATGGCCCAGAGTAGGTCGTCCAAACCAGAGAACAGTCGTTTTCAGACCACATTTTGAGCCAAAGCGCTCTCTAACAGGCTCATGGGATCAGATCAGCGACTGAGCTGAACGTAATCCTCAAATTTGAGTTGGCAGACGAGCGCCCATCTTTGTTTCAGGAATGCCGCGTCTTGTCAGGCTCCGTACCGTAGCTTTCAAACAGGAACATTTTCTGCCATTCACGGAACAGCAAGCCGTATGAAGGTTCAACGAAACGGCTAGCTGTGCTCGTGCTCGTGAAAGCGAGATCGTTCTGCATATACCCATTTCAGAAATCTACCAGAGCTTGAAAGCTTTAGTCGCCATTTAACGCACTGGCAAGCTACCCAAGCGACGGCGAAAAAGGCAGAAACCCGCGAGTGTCGACGCGTGAGCAACGCCTTGCATTCCAAATCAAGCGGACATCATACGCTCTTACATACTCATTTGAGAATCATCTAATTTGCCTGCAACTTAGCGTCTATGCTCCGTCCGCAAGTCTGAACAAACTGGTGAGGTAGCTTAGCTTAAGTTGCGATAACTACGTTGGGGGCTATCATTCGGCGGCACTTCATGCACGCTGCTGAGAGATGACCGACTTTCCGTTCGAATCGTGCGTTGAGCAACGCAGGACAGCAGGCACAGGTGCCGCACTATAGAAGAAACTGGATCTTCCCAGCATCACGTATGCTATTTCATAAAAACTACTCTCTTGTCTTGGACGAGATAATCTACTCTCACGGCCCATCTTGTTATTCGCCATCACGAAGAAGCACAAATTCTTACAGAGGTCAATATACAAGATAGCCCTCGCACCTCGTTTGAGCCATCTCGAGGGCCAATCGAATGAGACAATTGAGATAAATACTATTCGTGAAACAATCTGATGCAGCCTAGACACATCAGAGACTCGACCGTGGCTTTCAAGCCCCTTCACCTTGTCGGCCTTTGCTAAGGCGGCTCGGCGGCAACTAAACGTACCCCTGCTGTTACAGCAAAAGCGCACAGAAGCAGCTCCTTGGAAAGACAGCCGTTTGGAACTAAGATTAAAAACTGCGGAGTAGCTGCTCCATTTCCGAAGGAACAAAAAGAGCATCCGCCAGCAGCCCTCTCTCGACCGAGCAAACCGATTTTGTGCTGCGTGAAAGGCTCAGACGAGGTTGGTAGACTGCCGAAGGCAGGCGCAAACCAGCCGTTGACATCATACTGTGGGTATACCAACGCGTAAAACATCAAAGTTCCACCAAGGGTGGTCAAATCACAGTTGCGCAATGGCGAGACGAAAATTTGCTCAAACATAAATCCCAAACTTACCAGCAAAAGCAGCAACGCCTGGTAAGCCTCCGGCGCTTCCCGCCCGTCGTCGAGCACCGCCAACGCTTTCGCGCCCACTCCGTCCTCGTCCATGACGTCAGCGCCGTCCTCGTCCATGACGTCAGCGCCTTCTTCTTGCTGGAGCTGGTACAGCGCGTACATGCAGTACAGCCATTGCAGTGCCACCTCGAGAGCCTGCCGGAAAAAGTACAGGTTAAAAATGACAGTTCAAAACTAAGATGAAGAAATAAGTGCAGGGTATCAAGCTGAGATCCGTTGTGCTTTCGCCCGAATACTCGTGATCGTTCCCACTTGTTCCCTTTGTAACTTCAACGCAACAGGAGTCCCATGTGCGTTGCTTAACGCCCTGAATCTGCAACCGAGGCGAACAGCGATTTGGCAAGACTGTTGCTTCAAAGCAGGATTCTGGACAGAGAAAGTGTCATCCGAGCAGAAATTTGGAAATAAAACAAAGAACTGGACTCGAAAGGAACCGAACTCCTGTAAAGCGGCGCTTTGGATCATTTTTTTGAGAAAGCTGATTCCGTGCAAGGATCGACCACAAGTCGACCACAAATAGAACGACGCAAACAAGCACAGATTATTGTCTATCAGTATGAACCGGCCAGCGCACTCTTTGACGGTCATGCGAAGAGGCAGATTCGACGAGATTATGAGGTCAGTTTCCGGATCTCCGCTCTTTGAACTGGTATCATGCAGCGAATTGGATGGTCTGATGCCAGATACGATAATACAAAGCTGTCCGACGGCTCACGTCATTCCGCAGAGCGTCTCCAAACAGCTGAGCCACGATCGCCTCCACCCGTCCAGTTTCTACCTCCTCTTCGGCCTGCAAAGAGGACACAACGCTTGCAGCTTTGGTACAAAGCAGCTGTAAAATGACTCACGAAACAGAGCGAGAGAGACTGTGACAGGTTGCGAGAGCACTGATCTCAGCAGCGGGCTTGAAGCTTTCCAGGAGTACCAACCTTTCTTTTCACCGTTCAGAACGCGCATATTGTAATGACTTTACAAGCACAGGCTCATACCAATACCCTGAACATTCTGCGTCTCGGCCACACTTAAAACAAAGAACCATTTAAGATATGAACAGGGCCAATTCAAACACGCAAAGGCGCAAAGGTATTTCAATACCTGCGCCAGCATCCTCCCAATGAGTGCCGCCCGCAGCTGCCCCGCGCGCGCCCCCCTCACTAACTGCCCCGCCTTGACAACCCGGGTTATCGCCCCCCGGGCTTGTTCGACCCTCTGAGCACTGCTCAGCGGAACCACCGCCCACCGCCCTTCACCTACCCCGGCCACTAGAGGGCCCGTCGCGAGGGGGGGGGTCGGAGTGCGGGCCAAAGGCTGAGGGGGGTTGACGCGAGCCTGAGTTGAGGGGGGGGGAGTCGGCGCAGGGTGCTCGCGCTTGACTTGTGGGGGGAGGGCAGGTTTGGCGGGAGGTGGGAAACCTGGTGGCATCTGCAGTGAGAAAGCACCTGAATCAGGATCTTGGCTGGTTCTCTGGACGTGGGGACAAAGAAGAGGCTACAAGCCAAAGTTCTCTCGAGAAATACCTTAAGACAGCGGAAGACAGAGCGCTGCTGTTTCGATGTGGCACATATTGCATGAAGTGAGTTGCAAAAGCCTGAGCAACTCGTGAATGATGGAGAGATATCGTCCAAGATTCGCACCCATGTTCTACATGTCTAAGATTACAGCACCCATGTCTCTCAAAGCCTCCCGTCTCCTTACCTTCTGTTTCGGAGGTTTCGCCTCCTGGACGCCCCCCCCCGGTTCCATCTTAACCGCCGGTTTCGGAAGGGGGTCGTTCTTCATGCTGGCCATAACTAGATCGACAAGCAGTCCGATGGGCATTTGGTCCACCAGCTGCCGTAGCTGAGCTTGGGCTTCCGGCTCGGTGCGTGCTGCCAGCTGGCACACCAGGCCCAGCATCGTGTCCAGCGTCGGGCCACCTGGCAAGTGGTAAAGTCGGTCCAGGTCAAGAACGTCGCGAGAACCCAACTACTAGATGATGAAAGTCAGGCCTTTAGGGCTTCTAATCCAAATTTCGGGCATGGCCTATCGAAAAAGTCTTTCATAAACCTCTTGGAAAAATCCGGTTCAGCAATCTAAGACGGGCGCCAAGAAAACGAACGGCCAGATGATCGTGGCAGTTTAAGCCTTCAACAGAAAACGAAACGAAAAGCAGTCATCGCAGTGACTTGGCAGCCGAGAAGGCCACTCGACAAATGTAACAGGGTTCGATAAAACCAAACGCAGCAATTGAATGTTACGAAGCCTTCGTCATGGCTACGCTGACGAAAAAGACAGACCAACGCTTCACCATTCCTTCAAATTGCATGATGACACCCCCCCCCTCACCTGGTAATCTACTTGGCCCCCCCGCCGCAGGCTTCACGTCCGGCTCGATGTCCCCCTCCTCCTTCTTCACGCGCTTCGGCCCCCCCTCACGTCCGTCACCAGTTGGCGCCCCCCCCTGCGTCTGCTCTGGCGCTTGTGCCTGACCTCTTTTGCGAGTCGCCGCCTCCCGCTGCTGCGAGCTTTGCTTTTCCAAGCGCCGCTCCTCTGTCGAAGCGGCGTCGTTGGCACCGATGGAGCGGAGCCCGCTGAGCAACCGCTCTCGCCACTGCAGTGAGAAATAGGGGTCAGCGGCTTCTGAGGCGCTTGTCGGATTGACCAGTGTTTTTCCGGGACTCAAAGAATAGGAGATCGACACAAAAAAGAAGAATGCTATAATTGAGAAGTAAAAAGCTTTGGCGCAAATATCTACGAAATCAGCAAAGACCGACAGAAAGGGGTAAGTCGACTCCAAGATCCATATCTGGCCAAACGCCTACTCACGTGTCTGGCAAAGATGCCCCCAGCAACATCACAGCTACCTCAGACTTGTACTTTCATTCAGACGTAGAAACATATTTGAAGCACTTTCCAAACAAGGACGTCAGATGCTCCATGATAGCTTTCCCAGTGAAAGCAACAACGAACATTCAAAAATTCAGTTCGTTGTTGAAGAGTCGAGGACGTCAAACACTTATGTTCAGAGACCCACCGGCGCGACTGAGGAGTCTGGCAATCGGACAAGCGTCAAGTAGGCCGTCTTGAGCGCGTGCAAGATACTGGGGGGGTGGACTCGGGGCTTAACGTCCCCCCCTGAGTTGCTGGCGCCCGGGTCCGCTGGGGGCTGGCTCAACGACAGCAACACAGGCAAGACGCGTCCGAAGAAAGACATGCGCTGGCGGGCAATGGCGGTCAGGCTGCATAGGGGGGGAGAGGCAGGGAGATATAAGTGAGTGACAAGGGGCATAAGCGATGCATGGACCGGCGGAGTATGAAGCAGCAAAAGAGGTCGATGCTACAATCCTCGATGCATGCTTCAAGCAGCATGCGAGTAGCATCAGTCGACGTTGCGCATGTTTAGGCGCGACGTCGACCGCAAAAATCGATTTTGCTGGAATGCTTAGAAAAGCTCACCAATATAAAGCGTTCTCAAATCATCAGTCGGATGGCCGGACCCAAAACTGACGCTTCTGTTCCTTGAATGACACCGCGCCTGCTAATCAGGCACAGAGCATTTGTGGTCTGAAGCGATATGACGACCTAAATCAAAGACTAACGTTCAGTATTTTTGATTCGACAGCGCCTCACCTGCTTATGAGGACCAGCATGACTGGAGTGGGTATGGAATAAGCAGAGGGTCCACGTAACTGGCCCAGGAGGGATGCCAGGTGGCGCGTCGCGTCGACCGCCAGCAGGCTTGAGTCCAACAGAGGGTGACCTGGCGGGACGAGACCGGCGTGCACCGCAGTGTATGCAGAACCTACAGGCAACGAATTTGAACTCTTCACAGTTGCGCCGAAGCAGGTTACAATTTTGAGGGCTGGCTTGAGAAACATGCTCCTTGGTGATTGCAGAAAAGCCGGTAAAAGTAGACTCCTTTCATATGACTCATATCATTCTTGACAAGTCAAGCCTTCTTCACTTGAACAGAAAGAGGCCGGAAGTGGCGGGCACTTGTTGCGTCGAGGGGAAAATAGCAGTTACAGAAGCTCTTCATTGTCAAAAAGATTCGTTTAAAGTCGAATACATCAACGTGATCGAGACGCTAGGACCTTCCGAATGAGATTATCATCTCGTAAGCACCATGAGTTCGACACCATTTGGATACATGCACCGCAGTCAGCCCCGTGTATCCCTTGAGGGCAGTCTGCGATTTGGACCATCTCCAAGTCCTCACCGTTCTCTATAGTTGCTGAGGTGGTTGTTTGGGGGGTGTAGAGCAGGATCACCGCCTCCGTGAACTTGACCCCATACAGACGAACCCCACTGTTAATGTGCTGCAGATGTCACCAGGAGGTTCAAAATGGGCCGCACATTGTCTGGCTTTTGGCTCTTGATCTGCTGTACGCCCTTTCCTATTAGTGTACGTTGCCTATGGACTTCAGAGTGTTTTGATTCCAATCAGACCTTGCAAGAAAGGCCTGAAGACGACGGAAACTGCAAAGAAAGTACTACAAGACTGTGGAATCCAATGCAAAGATTTCTCAGGCTGCTTGACCAATATGTACGACGTCCTGAAGGGATTTAAAGAGCAATTTCGAGAATGGGTTGGCAAAATCGAAAATCGGGCTCACTTGCAGGGCAGTTGCTACTGCCGCATCTTTGAACTGCCGCGCGGCCTCCCAGAGGCGGGCCATCTCTGATGCCGAGTCACTCTCTGGCTTGAAGTCCTGCGCACGAGTGTTTCCGATCTGAGTCTTCATCCCCTTAAAAACCGTTCAGTTACGTTTTCTTTCCTTGTTAAGATTCAAGAGAACAATCTTCTGGGTCTGTGACGAATCTGACATTTGTACAATCCTCAACCGAGTTTGTCACACACCTTTGAATCTCAACCAAGGTGGGTTGCACGCTTATCAAAATACATCTCGGGCAAATTGCTCAAAGCTAACACTACTCCAGCCAACCCATCAGTCAACTTGTGATCCTTGAGAACAGCTTTTAAAACTCAACAGTCGGTTAGCCTCTTGCCCGTCTAGCCAAACCCAGTTCTAGCTTTTGGAGAGCTTTCGAAACTCCCTTGTGCTTTGGAGCTTCTCCAGATTTCAACAAATCAGAACGCAACACAACCAAGAACCATCCAACCAGATCTCAGTTCAAAGTGCACCCAATTCGTCCACCGACTCTCAGCTCATCGAACCACAGAAAACCCTTTGCCCCAACGTCACAAGTAACAACGGGCCTTCTACCTGCAACATCTGGCGCATCACTTCGGGCATGAGCAGGCGCCCGGTTTGGAGCGTCCGCTTGACCACCCCTGGCTGGCTGTCCGAAAGCAGGCGCTGTAGGGTGGGGAGTATGGACACCAGCAGGGACGGGACTGCCAAACCAGCGGCCTCCAGAGATCTGGAAACCCATAGTTAGTGCCTGGTTAGTTTCTGGCTGGTAAGGTTGCCGAATGGATACGGTATTTCCGCACAGTAACCTTGGAAGAGTTCTCCAGGAAAACCCCAAACCTGCTGAAGCCCGGAAGCATCACCGGAGATATGACGGAACCCCCAGAATCAGTGGCGAATATCAACTCTCTAAACAAGACTGAAAACCATTTCAGAACTCCCGTTGGATTGATTGGGCACCTCTGCCAGCACCTCAGCATTCTCTGATTGAACTTTTTCAGAAGCATTAGGCTGTGGCTGTTCAATCCTGCAAGTCAAAACAAGCTGATCAACATGGACAATGCACGAGGGTTGAGCTAATATCAGCAGGGTTTGCAATCAAACACAAACCCCCGCTCATTCCTGATTCTTAGTCAGTACTTCCACGAACGGAGTTCAACGGCCACCTCCCAGCTTGGTGGCTAGCTATACATAAAATTGCTTTCATGCTTGGCCCCGAAATCAAGCCATTGTATCAGCCACGCCAAGGCGCCAGCATTAACACCACCCTGGTATTCGAAATGCAACCGCCTGATATTCTAATCACAATGACTCTGTTTCTGGAAATTCGCTGAGCGAGTTTTTTCTGAGCCTCGCCACTCTCAGCACCCTTTCAGCTCTGTGCCAGGGGTGATTGGGTGAAACATACCACCCTAGCAATCGGGAAAACCTCTCACTCTGCCAGCCATCTCCTGGCGGCGCCAAGTGGCGCGTCCTGCAGCTCCAGAACGTCCGGCAAGAAACGCGGCAGCAGCTCGGAGGGGTGCTGCAGCAAAATGCTCTGCGCCGCCTGCAAATGCTCTAAGGCGCCCTCGCCCCCGCTCTGCCGGCACGCAGTCAGGTGCCGCGCAATCTCCTCCTCTGCGCTGGCCATCGTGAAGCCTCCAAAGAGATGTGTTGAACTACTTGCAAGAAAAAGAGAGCGCCATTGCAGGATCCAGGACTGGCACTGGGAGGATAAATTATGCAAGTTGTTGGACGCTCTGCTCATGCCACATTGACCATGTCACTGTGCGCAAAGATTGACCAGAGTATCTGAGGTGGCAGAAGTTCTGAGTTGCCAGCCGTTGAAAGTTGGTCACTTGAAGTTGAAGTGAGAAATGAAGGCCGTCGCTTGATTTTGAGAACGTCCAGAACCAACTTCACTTCCAGCTCGATCTAGTTGAAGCACCTTGCCTGGCCTGTGGATTTCCTAGACAAGGCAGCATTTCGGAGGAAGGAGGCAGGAGAAAGAGATTGAGGAGGGGCCGTTCATTAAAGGTCACTGAGTCAAAGCTCTTTCCACACACCGCCACTTCTAGCAATTGGGATTCTGCAGCCATTTCTGCTCCTTGGTCTAGCGTCAGTAAGGACATTTGCATGCTGGAGCCAGCGTTTGAGTCCTGCCAGCGACCACCGCTTCAACCGTCATCCTAGGTTCAGCAGCTGTTGCTGCAACTTTGATACAGTGGCCAATATGCACGGGGGAGCGTGCATGCACTGTCCTGGTGTACAAACGGGCACGCGCTCATTCCATGAGTTCAATGCACGCAGGGCCCAGAGTAATCTCGGTCTTGCTGAAGAATGCTTGCGCCAACAAGGGTGCCTTCATGCACACCCTCAGAGATTTGGGCTTTTGCGACATTCTAGTGACCGGCATACACTCTCAGAAAGTCTTCCAGAAGGTGGTACAAATATGAGAAGAAAGTTAAGAAGTTGTGCCAGCAACTTACATAGTGGGCCCGCTTCAAAGTGCAGTTGCCACCAGGCCGGCACTGGTTTGCGCTTCAGTTCATTGGCCAGTGATATGCAAGTTCCTAGGCGGGCAGTGCTTTTCTCAGACTTGAACGTCGCAAGAAGGATAGCACCACCTTTACATCGAAGGGGTAGAAAAAGCCAAGTTTGCTGTTCTCTCCCTAGTGAAGAAACAAGTAGTGAAGAAATGGTAGACGAGACTGCGCTTGAGGGAACTTTTGAGGAGGTCGCAGTGGCTATAGAGAAAGTGGGGCGTAACATGAGGCGCATCGAAGCAAGCGTCGACGTGTGCGCCCCAGTGTATGTGGTGTGGGGAGTGCTGACGGATTACGGCAGCCTCGCTGACATCATCCCAGGCCTGGTGGTCAACGAGGTGTTGGAGCGACGGCCCCGGGGGGCAAAGCTGCTGCAGGTGGGGGCCTGTCTTTTCACCTGCCTTTACGCTTTTCTCTATGGTCCAACTTCTGTGAATGATATGTCTTACCCATGAAGTGACTCTCAGGGCTTGGCTCCAAAGAATGCAGGTGCCAAAGTTTCTGAGGGCTTGATCATCTGAAAGAGCTTGTTGCCTCTCACGCAGCTCGTTTATAACTCAGAGACTTTCTGAATGCCTCTGTTTTCCTGGGCCATGGAAAACAGCTTTGCATTGCGTCTTATTGTCAGGACTCGTGAGCTCAGGTGCGCTGTCCCCTGCCTGAAGGAGAAGCGCGAAGCACGCTCATCTGGTCATCTGACGGTCTTCAATTGATGGTCTTCAAACGCTCATCTTAGGAATCTGACATCTCGGATACATCTGAAAGGCAGCTTCGGACGGTTTCAGAAGCGTTCTTTGGGGCTTTCAGCCAAGACTTTCAACCAGGCGATTTGCAGGTTGCGAACCATTTGTATCGCCAGTCTTCGAGAAATCCCTGCAGATACTTCGTTCAGTGTAGATCGAATCCAGATTTGTCATGCAAGTGTATCAACATCTTCAGGAAGGTTTCGCTTGCAAGTTTTCGGTCGAAAAAGTCAGACTCGAACTGTAGTCCTCATTGAAGGCAACCGAACGTTCTGGCAACAAGAAGTTCTTTCATTACAGATCGGTTCTTTCAGAAAGGCAAGCTGCGCGACACTGCAGGAAGTCCCGAATCGTCTATTCTGTGCAACAGGTTGGTGAGCAGGATGTTGCCTTTGGCGCCAAGTTCTCTGCACGCATTGTCATGGAGGTCGAAGAAGTGCCAGAAGAAACGCTGGCAGAAGGGACGCGAGAAATCGAGTTCCGGCAACTAGACGGGGACTTCCAAAAGTTCGAGGGCGTCTGGAGAATGGAGCAGGTCAGCATCTGCAATGCTCGTCATACTCAGATATTGAGTTGCATTCTGGTCTTCATGGGGCGCGCTCACTTTTCTTTCCAAATTTGGACGACAGGACATTGAGGGGCTGGGCTACATTCCGTCGCGCCACCTTAGAAGGGGGAGGTTTAAACAAGGGACTGTCTTGAGTTTCAAGAGACATCCGAGAAGCTTGCCATCTTAAAAGAGCGAGGCTCGAGAGTGCATTTCATGTCCTACACAATTATCTTGAACGGTACCACTTCGACTGTCCGCCTGCCTAAGTTAGAATGTTGTCGAAGCCGGAAAGGACATTCGGGTGTTCATGGAGTACGGCGTTTTGGAATAGTTCCACAGAAGGGTGTGCATGTGAAACTTGTCCGTGTCCTCGGTAATTATTGAACAGCGAGAAACAATTGTCCAACGCATAGGATTTGCGCGTCCTCTTAGCTCACCCGTGACTCCTGAATGATTCTGGACTGTCCCGGCTTCGCAGAAAGCAGTGGACACTAAAACTTTCTGAGTCTACTACTTCGAGTCTTTGAAGGGCTGATAATTGATGGACATTTTTTCCAATCCAATCGTAAAAGTATGCGTCCGCTTTGGACAGGCTGAAGTAAGGCACGACTCCCGAAGTAGCGGGCAAAGATTGGATGGCGAAGTTGAAGGTACGAAGCTGTCCTACGTTGTCGAAGTCAGTCCGCAAATGTGGATGCCTGTCCGCCTAATAGAGGGCAGAATTGTCAAGGAGATAGGGAGCAATTTGAGGTCGATACAAGAGGAGGCCTTGAAACGATGTTGCCACCTACCGCCAGGAGTCCTTGCAACATCATGAGAGCCCCTTCGGTATGAATTTTTAGCATACGGTCCCCAACGAATCAATCGTTTCGATAAGCGTTCCGTCATGGCCTGGGACGGCAACCACTGCGACCACCCTGAGCCTGCCGGGTCAAAACGTCACGACGTAGTAACGAGCGCGTTCAAGTCTGCTTTGGGTATCAGTATGAGTGTGAGCTTCGATCCAGCTACATCAATTTAGGCTGCCTTTCGACATGGGTTCGCTGCCGCGCCAGCCTTCTGCTCCAGCTCTGCCAGGCTATGCGCCGTGCTGCCATCGTAAGCAGTGCCGGTGCTTCGCTGGCCGCCATCTTAACCGATTTCAATGCAATTATCTACGGGGTTTGGAAAGAGAATTAACCGTATACATCATCCAACAAATCAGCTTGCGTGATCATACATCGTTCAGGCACTTATCTTTAGTTGATTGTGGGTTTAAGTTAAAATGCACGAATGATGCCGCGCATCGTTGCCATGCAGTCGCCAACTTGCATGATGTACGTGTCAATCGATCGAGTATTACATGATGCATATGCGGTACTAACGCCGTCCGACCGTCACATGCCTCAACGTATACTATAGCATGCCTCAGTTGGCTATGGCCGCCATGCCAGAGCACGCATCATTTAAATGATGCGTGCTCTGGCATGGCGGCCATGAATTCACTTGAGCTAGCTTAGTAGACCGAAAGGCTGCATGCAACATATCTTTTAAATGATGCGACCATCAGTGTGAATGTCCGCGGCCGCGCTTTACGGTCGATTATTAGACAACCATAGTGCGGAAAACATTCGCTTAATACCGCGCATGATGGTCATCCACCTAACTTATTAATGTCGGATTGTTGGGATGTAATGATATAGACGTAGACTTGAGGACCGTATACAGCCATCAGGAGCTGTCCACCGAAGTAGCTAGAGTCACCGGCCTCTCGAGTGACCGTGGTACACTGAGATTGTGAGCTGTAAATCTGAAGAGTATCGCACCTTGCTCAGGCTTGCCCGTAGTGCGCATGATCAATAACGATTTGAGCTCACTCAGTTTCTATAAGCTTTGATCCGAGAGTACACTGCCCTTGAAGACCGGGCCGAAACCAATTGGTCATTCAGTTGCGATCGATTGTTAAGAGCATGCAAGCAGTCGGACTGCAAGAAAGTGATCCTTTGAACTTAGCCGACTCTTTATGTGCTCGTCGAGCCGCGGATTTTCAGCTTCTTACCAAAACATGCCGCATCTGTACTAGCTTGCCCTGGCAATGGTTGCTCAGCCTCCGAGGCTCGGCCTTAATGCGCTTCCACCTGAACAAGAGAATCGTGGTTTCCTCTAAACCCAGGTTCCAGATCAATTGCCCGTCTTTAGTCTGAATTCTGAAGGGCTGTCGCCTGAAGACGTAGCGTTCTGAGCCCTCTTATCAGCCGCTTCTTAGATTGTCGACTGCTGGTGTTGGAAGCACTGATGGAGCACGTTAGATGAAGCCGGTATCCCGGAGTAGCTTTCGAGTGCTCAAAAGACCTCGTTCGAAAGAGAATGGATGCAGCTCAAACGAGTCTTCACCTGTCAAGGTCCTTCCCAAAGCATCCTCTCATAACAGCTCTGTACGGCTTTCAAAAATCAAAACCATACTTTGCAACGTACCCTACACTTGGAAAACCTGAAAATGCGGTCAGGATTGCTTTCATTTGAAGACCCCGTCATTCCTTACCTGAAGGACGTCGAATGGATAGGTGCAGCCGTTGAAAAGCTGGTGCGAAGGTTTAACCCAAGCGACTGTTTCTTGTCGCTGTCATCGGTGGCCAGGCTTACCTGTCATGAGTCTGGGGTCTTTCGTTTCTTGGGGTTGTATCGGCTGCTGACGTGTAAAGGCAGGCATCTCTCCTGCAAAAGCATTACCTCATCTAGATCAGAATTGTTGTGCAATTTTGGTAATGTAAGAACCCGTCAAGCGAATTTGGATGTGCAATATGCACATTCTTCCACAATGGAACGCTTGATCTGATCGCTTCCAAGCATGACAAACTTCTAAGGATCACCTAAGCTCAAATGAAGGTACTGAATTCCAGAAGGAAACGTACTCTTAGCGAGTCCTTCAACCGCGGAACCCACGCCGCCATATCGAAGAGGTCAGGCAGCCACTCCTCATAAATGTCATCCTGTTCGCTTGATGAGAGCGTACTCAAGACGTCCATGACATCAGCGGCAACTTGCTTCTCTCGTAATAGCGTCTTCACATCCAGCTGATTGACCTCCTCAAGATCCAGGGGAACCCAGAGTCTCACAACCAAGGCCCGTTGTGCGTTCATAAATGGCGGCTTTCCGCTCATTGAGACCTTGATCAGATGTTGATAGAAGTGCTCCTGGAAGAGTTCTCTCCACTCCTTGTTATTTTCATTGGTATCAGAATTCATTGACAAGATGCCGCTCCACTTTTCGCAGTCCTCTTGTAACATGTCCAGAATTGGAGAGACGTTGCGACCACTTTCCAGCGCTGCCTTCATCGCCAAGCGGAGGCTGCGAACAAAGCGTCCCGTCGTTTCTAGATCCCAGGACTTGTCGTTGTTCATGTTGTCCCGCCATCCCCTCAATGTCCTTAGGAGATCTCCCAAGACCTTATCAAGCATGGCGTCCTTGAAGGCACCAACCTTGATGAGTTCAGAGAGGTTGGCTACGACATGCTCGCTATAATCTTCGTCATCCAACAACTGGCTAACTATTTTCTCTTTCAGGTCATCGCTGAAAGCTGGTTTGGGCCCTAGACGCGCTTGCAAGGGCTGTATGTCGTCGCCGATATCTCCTTTGCAAAGTTCTTCAATGCTTTCTTTCGCTTCTTCACTCCAGGGCACTGCCGCAAGGTAATCCAGAGCTTTCTGCCGTAGTGACAGCATTTCTAGACGATTGGCAGCACGGAAGATTCTAATTGCACCTTCTACATTGCAAAAGAGTTTTCTCTCAGGCGCATAGTGACCGTTCTCCATGTTGTACATATACTGAAGGACGGATTCATATGCAGGCTTTCCTGCATCTTCGCATCCTTTCAGAGTCACAGTAGTCCTGCTTGCGTGTGTATCGTTTCCGGTCCATCTTTCTGAAAGAAGAGTATCAAAGAACTTGCTGTGCTTCCTTAGAACTGTGCTGTGCAGATTTAGTACAGTGTCGAATTCTGCATCGTGCTGCCCCCTCCCCTGACCACTCTCTCCTGCTATTTGAAGCGTTAGCAAGACATCGGAATCCTCTGAATTGTTGAATAGAAATGTCAGTGATTCAGGGTCAGCTGCGTCGCCAGCAGCCGCCATTTTTCTAACCAAGCTACAGCTGAAGTCCTAAAGCAAAGTCCTCTCATTCATTGGCGTCATGCACTGAGCTTTGACGGTCGCGCCAGGACCACTGCGCGGCCGCCCCTTGCAAGCCGCGCGCGTGCGGCCTCCCGCTCAACGGTAGGTCACTGCAAAACCTCTGCCGCCCGCCGCGCGCGCTCGTCCCGACTCGCGGCATGCAAGGCGCCCGGGCATGCAGTGCAGCGCGCCGCCTCGTAAACCCGCGACTCGATTGATTAGTCCTAAAGGATCATCGATCTTAGCGCGTAAAACCGAAGTTAGCGACATTCGGAGCATTCTGGGACTTTACATATGGTGCGGCAGGATCGGGCATAATGAGTACGTGGAATTGTGCACACAAAACATGCACTTTGACTTGGATGAAATATTGAAAACGTGGCTCGTGAACATAAAGATTGATCCGCATCCATGCCAGACGATAAATTAGCTTTGAACTGAACGCGTCCCCATTACCTCGGGACGTTTGCATCTCTTCTTCATACTTCCAAGCTCAGAGCCCGCTCAGAGTCTATTATATCTGTCCTGAGAAGGTCATCGTCTAAATGGATCCGACAGGTTCGACATGATAACGATCGGTCAACCGAGCGGTGCTTGAGTGCCATTCGGATTGGGGACTCACATTTGCAACCATGTTGTTTACATGTTAAGCTTAACCGTCTTTCTACGAGAAAGTCACGTCTCTATAAGAACACGGATATCTGAATCCTTTCACAGGTTATCCTTTACTCATGAGCTGCTCTTTTTCACTTTGTAGTCCACCAGGAACGACGGCCGTCAAGCCCCAAATTGGAAGCATTTTCGAAGACCCCAACTTTTCAGCATTTGGCATAAAATCTCAGCGTTACGTTCAGGCTGAAGTAAGGCATGAGTCCCGAAGTAGCCGACAAAGATTGGATGGCGAGGTCGAAGGCACGAAGCTGACCTACGTTGTCGATGTCAGTCCGTAAATGTGGATGCCTGTCCGACTAATAGAGGGCAGAATCGTCAAAGGGATTCGAACAATTTGAGGTTGATACAAGAAGAGGCCTTGAAACGGTGTTGCCACCTATCGCCAAGCGATCTTGCAGTTGAACCTATTGACTTACTTATGCAGCCGCCCCTTCGCTGGCCGCACTGCACACTGCACATGCGTACGGGTGCACATGCTGGCACACCAGCTCACGTGGAAATCATTCTGAGCATGTACGTGCATGGCGCCTAAGCATCAACGGCCTGACAGCGCTCAGTTCTGTAACTTAACAGTTCTATGCAGCGCCGTGCGCCGCGTCATGGCACCTGGCGCCATACTGAGCACCAGGACGTACATGGCCGGTACGGCCGCCCTACCATGCTAGGTCTCGTCGTTAAGAAAGTGAGCTCAGTCAAGGGGGGCTCAGGCTTGAGTGACTGGCATCCTTCTATTCAGCAGCCATATGTTTGGCCGCGCCCCGGCCAGCTAATCCCGGTTCGGCATTCTACACATTCTCATAACTGGTCACTGCGTTGCAACCGTGCTCGCCAGTTCATTTTTTCCGAAGTACGTCCTTAAAGGACCAAGTTGAAGGATGCTCGACTTCGTACGTTTGCATTTTGAAGATTTGATGTGCATCGAAGGCCAAAAAGCAGATAATTCTATTTTTAAAGTATGATCCGACGAGCTCTCTTTCATCGACGTTGTTAAACTCAGTCAAACTGGCTGACCTAGAGCCTTATCAAGGGACTTGCCGACTAGTATTACGATGTTCTGAGGAGCTGACTAGCTTCGTACGCTGTTCAATCCAACAGCCTTTCAGCCTGCTCAATCCAGAATCCTCACCACTTCGCTTGCTCAGCTCCTTCCTTTACGGACGCCGTGTTTTTCATACCTGAACGAAAAGAAGTAGGTGTTCCATTAGCAAATCATGACTTGCAGGTCTCTGGTTTGAAAGGTTGCCCAAAGACGTGCCCTACTTATCACCCGCTGTCCGTCGCCCTCATTGTTTCCCGACCTGCTGGCGTCGGCGCAGCTCTTATGGGGCATGTCTGCATTATATTGGAGAAGCACTCCGCACACCGTCATCTGAGATCCGACTGGATGAAACGAAGTGAGCCTTCAACGCATGATTGCTGCTACAGATCTGAAAACAATCTTTAGAAGCAATCTCAAACCTGCTGCGATCTCAAACCTTCCCAATAATCTTTATCCACACTCGTCCCGGCGAAACCAGTAGACGCAGGCGTGGATTTTGTGTTTGAAACGAAGCGCCACCTTTGAAAAACCCTGCACAATTGCAGGACGGTATGCCGGGCTCACCGCCTAGTAGCCTGGGGTCTTTCGTTTCCTGGGATTGAGCTCGCTGCTGAGGCTTGAAGGCAGCAGCCTCTCCTGGAGAAAGGCCATCTCGTTTGAATTGTCCAGCAGATCAGGACGTACTGAAACAGATTTGAAGCAAACACAGATGCCAGATGCGGCAACCTTATGCACTCATTGTAAAGCTTGATCGTATTGCTGTAAACATGGAATGTTGCAAGATTATAAACCTTGGATAACAAGCTTCAAATCGTGAGGTTCTTGGGAAGACGTACCGTTAGCCAGTCCTTCAGCCAGGGAACCCATGCCGCCATGTCGAAGATGTCTCGCAACCACTTCTTATAGATCTCATATTGTACGCTTGGCAAGAGAGTACTGAGGACGGCCATGACGTGGGCCGCAACGTCCTTTTCTCGTCCCTGCTTCATCGCATCCAGCTGGTTGTAAACCCCACGGCCAGGGGGGACCCACAACTTCACAACCAAGGCCCGTTGCGCGTCCGTGAAAGGCGGCTTTCCGCTCGTTGCTATCTTGATCAGGTGCTGGTAAAAGTGTTCCTGCCAGAGTTCTCTCCTTTTTTCGTTGTACTCATCGCTGCCAAAAGCCAAGAAAAAGAGTCCGCTCCAATCTTCATAGTCCTCTCGTAACAGGTCCAGGATTGGAGAAACGTCACGGCCAGTTTCCATCATAAAGGTCATCAACATTCGCAGCTTATGAACGAAATCTCCTGTCATCTCTAATTCCCAGGATCTGTCTTTGTTCATGTCTTTTTGCCAATCCCTCAAAATCTTTGAGGTCTCTCCAAAGACGTTGTCAAGCATTGCCTTCTTGAAAGCACCAATCTCGATGAGCTCGGAGAGGATGCTTTTGACATGCTCGCTAAACTTCTCGTCCAGCAATCGAATCAAGGTTAGCTCTCTGAGTTCATCGCTAAGAGCTGTCTTGGGCGCTAGGCGTGCTTGAAGGGGCTGTGCTCCGGCGTCGCCATTATCCACCTTGCAAAGTTCTTCAACGCATTTTCTCTTTTCTTCATTCCATGGCACTGCCGCAAGGTAATCCAGAGCTTTCTGACGCAGTGATAACATCTCCAGACGATTGGCGGCTCGGAAGATTCGTACTGCACTTTCCACGTCACAGAAGAGGCTCCTCTCAGGCGCATAGAGACCATTTTCCACGTCATACATATACGAAAGGACGGATTCATATGCAGGCTTTCCCGCATCTTCGCAACCCTTCAGAGTCACAGTAGTCCTGCTTGCGTTCACATCGTTCCCTGTCCATCTTTCTGAAAGCAGAGTATCGAAGAACTTGCTGTGCCTCCTGAGAACTGCGCTGTGCAAGTTTACAGTGTCAAAGTCTGCGTAATGCTTCTCCCACTCAAGCCTCCCCTGGCCATTCTCTCCTGCTGTTTGAAGCGTTAGCAGAACATCGGAATCTTGTGCACTATCGAAAGAGAACGTCAGTGTTCTAGGGTCTGCTGCGCCGCCAGCAGCCGCCATTTTTCTAAACAAGCTACATCAAAAGTACTAAAGCAATGGGCGTCATGCAAACATCGACGGTCGCGCCAGGACAACCACTGCGCGGCCGCCCCTTGCCAGCCGCGCGCGTGCGGCGCGGCCTTGAGGTTCCGAAATCTGCAAAACCTCTGCCGCCCGCCGCGCTCGTCCCGAGCTAGAAGCCAGTGCAGCGCCATGCACCAGCTCGAAACCCACAAGTCAGTTGATCGAAGGATCATCAATCTCATGGTGCGTTTCAATGAAGGTAACGACGTCCGGAGCATGCTGGGACTTTACAGATTGTACGGCAGGATCGTGCATTATAATACACACGCGGTATACTAATCGTTCACACGATACATGCGATTTGCACTTAAAAAAGATGGCTCGTGAACATACAGATTGATGCGCATCAATTGCAGACAGAACCCTTTAAGCTGAACGCGTCCCGAACACCTCGGGACGTTTGCATCTCTTCTTACTTCCAAGCTCAGAGTCTTATCTGCCCTGAGAAGGTCTACGTTTGAGTGGATCCGACAGATTCGACATGATAAGAATCGATCAACCGAGCTGTGCTCAAGGTTTGGGACTGGGGACTGGGGACTTTTATCGCAACCATGTTGTTGACATGCTAAGCTCAACCCTTTTCACAAGTGAGTCACGTCTCTATCAGAGAACGGATATCAGAATTCATTCACAGCTTATCTTTTACTCCTTAGCAGCTCTTGTTCAATCTTGCGGTCCGCCACTAGGAACGACGGCCGTCAAGCCCCAAGCTAGGAGCATTTTTGAAGACCCCATTGCAGCGTTTCGCTTTCAGATCTCAGCGTTACGTTCCTCTCGATGTTAGAAATTCTACCAGCATTTCTAAGAAGCGGATTCAGACGGCTCCAGCAGCTGAATTCTCCTCAGGAAGACAGTTCAACCTGTCAAGAGGGAGAGGAGATCACTAATTAAACGAGGAGTTGGCTCATATCTCTGACAAATTTATGCAGTCTCATGGTACGTTTCAGGTTTTTGCGGAAAATTGGATGTAGCCTTCAAATTGTAGCATCCCATGCGTTTGTTCCGTTCCTGCAAACACGCAATTCAGATTCGAAGTTATTGACGTGCCGTGGCTTTTGCGAGAAAATGAGACAGGCTGGATACTTCCGAAGAGCCTCACGGTCAATGAATTGAAAAGGTCTGTCCAACACGACTGTCGACACGCTGCAAGATGATAAAAAGAGACGCCCGACCACAACACTCTGCTAAACTCCAAATATGCCATGGTTCGAGCAAGTACATGATCGAAGGGCTTTGCGAAGCTTAGCAGAACGACTAAATGGGATATGTTCGGGTCAACTACCTCTTACTTAAGCTGTGAATGAAACAGCGCGATCGATCATTCTTTTGTGATTGTCGACGCTTCATCTCAAGGCATATGAACTCTCGTATCAGACAAAAACGTAGATCACAATGGCCCTTGCTCTTCATGTTAGAAATGAATTCAAAGCAGCCTCGAAGTGACAACGAAAAATGGTGAACCATTCCCTTAACCTACCAGCACTTCATCACTTACTCCTGTAGACCCGGACTCCAACGGGCTGATGAGCCAGTCCTTCAAAGTTGGGTTCCATGCTAATGAAGCAGGTAGCTTTTCCAGCCAGTTACTCAAGCACGTCCTCTGGTCATTCGAACGGAGTGTTTCAAACACGGCTCTTTCTGCAGTGACTCTAGCCTCTCGACTCAGGAATCCCCTCTTTTTTTCGCGGCGAGTCCCCGGAAACCACAGGCTCACAACGAACGCCCGGGAATCGTGAGGCAAAGACGGGTTGCCCCTTCGAAGAGCCGAGATCAGATGCTGATAGAACTGTTCGTGGAAAATCTCCCGCCAATCCTCATCCCATAAATGTCCTCTGAAAAAGACACCGTGATCCTCAATATCCTCCTTCATCAATTTCAGCACTGTCAACACGTCTCTACCAATCTCTATCAAGAGGCTGGTCAACATCCATAAGCTTTTGAGAACCTTCTTGAGATCGCTATATTCTGAAACTTCCCTGAACAGCAGCCTCTTTGCCTTCTCTTTCAAAGCCTCTAGACTCGTCGCAAAAACATTCTCGAGCATGGCGTCGTCGAAGCCCCCCTTTCCAAGCAGCTCAAGTGCGATGGTTCGGATCTCCTCGCTCCCATCTTGCTTCAGTAATCCAATCAGAATCTCTTCTCGGAAGTCCTCAACAGGAACCGGCGCTTGTGCCAAACGCTCTCTTAGGTGCAGCACGCAGGTGCCGATCTCCTGCTCACAAAGCTCCTGAACAAGTCGCATCTCCTCCAGGTTCCAAGGAATTGCCTCAATGTAACCCAGAGCTCTTTCTCTCAGGGAGAGAATCTGCAAATGGTTGGCAGCTTCAAATAGTCCTATCGCGGCCCGCACGCTGCAGAAGAGCTTTCTGAACTGCACATAAGGGCCATTCTCGAGGTTGTACAAATATTGCAGGACCTTCTCATAAGATGCTACTTCCTTGCAATCCTTCAGCGTCAGAATTGCAGGGGAGTTACCCGTGGCCTCATACTCTTTCCACCTGCCTGAGAGAAGGGTCTCAAAGAACCCGCTGTATTTCTTAAGAACCGTGCTATGCAAGCAGAGAGTCACTTCACCCGCTGCAACGTTCTTGCGCGCTCCAGATATCTCTTCATGGACCACAGATTCTGATTGGAGAGTCAACAGGACATCAGATCCCCTCGAGCTGTTGAAGAAGAGCTTCTCACACTCGGAGTCTCCGCAAGCTGCCGCCATACGCAAGCTCTTTGTCAAGAACCACCGAATGAAAGATCACCTAGTTGAAAAGATGTTTTCCTTAGGTAAGAAACAAAACCAGGTACGTACAGGGTGCGTACGTTCGCAGCGGCGGCCCCGGCCGCTCAAATAAAGGTCACGCGGCCGCAAGGCGCCAGCTCGCGGTCGCGCGGGCTTTCAGGGTTTGTCAGTGACGGGGCTCTCAAACTTAATATGCGACGCCGAGAAGTGGAATTCAACAGATAAGATTAGGTTCCTGGTCGTCAGAGGTGAACCAGCCGCCCGACATCAACGATTTCAAAAGGTCGAAGGCTCGTCGATTATTCCAAATATTTATTCGTGAACGATGGCGAAGTACTGCCCCAATACCTCTTTATTAGATTTCGTCTCAGGCTGTTTGCAAGGCGGACCGCAAGGCTGACCGTGCGTCTCAATATATCTAGATGCCAAGTATGCCCGTGTGCCTAAAGACCATCCAAACTGCAACTTTCGCACATTCTGTACCAAGGTTACTCGCACCTCGCCGTGCTTCCTTGCGTTAACAAGACAAGATGCCGAGTTGTGCTAACGTCTTTACGTCGAAAGTACAAAACGTTTTGGGCGCCATGCATTGAACGGCTGCAAGCTTGTTCAATTGGCCGGCACAGTCATTCTGGGGCCAAGGAGCCTGCGGACAATGAGGCGTACAAGGATCTCTTGACATCAAAAATATCTACACAAATCGACAATGTTGCGTCCAAGGCGGCAAGTGCCACCATGTCTCAAAGCCTGGTCGGATGAATCTCAGTACTGCTAAACCGATTTCCTGCGCGCTAAGCAGAGCTTTTCCATCCACCATAACCGGCTTCCACTCGAATCTTCCTCAAGCGGCCCCTTCGCGTTAGCTCATGTTCTGTAGCTTCTCCAACAGCTGTTGTGAGTAGCCCGGCGAGTAATAGCGTACGATCTCCTCGGGGTATAAGCTATTGATGGCGTCCACGTAGTCCTTGACCTTGGACCCGCTGGGCGCCTGCAGCTGCTGCACCTTGGCGAATCCGCCGGACGTCACGAAGCGCGTCCGGCCGTCCGGATCGTTGGGCAGCACCTTGCTCACTTGGTGGAGAACGTACTTGACCACGCCCTCTGAACGCAGAAAGAAGACTTACAATCAGTGATCAGGATGAGCGTACTAAAGTCACAAGCAACGAAGAGGGTCTCGATATCAAATTCCATAAGAAAAGGGCAGGGGCTGAATCAAGCGCTTGTTTGTAAAGAGGGAGACCTTGCATGCTCACTCGCAGAAAAGGCTCGAACACGCCGGCAGGGAGGAGACGGATTGTGCGAACTTTGATTGACAAAGGGAGCGAGAAATTTCATTCCTTCCTGACATGACGGTATAGGATCTAAGATCCCTTGATATTCTGACGTCATAAAAGTATACTTTGTACAAGGTGGTAGCGGCAAGCATGCGCTTTCTGTAGAGACGTCCATCACTTTTCTGGGGTTTTTGGAGATGGCATCTGAGCAAGTCAGAAAGCGTCGCCACGACTCGAGCTTCCTCTTAGAAGACTGCGAAAAAGTCCTAGCCTTTCTGAAGCTTACGGATCTGAGGACGAGCTATCTTGGCCGGCCACATATTCTCCTGAATTCCCAAGACTCAACAACTTATTCAAGAAAGTCAACCCTGCTTCTCACCTGGTATGTGCGGGTCCAGCAGCAAGCTGTCCAGCGCGGGCAGGTACGTCAGCCGTTCGATGATCTGCTTGAGCGCGCGTTTACACTTGGTCGTCAGATCCTCGGAGCCGCCCGCGGCCGCGAAACCCTCCACGAGCGCGCCGAGCGCGCCCGCGTCCGCGAGCGCCTTCGCGTGGTCGGGGCTGTGGCGGCCCACCTGCCCGAGCGACCAGGCCGACGCGGCGCGGATGTGGTCTTCGGAGTCCTGGAGAGCGCCACGTGGCAGCAAGTGATTTGTCAGGACCTATCATCCGTTGGATGTATGGGGAGGTTCTTTTGTGTCCACGAGGTGAAGAGCCTTGGCATTACTTATTAAGAGTCCTAGCGTTACAAGCTCCAGGATACTTGAGCTGTTATCGTGACAAGAGCAGATCAGCGTATCTCTCCATGAAATGGTTTCCAAGGATCAGACAAGCGGAACAAGTAGCACGAATCCATCAAGGAACGGGTTGTTGCCCAGCTTCTCAGCGCGCAAAGAGATTCGGAACATGTTGCACGGATGTGGGAACTCTCGCGCTATTCGCCTTTTCAAATACGCCCACAGAGCATCCTGGTTATCCTCGTTGGGATAACGTAGGGCTCAAATTGTATCTGGAAGGGTTTGCCTCACCGCGGCCAGCCCCGCAACGAGCGGCGGCACCCCCTTCGACGCAATCACTCCCAGCGCGAGCGTCTCCGAAAAGGCCGCGATGTAACCCAGCGCCATGATCCCCGGAAGCCGCTGATTGCCTTCCGCGCTAGCCGTGTAGTCTACTAGCGCACCCACGCCGCCGCAGCTGACGATGAGCTGCGCGAGCTCGGGGCTGTGCTTCGCGACTTCGCGCACTGCGGTGGCGGCGTGCTTGCGCACCACTAGGTCCACGTCCTGGCGACACGTGGCAGACGGGGATCAGGAACGAGGATGAGGGGTAGAAAGGGTTGCAGATCTAAGAACGAAAGTTTCTACGAGTGTGAAAGGTCCTACTCACCCGGGTAAAGCTGAAAGAAAGTCGTAGACAAATGTCAGAATGTTCACTCAGATGCAAGGATGCCTTCCTTCTAGGTTTGTTGTCATGGTTTTGGGAGTCCTCGAGTCAAACTTGGGTCTATCTGTTCCTCTAAAAGTTAGTCATCATACTTGCACTTCCGGAAACTCCGACTGAAACGAGGGGAAAAGGGAAGTCAGCGGAACAACGACACAGGTACAGTGCTTTCAGGGCCTTGGAAAGGAAAGGGTCATCCGGACACTTGGAAAGCACGTCAATAGCGGCTCTGAGAGGAATAGAATATCAGAAGCGCGTCATTAAGGTGTACTTCTTCTTGAAATCGTCCGCGCGCATGTCCTTTGATCCCTTTATTTCTGAACCTCGATCTGACGTCATTAAGGGATCTAATCGAAAACAACTCCGCAACCGCAGGTCCAATCGGCTTGTCGAACTATCATCATCTTTTGTTCTTCTTCTTTGGGGTTCGCGCGGCGCTGTACCTTGAGCGCCGTGAGGATCTTGGGGAAGATGTCAGCCTCAACCACCACTTCCGCCAGATCGACACTGTGCTTCGCGATCTGGGCCAGGCACGCGCAGATCTGCAACGGAACAGCGGCGGAACGGAACGCTTAGCGCACCTTCAAAGCAACACGTTATCTCCAAAAAACCGTCACATGAAGATTAAACCCTCGCTCGTACTAAAAGCTGTACTCATCGCCTAGATTATTGTCCGACAAGTCAAACTCCCAGGAAAACCATTTGATAGAGGAAGCTGTGAGTTCGCGCTCTGCCTCGTCCGTTGCCAGTTGCCAGATTGTGAGACTCCTTTTCGTCGTTTTCCTGGCGAACGAACTAGTGCATGATCGAGAAGAATTCTACGGACCTGTCGTTTCAGTTTCCCGTCCGGGTTGATGATCAGCGCCGCCACGTACGGCACCGCCCCGGCGTCCACCACCGCCTGCGCCATCTCGGGGGAGTGCTTGCTGACGTCAGCCAGGGAGCTCGCGGCGACGCGCTTCAGCGACAGCTCCGGCTCCTGCAATTGTACGGGCCAAGCGGATTTTGCACCTAACTTCAGGTTTAGGATCGTCGAACCAGTCATGACTCGTGTCTGCTCTTGTCATAAGAACCGGCTCGGAGCCTATCCCTTTCAAGCACCGGGCGACAGGCTGCAGCACCTGACAAAAGCCCCGTAAAGCAGTTTTTCTCATGCAATATGCAACGGACACCGTATTCCCTGCCGACTGGGCGCTTTACCAAGACACGAAATGTTCTGCACTAAGAAGCGACACAAGCGGACTCTTGTTCTTGAATTCATGGACGCGACAGAAGCCGACTCTTGTCATTCAATTTATTTTGCCTCGCACTGCAAATCGAATCAGTAGCCAATACTTGAAGCAAAACCTGTTGATACAACGAGCAGAGCAGGAAGGGCCCCCACCTGTATGCATAGCACCAGAAGCGGCACCGCCCCCGCATCCACCACAGCTTGCGCGAGCTCTGCGTTGTGACGGGCGATATAGCCCAAAGCCCAAGCGGCAGCCTCCTTCACGCCAGGGTCGAACTCCTCTAGACATGCCACCTGTCAGGAAATGAAGTCAGCATTGGAGATTGGCCTCTGGTCACATGCCTCTTCTGAGTGGTCGAAGTGGCACCACGTGGCGGAACTTCCTTTAAGAAGCTAAGGTTGTTCAATTCTCATCACCTGTTCCTCAAATAAAACGGGTCTTAGGTCTCAGCTGCAGTCGACGTTTCGTCATCGGTTACTATTCAGAGCTGTATGAGCTCCGAATACGTGTCGATCGTTAGGTCACCCTAGTGTATTCTCATTGCTGCGCTGCTCTGACCGCCTCAACAAGATCTCTTCGCAAGCAGAACAGAAGCCTCGGCAAAGCATCGGACCGAATTTAGCTCTTGTCTTTCTTTCGAAGCTCCCTTTGCAGTTCAGTATAGATCATCCGTTACTGGTTAGGCGACAGAAGATTGTCAATACGTCCACTCACCAGCGCATCGAGCGCCCCACTGTCCACGACGGCTTGCGCGAGCGGTGCGCTGTGCTTTGCCACCGCCCGCAGAACGAATGCTGCCGCCTTCTTGTAGAACCGGTTCTGTAGATGCCAAGGACGATAATTCAGAACGGCGTCCACTTGTGTGTTGGAAAACAAGGCAAGCAACGAAAAGAGAGCCCGGTACCACGAATAAGGGACAGTGGCGAGATAGATGTTCCTGTAGAGACCGTCGTTTCCATGCCAGTTCCCAAATCGGGCTTAGATATGCCCAGCGGTTCGCTCTTCCAACATTTCTAAACGACCTCGAGGTCAACTTCGAGGGCTCACGGGCTCACGTAAGTGAAACGACATTCTTGACTATCAAGAAAACTTGTGCACCAAAGTTGGTCTTCCTTTCCGGCTCACAGTTCGTTTGAACGACTTACAACTAGATCGAACTTTAAAAGAGTCCGCAGGATCTAGAGGAACAATATTCGCAATGGCTGCCTCTGCTCAGTCCTCATTCATCCTTTCAAAGCCAAGCGGAAAAGGGTGTCTTTCTTGCAAAACATCCGGTTCTTAACCTTACCGCGGTAAGGACTATCCCTTACCTGGTCAGTCAGAGAATACACGAGCTGCGGGAGGATGTCATTGTTGACGACCGCTTCCGCCAGGTCATCGTTTGTGTTAGCCAAGCGGCCCAGGGCGAGCGCCGCCGACTGCTGGATGCTAGGAACGCTGTCGAGAAGGAGGGGCCGCAGGAGGGCCAGCAGCCCTGCAGCCTCAAGCGCTTCTATGTTCTGCAAGGAGTTCGAATGTGGTAAGCTCAGTGATTCTGTCTTCTCTACATCTCACCGATGAAGAAGCTGACTGCCATTCGAAGATACTCAGCATGGAAGAATTTTCAGTGTTTCTTATTTTGAGACAGTGCCCATGCGGTAAGCAGAGCTAAGCGTTGCTTTGAAACGTTACTAAGAAGGAAGTGAGCTTTTGCAATGTCTCCCATGGTTCTGGACAGCACAACCATGCAGGTCCTTCCAGCAATAACCACTTCAAAACTTCCCTCTCCGCTGCATATAGTGGGGCTGTTCTCCAATATTGACAAGTTTCGCCAAGAGACTCGCTTCCAAGTCTTGGAAAAGAGGCAGAGATCTGTCAGCAAAAGGCCCTTTCTTGTGAAGAATGTTCCACAAGGCCACCAATGCCTTTCAAAGGGCCCCTTAGCCTTTTGAAAGAAACAGCGTCTTGTTAAAGAGTAGGTAAATGCCCCCCAGCTGTTACCCATGAGGCTTCTAAACCTCCTAGATTCGGCTGTTTCCCGCTACATTAAAGATTCTTGCATGTAGGTTTTTGTCTGCTTGCCGATCAAACATATCTGTGGCTGGATTTACCCCTACACCAGAGTTCTGTGAAAGTCTTGCTAGCATGTTGGTGTGCTTGATAGAGGTATGGTTCGTCAACATTGCCTCTCTTGATGCCCATTGACCCGGAACCTGACCTTCCCTCTCACCTGAGGCTTTGCTGCTAGTTCTGCAACCGTTTGCACGAATTTGATGCGAGCCTTCTGGTACTCCTCAAAGACCTGAAGAACGGCCCGCGCAGTAGCCATAGTGGCTCTCCTCTTACCACACCGTTTTCACATCAATCCTAACGCTGTATGGCAGTCGCATACTACCTTCTTACTGCAGGCCCCTCGCGGTTTATCCTTGATTCCCCTGCCACAACTATTGGCGGAGAATTTTCAATCTCTTAGGTTCAGGATTGTTTGGACGAAGCTGTCTTTTGGAGCGCGTCTTGACCTAGCGTAAACAAAAGAGAATATCTCTTCGGAGAACAGCATCAGAGAGACAAAGCGAGAGAGAGAGAGAGAGTCCATGAACCTGAATTTCAGGACCTGACATCTGCAGGGCGCCAGGCATCAGCTAGGTTGTGACAACTGATGTCAGACCATCTCGACCCGAGCACACCAACATGGCAAATTGGTAAAGACTCATAGTAATTGAGTGCGCAGATGCAGCTTTGAGCTGAGCCTGAGTACGGCACGGCGTACAGGAACTTGACGCGCGCGCAGTCGTCATAGAAAGACCTTGAAGCCGTCGATCGTACCTGCTGGCATCATCTTACGGTTGAAAGGCGACGCTGCGCAGCTGCGTGACCCGACTTCAGTGTCCGAACATTTGCTTTGATTGATAAATTGAGCGATTGTTCGCACCTTTATGCTCATGGTTGCAATGCTGCATAGAAGGTCGAGGCAGACCCAGCACTAAAATTTGAAAGGGGGTCGGTTTGTTTGTTCAATGCTGAGCTGCTGAGCTGCGGCCTTGCTCCTGCAAAAGCTGTAGCCTGTCGCTGGCGGTGGCTGCCAATGCCACCAGCTGGTTAAGCTGACGCGGTAGAGCAGGAACTTGCGAACTGGAGTTTCCTTCTTTTGAGTTTCCTTGGAAGCTTGAAAGGTGCTACAGTTGTTGTAATCTTCTTTGAAACACAATGGCGCCTGTTTCAGGCAGCAGCAAAACATCCCCGATGAGCGCAAAGGAGATCAAACCCGAGTCAAAACGGACGACGAGCATTGCGCTCCTTCTGATGGCACTGGCTGCAGTCCTTTTCTGTGGAGATGCGGCGCTGAAGCACGCGGGTTACAATTGGCGGGATGCAGAGTTTGACCTGCAAAGGTTTACGCGTCTCGGGCCTCATAGAGAGTTTCCAAGCAGCTTGAGGGCGAACTTCCTTCTTCCCAAAAGCACAGATCACTTCACAGGCGAATATCAAGCAGCTCAAGGTAACAGCAGATCGAGCTTCAGGCATCAAGTATTGGGAGCGGGGGTCCAAAAAGCTGAGTCAGAAGATCTCATGCAACCTGATTACGGACATGAGTGCCCTGTCAAGACCCCCAGTGTAGCAGCATTCTCCCCCACCAAGCTTGCCCCCCATGTCTCCATCTCAGGCAGTGGTAGAGGCGAGTGCACAGTAGGCGAGGTTTGTGCATTCCGCATCACGGCCACAACAGATACTTACTGGAACACAGATGACCCAGCCAACCGGGAAATCTTCTTTACATACAAGGGCAGCTCTCTTGGAGTGGGAGATCTAGCTGTTGAATATGGAAGCATTCATCCAGCCTGGACTGCCACATATATTATCTGGGATCAGGGGAACTATACATTCACTGTGAGAGCTGACTGCAACTCGGTGCTGGAGTCAACAGTCCTTGCCGAGTTTTCTGTCACCATTCATCAACCTCAAGCACAGTCTCAAGGCAGCAACTTTGACGCTGGGGAAGAGAGCAGGACTCTAGCAGAAAACCCTCCAAAAGATTCACCCTGCGATCGTGGCGCTTCCGGCCGGTGGTTCCTAAAAGAGAGCGGACGCAAGCCAGTGTATTCATGGACACCGTACAATTGCGCACCAAGCCTGATAGAACCAGGGTCTTTCGTGAAGCGGCTGAACGATGCTGGCTACAAGAGACTGACATTCATTGGAGACTCGCATCAGCGTGTCCTGTACATGCATCTCAAGTATCTTCTGGCAGGTAAGGTCTAGCCCAAGCCTCAGTATTGTGTCTGCAGCCGTGTTCAGATTGTGGCACTGCACAACTCTTCTCATCCATCAGAAAGGTTGGGACCATATTGGACAACAAGTTCAAGCTCCCATGCTAGCGGACCTGCTGACACATTTCTACTTCTAGAATGCATCTATGACAGGTCTTTCTGCTGGCAGAATTCTATATCCAGCATGCGTCTATGACAGAAGACCCTTCCGAGATCTAACAGGTCTGTCTTGCCGCCAATTGGCACCGCAATGAAGCTTTGGTTTTGGCTGCTTTGATGGCTGACTAGGTTTCGGGATGCAGGGCATGCGGATGCTTCCGAAAGACGCCAGCATGGGGACATGTCGTTAACCATCGAAGAGGGGGACTCTCGCCTGGAACTGCGATACTACTGGGTAAGCCTCAGGAATCTATCAGGGTGCCTGCATAGTCAACGTCAGAATTTCAAGGAACCTGCACTTCATTGAAGTGGCCTTTTCTCTCGTTTGAAAGTTTGTTCCCTGCTGAAAACCAAAGCCGCCAAAACAGCAATCAAATCGGCAGACTTCATCTGAGGGAAGCAATTGGGTGGCCTGTCCAGGAGAACGGCTTGACAGCAGCGTTTCGGTGCTGAGGCACGGGGCTGTGAAATCAGTAGTCACACGTGCACTTTCTGCTGGAAGTGATGGTCAAAGGACTGATCATCAGCGTTTCTTGAAGTTCAGACGAAACTTTCTGAGAGGGACACATGGACACTTTCCAGGTGGACGGCATCTACCAGAACCACGAGTTCGGCTGCCACAACCGGGGCATGTACTCCGGGCGAAACGACTCCTTCCCCGACGTCGAGCCCGGCCCCGGTATCTACATCTTCGACGCCGGCACGTGGACTACCGCTAGCTGCGCTCAACCGCAGCTTGCTTACGCCAAGCACCTGCCGGGGTATCTAGAGTGGGCCGCAAAGTTCGACCAGGAAGGGTCGAAGCTTGTGTGGAGGACCACGCCGAGCTGGCGCGGCGCGTGCAACCGGAAGAACGCGGTCCTGGCGTGGACGAACCGGTACGCTGTACCGATGGTCACTGCGCGGAAGGAGTTCCAGGTGAGGGGCGATCTTCTGCTGTGGCAAAGCAAGCAACGCGCGCACATGCTTCTCTAGTCCGTAGAGGAAGAGCGGTCTCGCGGGTCCTTCTTTTCGGTGTGCCAATCCGTTTGCCCATTAAAAATGCCGGTCTTGGGTACTTCGGTGCAAGCCAAACAGATGCCCTCTCCTGGATGCTTCCGAGTTCTCCTCTCACCCAACGAACCACGCGATCTTTCCGAACGATGTTGTCTGGCTTTTTTGTCCTACATAAGAAAGCTTAGGCCGGGCCTGACATTCTGTCCGTGTCATTCGAAGGCTGTCTCGACCGTTCCTACCAAACGCGAAAAGCTCCACCCTACGACTATCTCATCCTCCTTGAGTCCCTCTTATACGATATTCTTCTTCGACGCGCAGATCTTCAACAGCTGGGAGGTGGAAGCTCCCCGGTACGGCGACCTTTGCGATTGGCACTACTCTTGCCTCAAGAGCGACAAGGACAAGATGGTGATGAAGGGTGACGTCGGAGAAGCCGTGGCCCGCAGTCTCATGACGTGGCTGGTCAAGAAGATGAGGTAGACTGACGTAACAATTTGTGGACGTGTATAAGTTGACGAGGTACAATTTGGAGCCCGCCCTTCACAGTTCTATTATATTGATCGTGCAGGCAAGATAAAGAATATCTTGGATAACCACTGGCAAGCCCATTAGCATGCAACGCGTAAAGAACGAGAGCTGCTCTAGAGTAGACGCTTGCGTCAACGAACTAACTTCAATCGGTCGCACCAGATGGAGTCGTCAGCCAAAGTTCTTCGAAGAAAGGAGTGTTAAGTCAATGGTCGATATAATTTTTATACCTCGGATGGCAATGAATAAGTTGATAGAAGAGCAACTGAAGCTGACATGCGGTTCCGCCCGATCTAGCTGCCCTGAAAAAGACGGGTCCATATGGATGCAGCTAGAGCAGCACCTCGGCTGGTTGCATCAAACTTGAAACGAAAAGCAGGTGCAGATCTCATTCAATACGTACGTGGGCCGCATATGGGGATATATGAGTCGTCTAGGCTAAGCTTCACGTACGCGCCCTTTCTACGCATTGATTGCACGAGGAATGGTGTTCCAGCTGCGGCGGGCAGTAGACTGAGAGGGCATGTAATGCATATGCCCAATTTCGAGCCACAATCTGCTCATCTTCGACCATGACATGCGCCGCCGCTTGCCATTTTTGATGACCAAGTTTGCGCATTCACGATCATTCGCAATCCAACTGTTGCCGGGAAATCAGGTTGTTTTAAGCTGTTAACCCGGCTGAATTATATGCATGTTCTTAGCCGGTATGTTGCACGCCATGATGAAGTGCACGCAGCGCGGCATGCAGACGGTACGCCGGCCTCAGCTCTAACAATTAGTAACAGTGAGTACGTCCTGTATGTCGTCGAAGCGACCCTGAGAAAAGCTCCAAGAGACGGGCTTCAACGGCGTATCTCACTGCCGCACATGGAAAAACTCCTGAGAGCGGCGGCAACTGTCAGAAATTTCTACTCCACACGCGGGCTGAGGTTGGGCTGCCCGCGTCACAACATTGCAGAATCTGAACCAGACTGCTTTACCTTCGTACGTCTGCTCTGACATGCCCAATCAGATCCACGAAGCACACTTGAGGCACTTACTCTCCACAGATCCAAGAAAGCAACTGACCACGTACAAAACAACGTACAAAACACCGTACACGTATCAGTGAACAAACCTGCCTACCTTTTGGGTTTAGTTTCTAGCTAGCCTAGTTCAAAACTGAAATAGAGTTCAAGTTCGCCACCGACACACTCGTCTAAGCAACCCTGTTCCTCAAGACCAAACGCATGTTATCGTCCGGCTTGGTCGGTGCGTCTTCCACAGCAGCCGCTCAGTTGGCACGTTTTCACTGCACGGCTTGCTGACTTCAACTGTGTGAACTCTCCTTCCGGACTCTACACAACTTACACAACCTGTACATGATGCAGCTCATCCAGACTCTAAAAGCAGGCGTGGAGGGTCGCTTGCAAACTAGATTTTCTAGGCCGCAGTTGCACTGTTATCAATTATCTACAATCTCCCAAGATGAACTACACAAATGTACAAACCCTGCTGAATTACCACCTCTCAGATGAGCACTGTCTCCGTATGTACTTCACGGCAGTGTCAAGGACTCATGATTTATACACAACTAATTAGACTGTTTCAGACGTTCTCTCCATGTAGCCACGTACCAGACAAGCCCCGCTTTTTGAGGGCCCGTCTCACAGCAGAGAGGTCGTCATTGTCATCGTCATCATCCTCGTCAGCGGACGCCCTGTATAGTAGAAAATAACCTTTTAGACAAGACAAAACAAACTCGTTCCTGAGAATAATATTGCTCGTTACATACGGCTCTCTGAAAAGGTGCGCGCACCCGCCAAACGTCACGTTTTTCCCAATGAAATGGTGAATCTCAAAAAGTGAACACATGAGCACCGATTGCACGCCCCTCTTCAGACTTGACATGTGTAGGGTACGTCCTAACTGCTCCATCCAAATTGCTCCGCCAAGCAAGTGGAATGAGCACCACCCGCCTGACATATCTAGCATCACAAGCAAGCCATGTCATGATGCTCGTTGAAATCCGACTAGACTTGCACGCCTGACACATTCCTCAAAAGTATGGACTACACGACCAAGAAGACACTAGTATTCCAGTAGTTGGAAATCAACTGCTCTGATCTTCGCGGCTTCTGGCAACCATTTAAGACTGACTTCGTCCTAGACCAGGAACTCAACGAGCTGAGTTCGGGGCACGCTTCAAGAACTCACCTGCGTAGCCGGTCCTCCATGCCCTCCGCCGCCGCCTCCGCCGCCTGGTTCTCCCACTCCTCTGAGCTCGCTTCGCTCCGGGGGTCTTCAATCCCCGCCATCGCCGCTGCCGTCCTCCCCCCCGGAACCTCAAACTCGGCCCTATCGGCTTCCGTCTTCCTCGCCTTCCCCTTCGCTAGAGTCGGCTTGCTTTCCACTGCCGCTGCAGCCTTTTTGGCATCTGATGCGCGGCGCGCCTTTTTGCTCTGCGAGGCCGCTCGGATGTTTGCGAGGACGGCGGACACGCCCTGGGCGGACCCCTCGCGGACGAGGGTCTGGAGGCTCTCGAGGGGGCCGCACGCCTGCTGCTTTTCCCCGGGGGCTGCGAGTATGCACTCTCTCTGTGCTGTGGCCTGGGAACAACAAGTGGCAGAAAAGTAATTCGTAAGTTGTCTTGCGCAAAATTAAGGGCGGCAATACCTTGACAACTTAAGTTCCGGAATTACTCTGCTGGCGTAGGGAAAAAGCAGTGACCATCAAAAGACAGCTGCAAAATTCTCCGATGAACATCTAAAAGGTAAGATGCTCCTATTTCCCACGTCGCTGATGCCATTCGAACAGGCAATCGTAGCGGCAAGAAATAGAGGCTGCCAGCAAAGAATCCATACAACTGAATCGAGTGCCCTACAAAACCAAGCGGAAAAATGCCTGGTTTCAAAGAAGCGCTACTGAGGCTGCTCATTTTCAGACCAAAAAGCAGTGGTGTTTTTTCGCCAGTGGTAGAGGACACACTCTCAGTCAACAACCGATAAAGTCCCTAAGTTGAGGCAACTAGGCTGCGGGCATTGAATCTGCGTCATCAAGCTCAGCGCGTTGCTTTCAATGATTGCGACCAGGAGCGACAATCAGAATTGAATCTTACGACTTGTCCAAAAAGCCATCATTGAAAGAACGTTGCCAATTCTGGAGCTTCCTGACCGTAAGCAACCGAGTCAAACGGAAGAGCATTCAACATTGATTTCGAAGCAAAGGAAGAGACATCAATAAGATCAAGAGTGGAAAACAATCAACCTTGTGATGCCTCACCTTGTCATCCTCAAACTCAAAGACTGTTTGCCAGCAGTTGTACGCTTCGTCGCCTTCAAGTGTCGTGCACTTCTCTGCAGAGCAAAGACCAATCGTCAACAGAAACGGAAAACCATGTCTCTGTTTGCATGCTTGGCAGCGAAACCAGTGTCCAATCAAAAGCTTTGCCTCCAACGCACTTCTGTACATGGCCACCACTACTGAGTCCTGCTGCTAATCCTCATATCCACCACTGCTTTGCATTGCAATTAACCCCGCCAGCAGTAGCACAGGGGAACAAGCAGAGAAAGGCTTGCCCCAGACTTTTCAGCTTGTACACATAACAAGCCCTGTGACGATTTGCACTAGGTCTCCTGTCCAATCTTCAGAAGACTAAGCGTTCTGAAGATTGAATGCAAGGACTGCTCCTGAGCAATGTCTGCTGGAGGACTTGACTCATAGAAGTGTGGTGGAGTAGGAGTGGTTTCAGACATACTTTCTTCAAGCTATTCAGAGTGTTTGCAAAATCCTCTTGGACATCGACCTCCGGTTTCAATCTCACCACTCATCTCCTCTTCCGCCTTTTGCAAGATGTCCTTCTCAGGCATAAGACGCTCTAGCCGGGACCCATATTGCAGAGGTCGTGACGGCGGCGGGGTCTCCTGTTGCTTGTCTTCTTGAGACACAGATTGTTGCTCTGAACCAACTGCATGCAGGGAGAAACTACCTGCTCTCCTGTGCAAACCAATGCCCCAAGGGGCCGCACTATTTTGCAAGCTGCCGCAAAATGAGGGTTGAGATGGCCTTGAGGGCTGAGTACTTCCGGCTTTCTCAAAGGAAGAGACAAGGACATTGTGGGAGAGCTGGGTGACTGGGAGTCGGCAGACGGAATGCGCCATTGTGGAAAGTTTAGCTGGCGCCCTTGATTGTATTGGTTGTAATTTCAAAAGCAACTCGAAGAAAGCAGGGGAAAAAGCTAGGGGGGAAGAGAGAGAAAGGCGCACGCGATTCTGAGCTGGCGCCAGATATTTTGGCGTCGACGCACGTTCTTGCAAAAGCGAGGCACACTTTTATCCTTCTTTTTGAACTCATCGGACGGCTCGGAAGCCCCAAATCTTTTCCGGATCTTGAGGAGGTTGCAACCACCGAATCTTGATTCTTTCCTTCCCAGATTGGTACGGTACATGATATAATTTGGTACCGTACACTGCAGAATCACAATCAGTTCGAACTTCGACGTCGTCAACTGGTACTCAAGTCTCAGAACTTGTCCCAAGTGCTCCATTCTGCCTGCAAGGTTTTGCAGCTTGAGCGAGCAGAAAGATTCAGACAATATTCCATGGAGTCTCGCGCAGCTTTCAGCATTACACCATTCTCTGCTGGGTAGCTCCTTGCTGCAACGGCACAGGAAAGATCGCCAATACCTATCTCCAAAAGAGACGCTGGTTTGAGTTGGCAAAAGCTTGAGAAACGTGTGCCGTGCCGAGATCCGTGCCTCAGCCTGGCAAGTGTGCTTGAAAGTGGAAAGACCGTCTTGCTGTTTCTAATAAGTTGACCGTCAATGATACTCAAGCATACAAAAGACAAAGAGCGCATTGGAGGTGCTGCCGTCTCTGATTAGTTGGAGTTTCTTTGTCTAAAGAAGCTGATCATCTGAGCTGACTAGTGTCTTTGCTAGCTAGCGCCCGATTTGGTGGCCATATTTGTGGCAATCTAAAAGTCGTAGACCTTTGAAAGCAGTGTCAAAATGGATAGCGAGATCAAGACGGAAGTTGGGCCTCCTCAGGCGCCGCACAGCAGAGCTGGGGCTCCTCAGTTGACTAGGGTCCTGTCTCAAAAGGAGAAAGCACCGCTGGAAACAAGTAAGGATGACATCGTCCCCAAGCTGATGGGAATGCACCCAAGATCAGCTTGCTTGTTGCAAGGAGAAGCTGTCACTTGATTTTGCGGTGCTTATGAACTAGTTTCTTCACAACGAAGAGTGTGAAGCTGGCACTGAGGTGTGCCGATGTGCAGTCTAGGTTAAGGATCAGGATCCCTGCACCTTTGAGTAGGCTGCATTTTTCTAGTGTTGAGAGAAAGATAGAAAGTCGAATTCCCAATCCACATCTTGGCCCAGCTCAACTCTTTCATTGCTGACAGAACGGGTGCTGATCTCTCCTAACATGATCAGAAAGTAACATTCGAGGAGAGTAACATTTGGGAGCGTTTGCCAGGCCACCAACTTTATTAACAAATCGATTTGCTTACCCGGCAGGAACATTCTTACCTTTGAATCCATAACGGCTACCTGCGTCACATAAGCCTTTGTTTGTTCCAGTCTCCCCTCTTGGCAGCTTTTAAATAGCTGCGTGTGTTTTTGTCTGATCCAGCTGCCGCTGTCGGTGTCATGCCCACCCGCGAGAAGAAGCTGCAGTTCGTAAGCAAGGAGCAGGAAGACGAGAGCCAGCGTTTGAGGGCGGTGAGCCGCTTTACCTGCGTCTGCTCCAGCTTTCTGTTACGACAGTGTGCGCATCAAGGAATCATTGCTTGGCCTGACTGCCACACTCCTGGAAATGAAAAGCCAAGATTTTTGAGCCGAAAATGATTGGATGGGAAGTCAGAAAAACTTCCAACCTCTGGGAAGGATAGGAGAGAGCCAGGCTGTCCTTCACCGATACAGTTGTTGACGATGAGACTTGCAAACTTTGAGCATTAGAAGTTGAAGCATACAATCATTTCGGAAGTGCTCTCATCATCTCGGCGGGTCTTTGGCACACCTGCAGTTGCCCGATGTCGTCCCATCCCACAATTTGATTTCCGTTGGGCAAGCATTGAGCTGCATATTAACCTCTGCAGATGATTGAGAATCTGCTGCACCTCAGCCCTTATGCTATGTGCATTACAGACATGCAAAAGGAGGACGAGGTGAGATTGGGTACCGGATCGCTTGTTCATCCTTTCTCTCAGCTTTTTGTCTGTTGAGGGAGATAGTCTTTGATTTGGGAGCTTGTCTGAGTATACTTGACCTCTTGGCTGCTTTTCCTGTATTCTTTTAGCAGCTTGCAAAGTACGCAGATCTAAAGGAACTGTGTCATAGTTGTGGTGAAGCGAGGATGCATGGTGCTCAGTACTTCTTTTCTTCAACAGCCTATTGTGTACGCCAACGAGTGCTTTTGTACCTGGACCGAGTACCCAGAGGACTTCATTGTGGGGCGCAACTGGTAAGAACGGCAGTTTTATGGTTCGAAGCCACTCTCGCTGTGCATAGAGTGTATTCATTTGAGCTTGTAGCTTGACTGGAATCGGATCAATGTTCTTGGGGTTGCTAAACTTTTCCCCTAGAAATTCCAGGCAGTGGCGTGAGGTCTTGCGCAAATCCGCTTAAAGAACCACAGCTGACGAAAACAGGAATGGATCTGAACAATCGTCTGCAAACATGTTGGCGGCGCAGAAAGCTTCTCCCAGTAAGCTATCCCCTGACAAAAGCTATCCCCTCGCAGCCGCTTCCTCCAGGGCCCCAAAACGGACCGCGCAGTCGTTGTTGCGATGCGTGACGCCATCAACACGGGATCAGAGTTTAGGGGCATGGTTACAAACTACAGCCGAACTGGGACTCTGCTCTACAACAACCTGGTGATGACACCTGTCAAGAACCGCGACGGCACCGTCACGCACTACACCGGAATCCAGGTAAGAGCTCAGCACAGAGCGGGACTGCGTTTGAAAATTCAGAGACCCGGCTCTGAGAAGGTTGCTAGCTTCGACAAGGACTTTTCCTTTGAGAAGCCTGAAGATTTCAATGAAACTCGGTTTGTACTGGTTTTCAGTTCCAAAACAAATGAATCCAGCTGTTTCGCTAGGACTTTTGAATCAGTCGATTCTTACCTCTTGCGACCAGAAACAATCTCGTACAAATCCAACCTCCAACATTCACCATCGGGGTTTCCCTCTCGGTCTTTCCCAGCCCAGCAGAACCTCCTCGCGGCGTCAATTCCTGTACGTTACTAAGATCCTACTTTCATTGCACCATACAGAACTTCAGCCTGGATCCCCCCAACATTGACAACACGCCCAAGGCGCCCCTTGAGGTTGCGTTCAACCCACTGGCGCAGCACATCGCGCTCTGGCAAGAGTCCCACACCAAGGGGGCCGGCCCGAAAGAAGGTGAGCTTGTCAACAGAGCCAATCACCTCAGGCCCACTCGCGAGAATTTTGTACATCCCGTGCTGCTGGGCAGCTCTTTTGAAGTAGCTCTCATCCGCAAGTAACTGTTAACGTAAGCAAAATACCTTCGTCGTGCTTATCTATGGTGTAGCATCCACCAATTCCAGAATACGGTAAAACGTATCAATTCCTCGGCGCCAGCGCTAATGTTGACTGCAAGTCTCATAGTTTTGAACGCGGAGGACTCGATTGTCCTTCTCTTTTGTGTGCAGCGTTGACCGCGAATACAAACGAGCTCCTTCGTAGAATCGGCTTACGAGCTTGCCGTGCGTTTTGAAGGCAAGTTTTGAGCCCTGAAAGCTTGAAAAGCTGAACGTCTTCCCCTCTTACCACAGCGTTGATGGTGGATACGAACGAGCTCCTCCAAGAGATGGCCCAGGAGGCCGCGCACGCGGCGACGTCATCATCCCCAAAGTCGCCCAAGAGTCCCAAGTCCGCCAAGAGTTCCCCGTTGCGCAAGTCTCCAGACAGGTAAATTTACTGGTTTCAAGTGAGGAGGTCGAAGTACGGCTTTCAGCCTGATGACCACGATCTCTCGCGGCTACCCTTGAGAGCGGATGTTTTCTGTCACTCTTGCTGGGAACACGGGTGAAATATTACCTTCTCTTGATGTTTGGTGTACGCTAATCTGAAGTGCCTAAAAGACCCTTGCTGATAGAATAACGGTGCATAACGCGAGTACAGTCGTCATGAATTGGCAACCGCACGAACGAAGAAACGCTCTTTGAACTGTCATTGCCTTGCAATGAAAAGATTGTTGAAGGGCCGCGCTGCAGGTTTCACATCAGTACATATCCTTCTAGCGTTCAATTGAAACATCCATATATGCGTACGTTTTGAACGTCCTGAGCAGGAGTGACAAGTCCCATGTTCGACGCGTCAAGTGCGACGTTGAAACACCCGCCTCTGTCAATCCGACATTTTCTCTAGACTAACCTCGGCCCCGTTTTGTTGATCGCCGCAGCAAGGCCGGCTCGTCTGGGAAGTCGAAATTCTCCGACAGCCCTTACGCGGTCCCGCTTGTGGCGAGCCCCAAGGGCTCGGGATCCTCGTCTCACGCCCCGGCCGCAAAGCGCGCCCCCAAGGAGATGTCCTCGGTTCCTGAGATGGGTCCCAGCAAATACATGAAGCCGGTCAACCTGAACGCGGACGTAAGGAAACGCACGTTAGGCTCTTGCCTTAGGTTCAAGTGCGGTGCGAAAACGGAGGTTTGCCTTCTTGAAGAGGTCTCGATGGGAAATCATGCACGGATGGGATCGCCGTATGTTCGGAGGAAAGTCGAAACGTTCTTCGTCGCGTTCCGCCATACTTGTTCACAGACAGCTCTCCCTCTTGATCCTCTATTGTGTCGGAGTCCCTACAAATTGCATCGCAGCTTTCTTGACGCTTGCGCTTTGTGAAGACGTGTGTTACCCCTTAAGCACGATCAACATTGGTTCATCCGGGATCGGCGTCTTTCAATCGTCCCATCCAGCCCCTAATTGCTGCTCGCTTCTGGAAACCGCATATCCGGGTCGGTATTCTCCTTCCTTTGCCTTCAACTGATCACCTGAGAACACCAGAGAGCCTTCAGAACGTAGTCAAGTCAGCGGTTTTGGTGAGTATTCCGTTTTCTGTACTTCCACCTGAAATGAAAAGTCTGTCTTTTTAAAGGTATCCAGACTGGCGCTCTCGATGCGCATCCAACCCTTCGTTTTGAAACATTTCGCGCAGGCTTTCCAGCCCGGCACCATTTCCGCGCGCGCCGGCCGCCCCGGCTCGTCGCGCCGTTCGATGAGCCGGCGCCAGGGGGGTGCGTGCGCGGTAACGCCAGACGGCGACGTGTGGATGGAGTTACTGCTGCGCTCGCTCAACCCCAACAGCGTGCCCATGCTCCCCAACCAGCCGGCCGCGGTGCCGTCCAAGAGCCGCGCGATGACGTACGACGACTTTGAGACGGCCAAGAAGGAGCGCATTGCCGCTGACGTCGCCGTGCAGCCCGCCGCTGTCGACGTCATGTAATTTAAGGGTACGGAAGAATGGATATACACGTCAGCAGGAGAAGGCTGATGGGCGGCGGTAAGCTGATGGGCGGCGGAGCGAAGGCAGGAGTTGCCGCAAATGGCCGTGGTTACTAGATCGACCAGGATGCAAAGAGGCCTGTCTGGGCGCTCGGTTAGAAGGAAAGCGATGTTGAGGACATTGTATGCCCTAAGATGGAAAGACGTCAGCACGACGTGGATAGGTGTAAAGGGGAATAGGTCAGGCGAGTTTGTTTGACTCAAACAGCAACCGGCGGACCGCACCAAAGCGAGGAAAGACCTGCTGCATAAGCACTGCAAACATAAGTCGCCTAGCTTGGGGTGTTTGGAACAGAAGTCAATATTGACTGCTAGGAACTACGCGGCGTTGATAGCGTAGGCATTTGTGCCACAGCAAGCAAATCCATCGCGACAATCAGCCAGCAACCCTCGTTACTTCCAGCAAAGATGCACAGCAATCGCCACATGGGTTTTCAAGTGGTAGCAAGTAGCCGTTTGGAAAGAAACACCTTGTTTGGACATCGCTTTGGATTTGGGCGTTCTAGCTAGACGTCTGAAATTGTACGCGAGCTTGAATTTAGGTTCTTCACTGGAGATCTGAAGACCGTCGAGACTCATCGGTTGCATTGAGGAATCTCGGTTTTTAGATCGCAACGCATTAACCCGGGCCGGGCCCACCAGATTTTAATAGACATGTTTTCATTGTACCCCGGCGGTCTGTGCCAGGTGGTCTGCAGAACTTCTCATAACATTGCACGCGTTGAACCCCACTTATATCATTTCAGTCAGGGTACGCCGGCCCCTGCGTTAACCTCGACTCATATACGGGCACATCCGATCGTGCGTGTTTGACATAAAGCTAGGTACGCACGACCCACAAATGTCGTGGCGAGCTGCCGCCGCATCGACCCTTGAGTCTTGGAGGCGGCTTGAGAATGCCATTGAAGCTAGAGTGAATGAATGTGAGGTGCGCATGAGGCATGGCTGTCGATTTTCCAGAGCGCATGAATTTGCCTGTGCCGGGCCCGTGAGCCTAGCTTGCGAGACTTCCCGATTGTGCACTCAAGACACGCACAATCGAGAAAGGATGTACTGCTTTTTTCACATGCTTGCGGGTAGAAACGGCCACAATGGTAATTACACCAAGTACGTCTGCTCAAACTCAAATTTTGCACTTTTGCAAACGGTACATGAATTCACCCGACAGGACTAGATGCCGGCTTGAATGCACGGCGGGGTTCGAGCAAGCAGTTGATTACGACAAAAGTCTGGCAGATCAAGAGAACTCGGCGATTTATTCCTTTGATAATAACTTCGTCGAGCAATCGCCGGTACTGAAACAGAAAAGCTCCTGAGCTGACAACTAGTTACAGAAGGACTTCTCGACTGACTTATCGACATCGGGAAAAAGTGTTGCTGGCGGTTGGCTACTGGTGCCACGTGGCGGGGTTCTGGCGAAGCTCCGCCGCCTTTTGCAGCTGCAGAAAAGCACACGGATTTCAATCATTAAGAGCAAACAATTGACAAGTTGTAGGAGGTGAATTAGGCTCGCTATGGGAACGATCAACTTGGGCGCAATTGAGTCGTCATAGAAGAGTAAGAAAGACGTGCAAGAGCATGTAAGGCGTGCGAAATGAGTATCGATTGTACGCGACCTGCTTAGGACTGGAGTGCGCGCCGTTACAGGGGCTAACGATCTAGCGAACCTATCCAAAAGCATCTGGTTGATTCGAATTGATTCGTGCCCATTCGTTGGCAACCTTTGGCCCCCCATTGACATTCACCGTACCCTTAAAACGGTATCCAGGCAAAAAGAAGCCTGTACGACGGATAAAATGTCGTCCCTTACGAGGGCAATGGTTCTTGGCCATACCACGAGTTATCTGCCACAGTCCACATTGGCATCTGCGTTCGTCCACTCTCGCCGGCTTTATTGCGGCATGGATTAAAAGCAAGGATACCTGGCCCAGCGAATCGATTGACACCCTCTTCAAACCGTTAAAGTTGCTTTCCAGGACGTATATCCATTTCTTGATCTTCGCCTGCGTACGCTTATTGGAACGGAAGCCAATGAATAATACGTCGAAGATTTAGGGAAATTCCTCAAATTCATCCAGACTCACCCTCTTCTGCTGTTCGCCCTGATACTCGCGCAGTTTCCGCCGCGCCTCCACCGCCACGTATCCGCCCACCAGCCTGCGCAGCGTCGCGCGCCGCTCCTCCTCCTCGCGCGCCTGCGCGCGCGCGCGTTCTTCCTTCTCGCGCCGCCGCGCCAGGCGCTCCGCGGCCTCCGCGCGCTCCTTGCGGATGTACGCGCGCAGCGCGCGCTTGCGCTGCTGCTGCGACGCGAGCGCTAGGAGCGCGGCCTCCTCCTTATCCTGGCGGTCGAGAAAGACAGGTGAGAACAGAAAGCAACAAACGTAAACCCTAAGCACTGGAGGACGGTCAGAAAGAGTCCTCCTTAAATCCCAAAAAAGGCGAATCTTGCAAACCTTCATGGCTGCATCCATGACGAGCGTTGTTCGGCAACTATGTACCTTAATTCTCCATGAAAATGTAGGAGGCCGCCGAGAAACGGACGGAAACTAAGGGTCGATGAAAACAAACAACTTCGATGAACCTTTTATCGTCTAAAGGAAGCTTGTTTTATTGAAAGGACGCTTTCGGCTATGAGCAGTGCAATAGTCCACGAGATAGCAACGATTGTCGATGCTGAGAGAGGGCCTCATCATGCTTCTCAAAGTTCACTCTGAAAATGTGGAGCTTTGGATTCGAGAAGCGTTCTCACCATCTGTTCTGATGCCTCTCTCGGTGAGGCCAGCCGTCGGAACGTCTCCCGGGTGGCCTTTCCGGGCCGCATCAGCGGATTCCGGCGGAACATCCACCGGATGTCGTGCACGACGGCCTCATGCGCGGGGTCTTCCGCTTCCGCCTCGGGTCGCGACCGGAACCACAGCTCGAGCTTCTCGCGGTGGTACTCCTCCATCGGCGCTGCAGGTTGAGATGACATACAACTACATCTGGGTTACTCGTAACCTGGGTTTGAACCTCTTCCTTCTCCATAACCGCCACGATATGCGAAGATATGTGGTTCGAGAACGCGTTCTATGCGAACCTCAGCTGCATCCGTAAAAGCTCTGCCCACTACTCGACTTGACATTGCTTTGATTACTCTAAGGTCATGCTCCCGCTATCTGTTGTAAGCACGAAGACCTTACTCTGCATGCCTTGCCGAAAGAGAAATTAAGCTTCCAAACTGAGTGTCTGTTTCAAGTCTTGCTTGGGTTGTTATTGCACGTATTCTCCAGCAGGTTTCATGAGGGCTGACGTCATGCACCAGTCTCAAGAGGCGAATGTGTCGACTAGGATAAAACCACTTCGGACCGGGTTCTTAATACTTAATCAATGTCAAAACCTTTCTAGCGTGCAACATCACGTTCGGAAGGAATGAAGCGTCAACGAAGCAACGACGTTTTACAGAATGAAGAAACTCAGTTAAACGTGGAGTTGACTTGACGTCAGCCTCACCTTCGCTCTCGAGCTCTTCCAACGTCAACGGCCTCTCCACCCAACTCTTCTTCCGCCCCGTCTCCGTTTCGGCTTCCGCTTCGAAGTCGCTCTCCGACCAGTCCCTGGAACTGCCCCCACTCTCGTCTGAATAACCCTCCGAATGCCCCCATTCTGTTGACCCGTCTTCCTCTATTCCGGTCTCTTGGATTGCCCACCTTTCATCGTCCGGAAGACTTAGTGTAACCATCATCGAACGGTCGGTAGGCCTCCCCCGACGCCTTCTCGGCCGCAAGATGCACTCGAGACAATTGTTACATTCACAAGGTTCGCCTTCCTTTTTCCCGTTCGGTTCCGGGCTTTCCTGCTTAGAAGCACCGTTCCTTGTTTTGCTATTTACTCTGTCGGTCTCAGTCTTTGCCGTCTCGTTTCTACCCATTTTTGAAAGTGTCACTTTCTCCGACGCTCTGTTCGTGTGAACGTCCCCCCGAAAGTTGCTCAGAGTTGCTAAAGGCGACCTAACCCCAGACCCTTTCCCAACTCCTTTCACACTCCCCTTCTCGCTCCACGCTTTCTTCACTCTTCCCCTTTCGAAATTGTCTACGTCTACTTTTCCCCTGTTCAAGGGTGGTAGAAATGAGCCGTTTTTTTTATTTTGTTCCTGCTTGTCCACGCCCCCCCTCCCCTTTTTGCTGCTAATCGTACCCCCCCATCTCGTGCGCCGAGTCTCTGGGCTGCTCCAGCGTCGAGTCCTCATCAGACTGCTCATGATCTCGTCTTCTTCGTCCTTCTTGGAAGTCCCAGAATGACGCCTCGGAGGTGCCACGTGGCGAGTCGTGAATGGTCCCCGGCTGGTTCCACTCGTGCTGGTCTCCAACACCTGTCGAAGTTGTATGGAAGCACATGTGCGTCAGGCGCACAGTTGTAACCCCGAGCTCGTGTCAGGATTGCCGAGTCTTTGAAAGGATGTTTTGGCAGGGCGTCTGCGGCAATCAGAAAATCCGGTTGATAAAACATCCCCGAGCGGCATGCTAAGTGGACTCTTCTTAACCGGTTGTGCTGGGCCGTACTTTCTGAAAGGAGTTGTGGCTCAGCTTTCGTCTGTTCGTTGGTCAAAAAATACCATGCTGAGCGGAACAGCCAAACAGGGACAGTCGCTTTGAAATTGGATAACTACAGCGAGTTGCTTCTTCTCAGGTGGGTGAGTTGTCACCCAACTATCAGAAGCATGTTTGCCGGCAACTCAAGCGAGCGTTACCTGATCCCTCTTAGTCAGCCGTTTCCACCCGCTGTTTGCGGAGGATGTATGTTGTTGAATGTTATCACGGCACTTTCACTTTCGAGTCTCTTTGGTAGCAACCAGTCACATGTGCAGATTTATGGGCAGGGCGCGATGAGTCAGCTCCCTTGTCCGTCTCATTGACCCACACTTTTATGTAGCTGAAACTCTAAACCAGACCCTTGACTGAGGATATTCGACCATTCAAATTGAGTGACGAGTGCCTAAAACGCGACACACCTCTTCAAGGGGCCGCCGGAAGACCTCCTCGCTTCCCCCCGTTACGCTCACCCACTTCAGCGCTGCCGTCGCATGGGCTAATTTGCGCCGATTGGTCTGTACACTGCTCGGCCTGAGTGTACTTCGTAACAGCTGGTCTAAGAGCTCCATGATTGTGAACGGACGGGGAAAATTCTACTCCCTAAGCTGTAGGTTCTGGAATTTGGGTTGGACTGACTTCCATTGGCGCACCAGTGACAGCTTATATTATCGCGTTTGTCTTATGGCCGCAGTGAGTGACAATAGGCAAGGCGTCAACATTGGACGATGTGAACATTGAGTGGGAACCTCCGTACTGATTACTCCGGATGTTCGGTCCTTCCCATGGGAACTCCTTCAAGTGTTGAAGATTTGCAAGAAGCTAACACCCTCTTCTTTTAGGGTCCAACACAGCGTTGGATAGCTATGTCTGCAGAATTTCAACCTCTTTTTGTTGACGGCATTGCTGACTTTTCGGTGCTTCAAAGGTCTTTACACAGAACCAGTGTAGAGATCAATGTCACAACTGACAGTGCTGCCCAGCAGTAAATCCGTCTATCTCTCACTTTGTGAAACATACGCTTCCAAAAAATGGCAGCATTGCAGTACATCTCAATCTGGTGCTGCTTGATACCTATCTAGCAGGACTTAACAACTGAAGCGTAAAACGTGTGCCATTGGCGGCCATAGGCCTAGGTTCGCAATTTTAAAACGGGTTGGCGCAAATGGTCCACTCGGAGCTGAGCATAGGATATTGAGGGCGTTGCCCTAGTCAGTTCGAAGACTGAAAAAGACGTTCATGACTCGTTGTTTATCTCACATGATCGACTCGGGATCGACTCACAACCACATTGTACGGAGAAGTGAACGGTCCCTATATGCGGGAGATAAGCAAAAATGGTCCCAGCTATAAGCTTGTAGTCAATTGACCAATTAGCGGCTCCATTCTTGTACGGACACCAGTACCCCGACTCCAGTGAAGGCTCCTGATTGCGAGCTGTTCTGAGCAAGTTTTGGCCTGCAGTGTACTTTGTAGTACCTAGCAGGTATCATGCACCATATAAGCACTAGCTTGAATGCAGATTACCATAAAGCTTAACAGTCATAAGCATCTTAGGTACTGAAAGTACTCAATTCCACGGCTTAACCAACACTAAAACCCTAAGGACAAAATGACATGCTCCGCACCTGAACCCACCCTAACCACCAAACTAACCCCACCCGTACTCCTGCACCTTAAGTTCCTAATTACTATTAAAGTTTATCCCTATCTACAATGCTCCTGCTCTCCTGCAAACCCACCCGCACACTACCGTAGTGGTGAGTGCAACGGCCCGACCGGAGCGCGTAACCGCAAGCTGACTTGGCAAGCTTCCAAGAAATTAGTGCGAAGGACGACTCCGTGGCTGCTTTCAAACCGTCGATTGAGAAGCGTGCTGCCTTTTAAGTCCGTCCGATGCAAGCTTTCCTACGTGGAAGCAAGAAGTTTGAAAAAGCACCGCACAAAGTTCTCTTTCTAGGCGCAGAGGATTTGCATGCGGCATTGGCGTTTTGTGCGGCAGCTTGGGTAGCTCGACGCCTCAAGAAGCGCTAAACCACCGCTTTCGCTTTCTCCCTACGAGGCTCTTTTGCTCCAAGCTTCCTTCTTGACCGTGGTCTCTCTTGCTTCTCTCTGTGGCTTTCAACATGGCGGCCACGAGCGTCGCAGGCTTACCACTGTCCCAACTTTCTTTCAGAGCAGCTACCGTGGACTGCAAACAGCCTTCCGCAGCACGCGCGCAGAGTGTCCACTCTTGGTCAGCATTGCCGCGTTTCTTAGCACGGAGAGCCGGATCACAGTCAGCAGCGTGCAGTTTGAAGTCGGCGCATTCGCAGCTGTTGGGGAGGCGCTTTGCGGGCGTGGAGAGGCGGCGGTGTTTTGGTGTGCAATTAGCTGGTGAGTATTGTCGCACTTGAGTTTGGGCAAACCTCATGTGAAGGAAAGGGACTGCATGTCTGGCTGAAAGTCACAAGTGGGATCCGATCATCTGCTTCCGCTCATTCTGGTTGGCCGACTATATTGTGGCTTCAGTAAGAAGCGTGGGGTTTTAGGTTGACGCGTTCATCAGGTGCGCATCAGACGTGTGATTGTGAGAAGGTTGTAATCATGCTCTGAACCAAGGTTTTTTTGAGGCAACTTGCTCGCGCTTCCGGCTATACTGCATAGCAAGTGGCTGAGTTTTATGACTATCTGCGCCACTGGCTCGCGCTTGCAAAGCCATCATAAGCGGCGGGGTTTACTAGCTGTGGTGGCGAAAACTCAAATGATCTCGCCTAGTCCTGCAAAGGTTGAGATTGTCATGTGCACAGAATTTGATCTTATCCCCTGAAATTAGTTGAAGTGGAGACGAGCCCAGACACCGCAAATGGCTGAGGTCTGGGGGCGCCATACAGAGCTCCGGTGTTTTTGAACATTTTCTGCTGATACGCTGCTGATACGCTGGAAAGAGCAATTGGTCTGTGCTCCCCGAATTTCCACTCCCTTACATATATTTGGGCAGCTTGATTCAAATGAAGAGACACCCTTTGCATAAAGAAACGTCTCAGCACAGAAACTTCTTGTCAGCGGCCAATAGTGTCTCCCCTAAAGACATCATTCTTCGCTGGGGCGTAAAACTCGCTTGAAGCAGAATGCGCAATTTTGGTAAAGTGAACGCACATGAGCCCAGGTCACCCGAGCTTTGATCTTTGTAACGTTTTATTAAACTCATGTGAAGCCTGTTTGACTGGTGCAGACAGTCAGAATTTCCGGCCCAGCAGAAGCGATATTTTGAGAAAGGGAGCCGCTGCCGGCGCAATTGTCGCAATGACGAGCGGCGTGGCGGTCCCGTCCTCAGCCACAGCGCAGCCAGGTGATTCATACGCCGGTGTTCCCTTTTTTGTTAGTTTTTCGGGCCAGTTTTCCATATCCTTCTCAACCGTCAGTATTATGACTTGGTTATGCCTCGGCTGTTTGGAACAAGCCAAGACTGCTCGTCTGATTTTCCAGAGGGCCAGCTTCAATGAAAGGATGGACAAAGGGTGCTTATTATGGGGGCTTGAACCGGGGGGTGTGTCAAAAGGGAAGCAAGGTGTTAAAGGGGCAGTATCTTTTTGGGTTAGGCTAACGCAACTGGGAGTTGTGGTGGTATAATCTGGTGAGCAGGGGGCTCAGAGAAGGTCCAGGCACCTCGCAAGTGCGCTGAAAGGGGTGCCGTTCTTGTGTGCAAGATAAGATAGGGTACTGATTGGCAGGATTGAATATGGAACTATCCAGGTATTGGATATGCCACATCAATAACTGGCCACATGCCGACACGAGCAAACTGGCAAAACCCGAAGGTTACCACCTGTGCGATAGTGCGATTAGACTTAACCATAACCCAATCGTCACAATAAAACCTGCCGATGTTCCATTCTTTCTAGTTTCACCTCACTTGGAGCATCAAGTGCAAGTCCCTGCCTGACGTCCTTTGCTGACGTCACTACTGTTTCCACCGTCAGCGGCGGTTCCCTTCAAGCCGGAGGGGTACAACTACTGGAAGTGGCGAGGGCACAAGATACATTACATAGAAGAAGGGGAGGGCCCACCTATTGTTCTGGTACATGGCTTTGGGGCGAGCGCGTTCCATTGGAGGTGAGCCCATAGGTTTGACATGAAAGGCTGTGGACATTAGTTCGGAGGTTTTAGGGTTTTAGGGTTTAGGGTTTTAGGGTTTTAGGGTTTTAGGGTTTTAGGTTTTTAGGGTTCTAGGGTTTGGAGGTATTGTTTTGTATCAGTAGCAATTTTTGCCATGTTGCAAAGGTTGGCTTCGTATGGAAGCAGGTTCTGCGGTCGAGGTATTTCGGCGCCTTGTGGAAAGCCGGGGAGGAGGCGACGGGTCTCCCTAGGGAGTTTTAAGACAGGGTTTGGTCTTGACCCGCACGCCTGAACCCTGTTTGCTCTTATCCTGTTTGACCAATGCTTAGTCGTTGGAGTAACGAGTGTAAAGATGCTTGTCTGGTTGTACGGTCGCTTGGCTGTTCGTTGCAAAAGATGGAGTTTGCAACGGGCGCGCCCCTTTTATAAACCAAGTTCACATGTCGCTCCGACTTTTTTCATCTTATCTTTTGTGCGTATTACAGTCTGGCGAAACCACCATGTCGAATGTCTAAGTCGAACCATTGTAAGCTGCGATCTGAAGGGGAACTGTTCATTTTGAACCATCATAAGCCGCAATCTGAGTGGAATCCGGTCCGATTCTGCAGGTACAACATCCCCGAGCTAGCCAAAAAGCACAAGGTTTATGCACTCGACCTACTGGGTTTCGGCTGGAGCGACAAGGCGCTGGTTGATTACAACGCCGCGCTATGGCGGGATCAAGTTGCGGACTTCATCAGGGAAAAGGCGGGCGGGGGGCCGGTTGTCTTGGCTGGAAACAGGTACCTTCTTGGGGCACGTTCTTCTCACTCAGATTTTCAACTCTTCTTCTCTTCTGCTTTTCAGTGTTATTGAGTTGGACAGGACCCTCGGGGTGGGTTAGTTCGTTGTCTTTTCGTGAAGTGCGTATTATCCGTTTGGCTGACTAAGCGACTTCGTTGGAAACAGATAGAGTCGTCAGGAAAGAAGAAGCAGGTTACGCGGCACCTGACGTTCTTCGATTAATCAAAGCGCAACTGGATTCTCTGTTCTGTTTGCCCCCCCCTCGCTAGTCGCGGTTTTTGCTGGCGACATTTGAAACAGGTCAGCACGAATCTCTGAGCACTATGAAAGCTTCTAGTTAATCTGAAAGCAATCAGTCTCTCACTCTCAAGCGGTCAGTAGCCGTACATCTCGGTTGTTAGAAACTTGACTCCTGTGTGCGCGCAACAGCTCGTTCCCTGAACATTCGTGAGTCAAGCCGAACATCCGTAAGTCAAGCAGCGCAAAAATCAGGGCGAGAATACATGCCACGTGGCTGCAGTATCGGAGGCTTCACCGTTCTGTCGACCGCGGCCAAGAACCCGGAACTGGTTAAGGGGCTCGTCCTCCTGAACGTGGCCGGCAAATTCGCTGACAAGGACGAGAAGCCGCCCGTTGTTGCCGGAAGCGAGGTCGCCCAGGAGGTGCGTGACGTCATTTTTGTGAGGTGGCGGTGTCCCTAAAAAAGCGCCCCTTCTTTTGCTGTTTTGCGACGACGTCGAACCTTCCTTTTGTTGTTGCCAGGGAAAAGAGCCCAAAACCAGCACAGGAATCTGGAGCGTGTGCCCGGATGTTTTTGATCAGTGATTGCACGAAAACCTTAGTTTGTAGAATTTTCCGTATATAGTCGTGCCGCTGTGAATTACTTGGGGTGGTCAGACTTGCGTAGTAGAGCGGCGGCGCTTGAGACTTGATCTTCAGTTTCTGAACGGCGCAGAGAGCTTGTCAGGACATTGCAATCACGAAAGTTTTTCCTAAGTTCAATGCAGATACTCCTTCCGTCCGACGAAGTTGACGTACGTCTTTGGATCCACGCGACTCTTAAACCCTTGACTCTTTTCAATATAGGGCCTGGCCGTAAAATTCTCAAAGAGTTTGGCAGTGTTTCAATCCTGTCTCAGATCGGCAAGAAAATGAGTATGAATCTCTGAGAAGTGAGTAGCGCGAGGGGCGCCTGATGTCGGCTGAGGTTACTGTTGAGGCCGGCAGTGTTGTTGCGGGTGTTGAGCGCATACCGGGTTCCTGCTTTCGTGCACGGGTCTCGCCGATTTTGATCGATGGAATAATCCAAAAGTTACCCGTATCAACAAACTTTCCATAAAGTGAATGCCTTTGAGGACCTAAATCATGTTATCAAGCGGCAGGGAAAGCAGCTCGCCAACCGCGGACGGTTGGGTTAAGGGTCGGGGTGTAGAGGTGGGTACGGGTGCGGAGCGGGTCACTCGTCGGGTTAGGGTTCTACTTTTTTCCGGGAGCTTCTTTTTCCTGGCTCTTATTCTTCCTGATTGAGACCGTCATCATTTGTTTTATCTCAATCGTTAGATTTTATTAATTCTCTGTCCGCAGTTGGACGAAGCGGACGTCGACGATCTTGCGTCCGCGCAGCAGCCGGAGACGATGATGGATCGGCTGACGGCTCCTGTGAAACAGGCCGCTCAGCGCGGGATGCTGCTCTTCGCGTTTTACCAGGCGCGCCTCCCGACGCGCGTGAAAAGCGTGTTGCAACAGGTACGCTGGTTTCGGTTCGTTCTGATTGTCTTCAGCGCTGCTAGGGGGGTAGTGTAGTCAAGATTTCGAGAAGGTTTAAGAATCGTAGGACTGGAGAGCAGCAGGGAAATGTTGCCCTCCGCGTTTAAGCAGGCGCGCCTCCCGACGCGTGTAAGAAGCGTGTTGCGGCAGGTACGGGCTTTTCGTCGTTAGCTCTGGTCGAATTCGGCGGCTGCTAAGTTTGTCCCAGAGAAAGTTTGTCCTGCTGCACCGGTGAGGCCTTCGTTCAAAGTTTCCCAAAAAAAAAGTGTGCTTTGCTGGACCTGTTACGACGTTGCCGTTCGACTCTGGTGGCTTACGTTGCTCCTTTGAAATGTGAAGGAATTCTCTGGGTCTGCAGTGGATATCGTGCAGAATATCCTCATGTGTTTGAAAGACGTTCACTCTCGTCCGTATCATATTCTTCTCTGTTAAAGTGCAGCAAGGAGCTGATTCTCGAAAATGGTTTGCTCTGAAACACCATACGTAGCGATCCAGTTAACTCATGAGCGGAACAGGTTCTGGATTGGCCACAGCTCATTCATGTTCATGGTATTTACAGGTGTACATTGATAAGACAAACGTAGACGATTACTTGGTCGACTCCATTACCCAGCCTGCATACGGTCCGAACGCCGCGGAGGTCTACTACAGGTGCGCAGTTCGCACCTATTGCTTAACATTGATTTTTGGAAGCGAGAGTAATTCTAACCTGTTGCTTAACACTGATTCTTGGAAGCGAGAGTTACATTTACTTTGCAGCGGTCGTAGAGTTTTGTGTCACTTGAGGAGCGCACGAAGTATTGGATCCGTAGGGGAGAGTTGTTTGAAGACCAATCCGTCTGCGCTGGAAGATAAGGGGATTCTGGGTTCGTAGAGGGCAAGTATCTGAAATATATTCCTGAATCAAAGGTTGTAGCGGGTTGTAGCGTTTCGTCGATGCCGTCAGATGTGCTTTTAAGTGAAGCGCTTCAACAAACAAAAAGTATGTTTACAGAGTTGTTCTTGCCGCTTATGTTGTGCTCTTATGTTGTGCTCTTTTGAAAGTCCTCTTGCGAGTCTCCTCCGTACACGGCAGTCGACGACAGTCTTACGGTCTAAGCATCAGTTTCGAACCGGGGATATTGCGCTGGGTGAACGGCTATTTGAGCAAAGTCTTCGAAGGGTTGTTCACGCCTTCAAGACCTCTATCAAAATCTTCCGTCACTTTCCCTGTTCCGTGCTCGAATACCTTTGTTGAGACTGCTCTTGTTGATGCAGATTGGTGACGCAAGTTATGCTCGGTCCGGGGTCAACGACCATAGACAAGCTCCTAACCCGGTTAAGCATGCCGCTTCTGTTATTGTGGGGCGACCTAGACCCGTGGATGGGTCCGAGCAAAGCGGCCCGGATCCAGGAGTTGTATCCGAAAGCGGATAGAGTGAGCTTGCAAAGCGGGCACTGCCCGCACGACGAGTCGCCCGCCGAGACGAATAAAGCGCTACTGGACTGGATGGCTAAGTTGGCCTAGGTTATTGGAACTCATTGAAGCTTCCCCTGCATCTGTGCACGCATCGTTGCATTTCGATTGAGTGTATCGGAAGGCAGCGGAGAGTTAGCGTAGGGTGCGTTGAATAATGCTCAGTTAGATGGGCATCATGCAATACTCATGCCAACCGCTGCCAGGCAAAGTTGTTTGAACTGGAAGCATAATATGTGCTTGCTTAGATTTGTAATTGCTGGGGACTTACCAGTTTCGTTGCAGTTGTTTAGTGAGCATATGGCGTTCAGCAAAACTGTAGATTAGACCTTCGGCTAGTCAATCAGAAAGAAGATTTCGAGTGACCGCCTGTGTACATAAAACTTCCATCAGGGTGATTGCAAAGTAAGTCGCGAATCTGAAAATGTCGTGATTGGATATTCATCGAATCTCACGCCAGTACTGTGTGTTATCAACGGCCCGGCCGTCCCCACGTTTGACTGAGCGGAAATATGAAGTTAATTGTATGTCCGATCTATCAGTGGTGTAATCAACCTGTCACTCACTCCTTAGGTGCCGATTGCATAGTGCTGGCAGTATGATGATCGACTTGCCGCGGGGGATTGGTCATCACAAAGCATTGACCGCTTTGTTTATTAGTGATCGATGGATTCGAGAGCCAATGGCCAATATCGATTAATATTAATGCACCACCATGGGCCATGTGCATCTTTACGATTTTCATCTGAAAGCAATTTGGAGCAATAACTGACCCGGTCGCAGGCCTGCATCTATTCGATCCGCGACATTTTACGCGGCTCTTACGTGCGGCCAGTTATATAGCGCAAATGAGTCAGCTCGATTAGAGATTGTTGACTGAGCTAGATCAATCGATCTGCATGGACGTAAACCCGGTTATTTACAGTACCTGCCAATAATGAGATACCTTGCACCTCAAATCATATCCAATGCTCCTAACGATCCGATTGCAAATGCAAGAGCGCTCGCAGGCCCGAGTACGGTCAGATAGGCGCGGCGGCCGACTCCCTTGTCCAACAAACACAGCCACACTCAGATTCAAAGTAGTTGTAAGGCCGAGAAAGTCTTGCGTTGAGATGGACGGTCTACTCGCAGTGCCTAAAGCAATCTAAATACTACAAAATACGATAGCCTGCAATCGATAGAGTCGGCGCGGCCAATATTATTGTCCATGCACCAGCTAGATATCGGACCGGGAGAATAAGGACGTTGTATACAGACCACCATACTCAAAAAATCCGCTAGAAAGAACACAATGTGGATCGAAGAGGATAAGAGTGTGGAATAAGACTTGCTCACGCAACAAAATGGACTAGAAACGATCGGATGGGATCGGATTATGCAACACTGACAACGACAATCATCTGTTCCCCGTTCATCTTACAATTCGTGCCTTTTCAACTTGGAACCACTCATTCGTACCAGGCCAGCAATCTTATAGGTCAACTTTCCTGTCAAGCATCATCTCCCGTGTTCTGTCGACCGCACATCAATCATGCAGGCTCCCTTGAATTTACTACGTCCCCCGCTAATTCGTAAGCAGCCCGTCAAGCAAGACTATCAAGGATATAAATCCTTCAGCTCCGAGTCGCCTTCGTCAGCGTTCGCCTCCTGTGCGCGCGCGTCAGCACGGTCGATAAACAAGGGGCACATGTTCCTGAGCTCGTGCCACACTGCTTTGGGGGCGAAACTGCCTATGGCCAGTGCGTCCCTATACTTGCCCAGAAGGCACTTTAGAAGCGACATCAGACTCCATACGAGCGACGGGATGAAGATCGCGTCGTCGATGTAATAGTTAGTCGCCGCGGAGTTGCCGAGCAAATACAGCGCGCTCTGCAGAATCGCCTGCGGAACGGCCTCAAACAGCTCCTCGATAAGGCCCCGCGCCGCAACATACGCGTCCAGCGAAACGACCTTCCCCCCAACCACCGGATGCACGCCAAGCCGGAGGACGATCGCGGCCGCGTCTAAGATAACCGCGGCCGCGGCCGCGAACGGCCACGTGGCAACCGCCCAGCAGAATTGCGTAATGCTGACCGAAGCCGGGGCGTCTGTGTGGGAGTATGTGTAATCTGCCACGAGCCACCAATGGAAACCGACGGGTGACCGGTTGGCGCGCGGCTTCGCGGCCGCGCCGCGCGGCGAGCGCCACGCGCCGGCCCACCACGACGCCCCGAGGAACAGCCCCGCGATAGCGTATTGCGCAACGATGAACGCGAGCAGGACCCACTTGACCCACGTGTCGAGCGGCTGGATCCACACGTCGCGCAGCACGCGCGCGTCGAGCGCTAAGTCGACCACGTGCCACGCCGCGCCGCCGAGCCCGAAAAGGAACAAGCGCGCGCCCTTGTGCCAGCTGTGCGCGCGCGCGCCCCCCGAGGCGGGGGCCTCGAACGACTTGAACGCGTGCCGCACGCGCAGGACGATCACGCCCAACAGAAGGGCCCCTCCGGTGCCCCCCCACATGAGGCCGATCACGAGCGCGGCGCGCGCGTTGCGGCACAGGTTGCCCGGGCGCGGGGGGAACCGGAGCCCCGTCAAATGGACCCCCTCGGGGCCCAGATCGATTTCGTCAAACTGGACGATGGGCACGAGTCCGCCGCCGACAGCTTTGCTGGGTCGCCGGGGAAGCTCGTATCCCGGCGGACCGCGGAAGAGAACCGTGATGTTGCCGAAGCAGACTTGGCGCTTGACGTCAGCCGACACGTGGGTGCTCAGGTTGCTACCGAGGAAGTTGACGGCGCATCCGTAGGCGCCGGACTCAATGCACTTGGTCCAAAACCCCGGGAGGACGGACTCGAGCTTTCTGCCAGCGAGTGCAGGCGTGTCCGAAAGCTTGAGCTCGTCCAGGATCTGCGGACGGGAAGGCCGCGGACGGTCAAAGAGTGCGCGAAAGTTGGTCCGCTTTGATTTGTTCAAGGGCGTTTGAAGAAAGAAGGCGTACGAAAACGTAAAAACACGTGTTTGTTACCGTCACATCTTGTCCCTTTAGGCATACAATCTTTCGTAAAGTAGCTCCAGTCAGAATCGACGTACGTCAAAATCTGGTTCAAAGGTTGCTCCAAACTCACGGTGGAGACCTGATGTTTCCCTTGGGCTACATACGGAAAGAAGAAGAAAGGGCTCATGCATAATCCAATTCAAATTCAGCTGATCGTGTCAGGTTGTTGAACGCATTCAACGGTTGCTAATTTCAAACAAAAAAGGGAACGAGAGAAGCATCTCACCGCGAAGGAGCGGTTCCCCGACTTTTGAACCGCCCAGCTATCGGGAATCTTCGTGACGTTGTTGCGGCTGACGTTGAGCGCAACTAGCGTTCGGAAGGCGCCATCAAAGCCCCACTCGGTCGGCAACGTGCGAATCCTATTGCCCGCCAAGTCCAGGGACCACAGTATGTCAAATCGCCCGTCGCTAAAGGACGCCGGAAGCTCCTCCATCTGGTTGTTGCTCAAATTCCACTTGAAAAGGTAGGGGAACGTGTCGTTCAGTCCCCAGTTCGGGGGCAGTGCGGCGATTTTGTTGTCCGCCAGATTTAAGTCGACCACGTTGCACACTCTTCCAGGGATCCCCCACGCGCTCGGGAGCGCAGAGATACGGTTCCCCGACGCGTCGAGAACGAACAAATCGGAGAGGGAGCCGTTCGCGAACCACGCGTCGGGCAAGCTCTCCAGCTGCCCTCCCGAGATGTCTAGATTAGACAAACTTGCGAAAGCGGTTGGGCTGGGCCAAGCGGGAGGCAGCCGGGTTAGGCTGTTATTCCCTAAATCTAGATTCAGGAGGCTGAGGAACACCCCACGCGCGCCCCAGCTTGCCGGCAGCTCGGCGATCCGGTTTCCGCTCAGGGACAGGGAGATCAGGAATCGCCACGTGGCACCGGAACTGACCGCCGGAGCCTCCGTCAGCCGGTTGTTGTCCAGCACGAGGTTCTGGAGGAGCGGGAACGCGCCCGGAGTGGTCCACGTGGCGGGCACCGCTGCGATCGCGTTCCGCGAAAGAAACAGCTCCCCGAGCAGCGGAAACCGAAGGGGGATCCCCCAAGCACTCGGCAGGGCTGCGATGCGGTTCCCGTCTAGCGACAGTATCTGCAGCGAACGGAGCGCGGACGGGCTTCCCCAATTGTCGGGCAGTGACGTCAGCTGGTTGTCAGCCACCGTCAGCAGCTGCAGGGACGGGAACGTCACGGTGGTGTTGGTTGTCCAAGAAGCAGGAAACGCGGCGATCCGGTTTTGGTCCAATGTGAGGGACTCGAGTTTGGGAAACCCGCCGCCAGTACCCCAGGTTTCCGGAAGCGCGGAGATTCCGTTGTCGTCCAGGTCCAAATCTAGGAGCTGCGGAAATGAACCCGAGACGCCCCACGATGCGGGGATCGCCGAAATGCGGTTGTAAGCCAAGTACAGCTGCTGGAGCTGGGAAAAGGCCCCCCGTCGGCCCCATGACGCGGGCAGGCTCCCAGTGATCCGGTTCCTCGGAAAGGTCAACGTCTGAAGCGTGGGGAAGAAGGGCAAGGAGCCTGCCGGCGCATCGGGCAGGGAAGTAATCTCGTTTGTCCCGAGCCGCAGCTCGACAAGCGTGGGAAACGCTCCGTTAATACCCCACTCCATGGGGAGCATTTGCACCCGGTTGTAACTGACCCACAGCTGCGCAAGCTTGGGAAACGCGCCCGGCGCACCCCACCCGACGGGAAGCTCCGCGATGCTGTTGGAGGTGAGGTTGAGGAGCCGCAGCTCAGGGAAAGCCCCCGGGGAGGCCCACGTTACCGGCAGGCGCGTGATGCCCTGTTCAACGAGGGTTAGGTTGACCACCTTGGTTAAGCACGCGCACCGGGCGTCCCATGGGAACTCGGGAAGGTTGCCGTTGCGGGCCACGCAGGCACCGGCTTGGCCGGAACAGAGAGTTACGGCCGTCTGAGGTTGAGACACAACCACCGGGCACAGCAAAACCAATGACGTCAGCCAGAAAAGGGCGACCAAGTGACCTTGTGTCGTCATCGGGGGCGTCAGTTGGCGGCAGATAGTTGTGGGTTGTCGCACAGAAAGGGCCTTTGCCGTCGGTGTCTCTGCAAGAGGAGCGGCAGTGCTTTAGGTAAAGTCTTTGGGGACAGAGGTCTACGCAGCATGCTACAGCAGGATCTGAAAGAAGCCCTATGAGGGACTGGAATATCCTGTCTGGTAAAGAACACCAAGTTGGTGACTTCCTCTTCTTTGTTGCGGAAAGCTGGTAGGCTGAAACGGGTGCAGCGTCTCCTGGTGTCACTCCCTTTGCTCCTGTATTCTGCTTGTCCTCTAGAGTAGCTTACGTGCCGAGCGAATAAAAACGATGACTGCGTTGGCAAACAGAGGCTTTTTTGGTAGGTAGTACCGGCACTGTCCCTGAAGTGGATAAAATACGATCAGCTTTTAAGGTCATTTCAGAAGCTTTGGAACAAATCCTCACCAGGAACGTACAGACCAGGGCAGCTTCCTAAATCTGCGGACCCCATAATCTAGCCTCGAGATACGTCTGATTAGTAAAGTGATAGGAACACAACACGCTTCTGTGTGTGTTAATGTACGGAGGCATAAAGCATTGCGGAATGAGACATAAAGTGCTCCTCAGTCTGGTTTGAAGTTGACCAGCTCATGAGGTGTTCATTGTCCTTGACCTACAGATATCTCTCCAGTGGTGAATCGTGATCCACCAAAAGGCATGTTGCTTCCTGGTGCTGGCCTTGCGAATCTGCCAACCCATCTCAAAGCAGACTGACCCATCCAAAATCTGCGCTGACTACTTAAGGCATGGCCGTATGCTGCAGTGCCTGCTCTGTCCTAGAAGCGTGCGCTGCCATGTCAAGCTGCTTTCTTTAAAACCCACCAGCTGTGGCCGACATAGAATACAACGTTACCCATCACAGTAAAATTCTAATTGTCATTCAACCGGGAAATCAAGCCCTTGCTGGCCCCCCTCTTTACCTTGTGAACAGATTCAGAGATTGTGCAGGCACAATCACTAGGAGCAGCCATGTGCAACCCATAGGAAAATGTGTGAGCCAAGTAATCCGCCGGACGTTCTGAGCGGGATGACTACCAAACATAGGGAATCCGGAACAGAACACATTTTTGTGAGAGGGAAGGTTTCAGCATTGAAGACAGCGGCCAAGTCTTGCAAAAACAGTTAGAGACCGGGTTATTACCTAGTATTGGCAACAGCGCCGCTTTGTCCCTCCAAATTTAGAAGAAAACCTCAGGTCCAAAATCTCATGCCGCCCCAAATCCACAGGGCGTCTCCAGTCTCATATATAATTTAGCTGACAAGGCCGTCCCCATCCACGTTGCTGGTTGATCGCTGGCAGCCGCTGAAGACAAGCTCACCCTGATCGGCTAACTTTGGAGTACTCTTCGGAAGACAAGCTGCAATTTTCTTTGTAGATACTTAACAAATCAAGCGCCCACACGAAGCTGGGCAGGGACTAGCTAGCCGTGAGCGAGGGACGTGCGCTCACAAGCGACACTAACTGACTCGAGTTGGCCTAGCCAACGCTCTGGTAGTCATCTAACAAACAGATTGTCATTGTGATTCTCTCTTTCTCCGGTAAGTGGCCATGACCCTATGCAGAATCCCAGTTGATGTTGCTGTTGCTGCTGATATTGTACACCGTAGTGCAAGCTCGAGTCTACTTGGTACGTAGGTACGGGATCCCCTTGTCTGTAGGATAGATAGGGACTCAAGTGTCGACATACTTTTATGCACACCGGAATTTCACTCGCTCCTGATCTGCCAATTGGCGGACGCTCCCGCAATCTGAACATCTCGACCGGTAAGATTTCGAAGCTAGATACCTAGGCTGCCTGAGGTAATACAGGTACCTACCTACCTGAAAACTGAAAATGGCGCTCGGTAGACAACCGGCCGGGCGCGCGCCACGTGGTCAAAGTTTGAATGTCGACATTCGACCGCCACATGAGTCTCATGCCAAGTACCGGTCAGACCGGTGGCCCCGCGCGCTAGTTCTGGCGCCAGCTCGATCGAAGCGCATCCGATTTTCGCAGGCAATTTTGCAGAACGCGGCTGCACATTGAAGATTGAAGATTGAAGATTGAAGCCTGAAGGTACCCGCTCAGCTTTTCTGTTCTGCTTTGTGTAACTTTTTGGAACTCGGCCGCTGCACATTGAAGGTTGAATGTACCCGGCCCGCTCAGCTCGTCTGTTTTGCTGTCTGTTTTGCTGTGTGTAACTCTTCGCGTCAGTACCGTGCTTCATGCAGTAGGCAAAAGTGCTAGAGGCTGGGGCCAGGGGCGTCTGGGCATAGCACCACGCAGCGTATGTACCCTGCCATCCTCGCCAAAGGGTTGATCACCTGAATCCACTGGCTCAGAATCCACATCAGCTAGAAGAGCCTAACGTTTCAAACATTCAGGAACATGGCCGTTTTTGACGTTGCTGCTCGGCGGGGGCAAGCTCAAGGACTATCGGTTGACCAGTTTCGGGTTGACGGCAATTGATCTGAGTGACGCCGGCATTGGGGACTCAAGGAGTGCTGAAAGATCGCTGAAGTAGTGAAGATAACATTACATAGGAGGCGATGCTTGTTGGTCGTCAAGATTCTTGTGCATATCTGTGGGTCTAGAATGGTAAAGCAGGAACAGCAGGAATGGCAGCTGGAGTAATATCATGAACATAGGACAGAGCATGCGCCGGTTTCACTCTTACATTCTCGCTGGCGATTCGGTCTTCAGATTGCAGATTCGTGCGAGGGACTTTGTATGCCTTGACTCTAAGTATTTATGATGCTCTTCATGGTGTTTGGGCCATGAGCTCCACCGTGCGATGAGCTCTCAATTAAGCGGCCACACAATCAGAATGGAGCCCACCAAAATACAGTATCTAACGGCCACTAAACTGCATCCTCTGTATGACGGCACTGATCCGGAACGTCATCATCGTGTATATATCATGCAGCCTGACAGCGAAGCTGTCTTGAGAGAAACGCAGCGTCACCGTGACGTTCCTTGAACTTCCGGGGAACTTCCGATATCGTTGGAGATCTGATCAAGGTATTGCATATAGCAGATTCTCTACTTTCTTCCTCGCGTCGAAAGAGCTTGTACGACTTGAAGGGTAATACCTTGGGACCGTTTCAATCGGATATGTTCAAAAATAAAAAGGAGGCAGGACTCAAGCGTTGACTTCGGTTGCATCTATGCGCCAGACGCCAACACATTTGTACCCTGCGACTGCTCCCCTCAACATGCATATTCTGTAAATGGGTCTGAAAAACCACCGCTATGAACAACTGCTCTTATCATGTTTACTTCAAAGAGGCCCCAGATTGCTCAGGCTGCTGCAAGCATGAAAGCCTCGAGGTACGGTCTAGCAGCCACAAAGCTACTGCGAACTCGAAGGAAAAAAGGATGAAAGGACCATCGAAGGATCTTAATGCAGTGTCAATCTCGGTTGGAATAGTGATATTCTACTTCGTCAACGGCGATCCTTGTGTGGAAGTCAGCCTTTGACTGCTCGTCAAAATGTTGACCTCTCTTTAGAGCAAACGCCGCTTCGCTCTTCCTGCCGTCCCCACGCCTTCTTGCTTCACCGATTGCATCCTCTAAAATCGAGAACACTCCCAGAAGGTCGAGATCCACCTCGCTTGGGTCTAGGTCTCGGTAGCGGTACAAAACGTACTTCTTATCCGTCAGTGCTGACGACTCTGCCGAGTACATCCCAGGAAAGTACGGCACCTCGTCTACTGAAACTCGGTTATGCACAAGTTGATCAGAGAAATGATTACCTCCTGAAGTTGTCTCCAAATCCAATTTGTGTTCGAGCTCTGAAGCGCACTTGTTCGCTTCTTCGATGGACCTATATGCACACACAAATTGCCAGGACACTCCCGCACATGTGTCGCCAAGATCTTCGGTCCAGCTGTCAGTATACGTGTCGACAGCGTATACTGCCTTGGGGGCAAACCTGCAATCAGGACACTGATTTTTATGTCCTCATGCAAAGTTAGACCCTCATTTCCGATTCGACCCAGGTCGGAATAAGCTGCATAATCTTACGCCAATTGTCTTTTGAGCTCACTGAGAAATCTCGACACTGTAAAAGAGCTTGCTCTCAAGCCTCAGGGTTGCTGTCAAGAACGCCGCAAGTCCAGTTCCAAAGAAAAGGGAAGAACTCAAATCTTGTTCCAGATCCTTGGGACTGACCTACAGAGGTGTAGGAGAAGAAAGTGCTCCCAAACTGCTGCCGGCCGGAAGGTATGGAAAAGCGGACCAAAATTGGATTGAGACCCCCGCCCAAGCCGTGTTGTAGCACAATTGCCTGAAGCTGGTTGTTGGACTTTGAAGTTCAGAAGAGTTGATTGTTTCACATGCTGAGAAAACCGCATAGGCTAGGAATAACGTTTATATCCAGTCGTCGAGCTCATGAAACTCTTTCTCCCATAGATTTTAGATTCAAGGTGATAGAACTAAGGAGACATCTACAGACATAGAGCGTACTACCCGAGCGTGAAAGCATACCCAGGGCATCTCACCTCTTTTTGAACAAACCCTGCAGGCTTCTGACGTGTTCCTGGAACACATTTGAAACTTCATCTTTCGGAAAGTCCCGTCTCAGAAGCTCCAGCCAAAGACGAGCGGACCCGTTAACAAACTTGCGGCATGACCTTCCAGATGCAGCAAACCTGGCGATGTCTCTGACTGACAGCTGACCATCAACTAGGATCTGGACCAAGATGTCTTCCGTCAGCTTGAGAAAGCACGAGTCGCCCTTGAAGAAGTCCCGCAACGTCCGAAGCTGCTTCATTTTCGTACCAAGGTTTTCACAAAATCAGAAGGCCGCCTACGAATAGAGTCTGAATGATGGAAGCGGCTGCGCAGACCTTGGGTGGACTCAGTCTGAGCAGCTAGCAGCCTCAGGCTCAGCAGCCCAAAGAGGCGCACGTCACGGTTTGGGTCGCGCGGCCGCGCTGTCCCGGTACGGGGTTTGGTCGAATTATTCGCGGCCGCCCGCGCGCTCGGAAGATAAACCCTTCTGCAGAGGTTTGAGGACCGCGACGTCGACGCGACAGCCGCGCTCTCGAGCTAGAGGGCTAGGCAAATGCAGCAATCCGCGCTTTAGTAATCGAAGAGACCCAAGATCAATTCAAGGGTGCTTTATCCCCGGCTTTTGTTTTGCTGTTCTGCTTTGTGGCAGCAAGCCGGCCAGGAGCGATTGCCTTCAACAATGTCTGAAGCAGATAACCAGATTATGAGCAACCTTCAAAAGATCTGATCCTTAAGATGGCCGCAGCGGTAGATGGACAGAGCGGCGGCGCGCACGCGCTCAGCCTTCCCGAGGACTTGCTGATCCAGATTTTGACTAACAGCGCCCTCTCAGTTGCTGACGTCCTGAACTTTGGCACTGCCGGAAAGCGTTACATTGATTTTGTGCAGAAGTCATCTCGACTATGGCTCGAGCTTCTGAAAAGAGGCTACCCAAAGCAGAAGGTTCCAGGGACATCCCGCGAAGACGCACGACTTCTGCGGCGCTTGTTCATAGAGAGGTACGGCATGTGCGGCCATTTTCGGTTTCTAAACTGAGTGCCATTCTTGATATCCTTTCTTGCAGTCTGGGTTCTGTTGGATCTTGAGACATCAATTCTGCTGAGATGGGTTTCCAAGGACACAAATGAGGTCTTTCGCAGAATGCTAACTTCAAAGTTCGAACCTGTGAAATTGGAGGTCTATGTGGCTGCCAATCCAAGTCCTTTGCCATTTGAAGGGATATAGCAAACACCAACGTCGCGCTTTGTGGCTCTCAAGGTGCCTTTTACTGTGAGCCTCTTGAAAAGCAATTTTCGTGCACTTCGTTTTCGAGCACGAATCACAATGCAAAGGCATGGGAAAACTCAAGTCCTTGACTCGCTTTGGGGAGTTTATGCCGACTTCTCCTTGCACGCAGATATGTTCCTGAAGAACTCTATGTGGTATATTCCTGTAGAAGCGACCATTGGAAGATGCTCGAGGCTCTAAAATCTGAAAGAAAGGCCAGCTGCTACGGCGCAGAGCTAGCAACGCTTGAAATTATCTCAGATCTGGCATTGAGAATGAGTATCTTGGAAGGCCGATGCTCTCACCAACTGGAACCGCGCCGCGAACGAGTCACTTGATTCGGAAAACAAGGAGCGCCTTACTTTCCGGCGTTTAAGCTGTCTCCAAAACCCTCCTCAGAAAAGTATGTGCTATATCGCTACGCAGATTGCGACAGTTTTCATGGTGACATCAGGGTGCTGGGAGTGTACTCCTGTTTAGAAGATGCGGTGTTTGCCGGCCGGAAACTCGGAGATGGAAAAGCGGCACGATCAAAACATGTTTTCGGGAGAGGAATGCTGTTTGATCAGGGAGCTGCCTTACAGCCGAACTTCAGGATTGGCGTAGATGCAGTGACTTTCAACAGCAGAGGACACGCCTTGAAGGCCTGAAATAGATGAAACTGCGAGACCAAAGCAAATTATAGGAGGACGGGAAATTTTGAGCTCTTGTTCTAGACACGCAACCTGGTGCTTCAAGCGCTGCAACCCGTCAGTTCCGCAGGATGTTCCTCGAGTATTCGCTCGACATTGGATTCTTGGATGCTGTTAGTGATCAGGCTCGAGACTGTGGGGATCGTCTGAATGTCCGATAGCATAATCTGGACATTGGCGTGCTTCATTGAAGGAGAGCGCGCGCTGATTATGCGCCAGTGACGCCATCGCCTGCATCCGGTCCATTTGAAGTGCCACACAGGCTGATTAATCAATGGAATCCCATGCTGAATCAAATGTTAAGAAGTTCGTTGCAAGCGAGCACGCCGATAATATTAGTGGCTTTTGTCCTTCCATTCGATGAAATATAGACCCTTGTCCCGAGTATATGGAAGGCCGGAATCTGCCCAAGTTCTGTGAATCGGTTCCGATTCACAAGGCTTATGTTGATCGCGCTGCTAGATATTGAAACGTTGAGCTGCATGTCTAACGCATTGCAACGCTGAAATCTATGGGGCTCCTATTATCAGTACTCCGCAAATTTGCTGCGACGTTTTGGATCGATGGATATGGACGGATGTGGACGGATGTGGATGGATGGTCGTGTCTATGACCGTCCGACTTGGGCATCATATGATGCATGTTGACGCTTCTCCCTAAACCTGTGCCATAGGACCGCCCGCGGGG